TCGCCAAACAAGGCTCGGGTAGAGGAACATCAGCAAGTCAAGCTGTTCTGTTTCTGAATTTCAAAAAATATATCATCCGGGGATGAGCTCCATCGTCCGCATTCTTCTCAAAGGAAAATCTCTCTTCGATCGAGTGCCCGACTCTCTCTCCGCGTCTGATTTGAGTGATTCTTTCTAATCTCGATCTTCATCGGATTCAAATGATGATCTCACTCGTTCTAATCTGCAGATGGATGATGTGACTCAGCATCAGTTGAAAGTACACAAGTGCACACACTTACCCAGATGAATGAGACCGCACGTAGCAAACCATGCGTCCCGGACGATTCCGTGGCCCCACAGTTACCACAGTGCTCTGGAAATATGGTACTACCATAGCCCCGCAAAGGCATCACAACTGGCGGGGGGGCGGGCCTCAGGCAGCACGATTGGGAGTATAGTCTAGCTCACATCAGAGCCAAAGGCTATGTGTGCTCTAGGGGTGAGGCCTACTGCCCGCCCCGCCACTTCTGAAGGACGCTCGCGGTGCGTTTCAGCGTTCGGGTGTGTGCTCGCGCACCACCAAACGGCGACCCTACCCCCCTTCGGGGGCGGGGGCCGCTGTAGGCATCCATCGGTCCGTGAACGGACGAAGACCATACAGTATGGGCATCGGCACCTGCATAATAGTTAGGACTTGGTAACTAGACTGAGGCGCCGCCCATGCTGTTTGGTCTGATGGATGTTTACGCGCGTAAGCGGTCTCGGCGAATTGGTTGGACATACTGTGTGGCTCAGCCGCTGGAGGCGGCGAGTCGGTCGAGAACCTTACGCGGCCGCAGGTGACTGAGATTGGCATGACCTTTGTCACGCCGGGAGGGATGCCGTACAGGCCTCCTGTCCCTATTCTCTTGGTCTTTTTTCTGCCCACCCTGACTCTGCCCCTCTCTAGGGCCAGACATGTCACGGCCTCCAGTGAGGCGTCAGGAGTCTCTCTGTACGGTCTTAGTCTTGCCACGGCGCGTGTGCATGCATCCTTACGACAACGCACCGCCGCCCTTCCAAGAGTATAGTCTAGCTCACATCAGAGCCAAAGGCTATGTGTGCTCTAGGGGTGAGGCCTACTGCCCGCCCCGCCACTTCTGAAGGACGCTCGCGGTGCGTTTCAGCGTTCGGGTGTGTGCTCGCGCACCACCAAACGGCGACCCTACCCCCCTTCGGGGGCGGGGGCCGCTGTAGGCATCCATCGGTCCGTGAACGGACGAAGACCATACAGTATGGGCATCGGCACCTGCATAATAGTTACAGTTGATAAGTGCTAACGTCGATCGAATCAACTGGGGCGCTTTTCATCTTGCGGGGCACCACCCAGCGTACGAACAGAAAGACAAAACCGCGGGCCCTGGTTCAGCTACCCGACCAGGCTCTGCGAACAGGGAACGGAAGGAAAGCGGTCTAGTTACCAGTCAGGTCTGCCCATCCTCGACGGCATGCCAGGAGAATTTTTTGAAACAGGGACAAACCAAAGGAAGGCGCGCAAGTAGTAGCGAGGAAGACAACGACTCGGGCGTGGTCGCGGCCGTCTGGTTCGAGTTGGGAAGCATTGAGGAACTGCCACGAACGGCCGAGCTCACGTTCGCCTTCGACGCCGGCGACTTTGCCATAGATTTTTTCGAACGGAGCTTGCCGCCCTACTGGACACAAATCTCGCCGGCAGCGAAATCCGTGGAAAAAATGCGAGGACTGCGAAAGCGATTGCGAAATGTGGACTATAACATCAAGGACGATGAAAAAAGTGGTATTGATTCTGTTCAAAGCAGTGCTAGCAGAAGAACGCCAACTGCGCACGAAGAAGATGTAGATGAAGAGCGTTATCAATCTTTTTCTTCATCTAAAGAACACGACGACGACCATCCCTACTTTGCCCGTGCAGTTTTCCTCCAGAAGGTCCTTTCCCGCGCCACCGTGTGGCGGTCCGGACTGTTTGCCGCTATCCTGAGTAAAAACGTACCCACGCCAGAGGTGTAATGCAGATTTGCAAAGACAGGAAGACTTGTAATGCGCATACCCATGAGAGCCATTTCCAGTCGTGTTTTGGAATTTGTGACGCTGTGAACAGGATGAGCAGATGAGTCTGTGACGCGGCTGCACTTGCTAACCAGCACTACACTGCGGAGTGCAATTTGTCATGCGTGACTCCCAAAACCCCTAGGTTTGTGTTGCGTGCGTGACTCCCAAAATCCTGACTCTGGTGTGGGGACGTTTTTACTCAGGATAGCCGCGGCGCGGAAGTTTGACAGCACTCTGGGAACAAGTTTGCGTGCGAGTGGTGGGAAGAAGTATGCGGATCTGGCGCACCTTTCCTACCGCCAGTGCACCGGCGCCCTCACGGTCGGCTACGACACCGCCCGGAAAAAGCCACTCTTTTTCGTCAAGGAAATTTCCAGCGACGGCGACGTCAGCACCGTGGACGTGATCGCGCCAATGAGCCCAGTCCTCCTGCACTTCAACCCAACACTGCTACAAGACCTCCTGGAACCGCTCCTGATCTACGCGAACAACGAAACTGGAGTATGTTGTGCAAAAGCAACGCCGTCGCATTCTAGTAATAAATTACCGCGAGCTATTGCATGACGGATCTGTTTTCTGACCTGATGAATCTACAAATACAATGTAGATTCAGGTCAGGAAGCAGGTACATGAATGCAATTCCTACCAGTCTGCCGCGTGCGATGCTTTTGCAGTGCATGCGGAGTAGCAAAGTACAACTACAGCCTTCCCTTCGCGCCGCACGACCTGGGGACGTGGCCGGTCGCGCGAAGGCCAGGGAACAAGCAGGAGGACATGCCGCTGGAAGAAACCGGGAACATGCTGTTGTTATTGTCGTTCTTTATGCGTTGCAAAAGCGTCGCAGCTATTTATAAGTTGTATGTTGACAGTCGTTTAAGTTTTGTTTCAGAACGAAAAGTCTTCTAGGTAGATTGATGCAAGAAGACGATGTCAATTGCGATTACTGCGATGCTTTTGCACTGAATATTCTTGAAGCTGATGCAAGAAGAAGACCCGGAGAGTTATCCTGCTACAAGTGAGAAAGAAAGCGACGTACTATCCGGGCTTGCAAGAACTGGCAGAACTTCTACAAGGTCCTCAACACCCTCACTTCCTTCATCACGGGGCTCCAGGAAATTCCGCCGTCCAGCTTTGTCAGGCGCGCCGGTTGTAACAGGTCGATCAGAATTACTGCGTCATTGGGCAGATTATCTGAAAGAGAACCTCCCAGATCCCTCGTTTCAATTGTGCACCGACGACTTTCAAGGCCCCTCCACACACAACAGCAATCTCGCGGTGAAGGGAATTGTGGCTCTCGCCGCTTACGGCTTCGCTTTTGGCGACGAGGAAGCAAAAAGGGTTGCAGAAACATACGGCCGAACCTGGATGCAACTGGCTGCGGTCAACGTGACAACGGATCATGGCGATATTCTGGAAAGAGGAAGAGCGAAAGCAACCAAGACAGACATTGACCATTACAAACTTTTTCTGAACGATACCAGCAGTGAAAGTTACAGTCTAAAGTACAACTTGTTTTTCCAGCGTGTTTTGCAAGTCCTTGTGGAACGCAAGCGTCATCAGTGGAGGCGCAGGCTATTGCTGCCAGGTGGGAAAACCGAAGCCGATTCTTCCGGGACAATCGAAGATGACAAGGGCGACGAAAATGAGGGCGGAAAGAACGGTAAGGGAGCAAAGGGCACCAAAGGGCGCAACACCAGGACTGTTTCCGACTCTGCTGAGTGGGAAACATCAAGCATGCGAACCGACGCTCTACCGTTCCCTGAGGACCTGGTGCTGCAAAAGGAGCACGCTTTCTACCGCAAAAAAATGGCCTCCTTTGGCTTGCCGCTCGACCCCCGAGCGCGGTACACGAAACTCGACTACCTGGGCTTTCTTTTCGGCGCAACCACCTCCGCGGATCATGTTGAGACAGAAAATTTTGATCCGCTTTACCTTGATGCGATGCACAAATTTGCCAACGAGACTACAAGCAGGATTCCCTTATCAGACTGGTACGACGTTGACTCCGGAAAGGCGCTGGGAGGCTTCGCTGCGCGACCAGTGGTAGGCGGGATCTTTGCAAAACTTTTCCTCGATGGGCTGAAGAAGGATATTAACGTGGAAAAGTTTATGGCCTGGTGTTCACCTGAAACCATCTCAACTGGGACAATAGAAAATGAAAAATAAGAAAAATTTTGCTGCATATCAAAGGGCACAGACAGAGTGTGTATGTTTTTTCGTTGCTGGCTGCAGTAGCAGTTCGTCGGTCTGCATGACAGATCATTTTTTACACGACTGGACGTCCATGCGGTTTGAAATCTAAGTAAGTACTTGTGGTTGTGAGGACAGACGTGTCATGCAAGAAAATTAAAGAGTTTCCTTGCATTGCTAGACAGATAATCCATATTTGGCATCACCGGTTGCTCCAGTTGAGATCGTTCCAGCTGAGCAAGCCATATGGGCTCCAAGTGCTTATCCCGGTGTAGGTGGCGGGGACACGCGGACTACAGAAATTTGGCAGTGAAAAAATCACTTTAGTATTGGACGCTGCCTGACGAGAATACGAAAGCATAAGCAGTGCAACCGGCGGGAGAGGAGGTTTCGTCAAGGTTGACAACTCAAGGGTGAGAGTAGTACTTATCAAAGGCAAGGCGCTACTTACATGTTGCACAGCGAACAAGCACTACGACTACGAGCGCATCTTTTTTCTTTTGGTGGGCGAAAGGCAGCACGAGTTTCGTTTTCTTTTGCGAGGACGGTATACGTACATATTCCGAACTCAACTACACTTTCGTTGCTTCGCACTCGATGATCATAGAACACACAGAGATATAGACGAAGTACAAGAGCAAGACTAAACAAAACACAAAAAGATATTGTTATTGACAAGCGTTCTTGGAGCGCGTGACGATCATCAAAAAAGCGGACGCTATGGTGCTTCCGGCCAATATCGATTACTTATGATGTTGTCACTCAACGACGTTCTCGCTCTGGTCTGTTCCCCATGAGGGCATTAAGGTAGAAACTTTTCGCGAGCGACCCCTGCCCAACGAACCAACCATCAGCCCGAAGATTTCAATTTCGAGAATAAGAAAATATGCGCGACCAGCGACACAACACCGAAGGAAACATTTAGTTGGAGAAAGAGCAAGACAGAGGCCATCACTGACAAAACTGAGTGCTGTAGAAGTTAGTAGACAAAGTTTTCACCCTGCTTAGCCTAACAGTGCTGTGCAAGTGCTTCAAAGAGAACATGCACGAGGACTTCCTCTGTTATGTAGGAAAAAATGGCAATTTGGTGCTTTTTTCGGAGAGATAAAGATAGTTGATAGCCCTCTCTAGTTCGCCACTAAACAAGTACCACCATGGAGAACTACCGGAAGCTGGAGAAGGTCGGGAAAGGGACCTACGGCGTCGTGTATAAGGCTCAGGACGTGAAGAACGGCGAGATTTTATCGTATTGAAAAGCGCCCCTACCCCTCCCGACCCCAGGGGCATTTGCAATTGCACTGCATAGCTTTTCCATGGAAATACTCATCTTAATGTCATCATCATGCACATTCCAGAGACAGAAACAAATATTCGACAAACAATATTTGCGCGAAGCTGTTTTGCAAAAAGACCACGTCGAAGAGCGGGGCTTTTCGTGTGCGAGCTGCTTGCAGCGAGTATCAAGTAATCTCTGAAGCCAAGAGAATCCTTGTCTGCAAAAAATTTGAGATTCCATTATTTGCATTTGGAAGCTTTGCATCACAAACCTGAGGCGGTTGAACAACGGGCTCCAGGGCACAACTTTTCAGGTTGACAGAAATTCGCACTGAAGGAAATCGGGCTCGAAGCCGAGGATGAAGGAATTCCCTCCACCGCGATCCGGGAGATTGCGCTTTTGAAAGAGTTGCAGCACCCCAACATCGTTCGCTTATTCGACGTGATTCACACCGAGTCCGAGTTGACGTTGGTTTTCGAGTTTCTCGACCAGGATTTGAAAAAGCTGCTGGATATGTGCGACCGCGGGCTGGACGCGGCAACTTGCAAAAGCTTCATGTTCCAGCTTTTGCGGGGCGTCGCCTATTGCCACCAACACCGAGTACTCCACCGGGACCTGAAACCACAAAACCTGCTCATAAACCGGGAGGGCGCGCTCAAGCTCGCAGACTTCGGGCTTGCGCGAGCGTTCGGTATTTTATTGGAGAACTTCATCTAGTACATTCATCAATCTACCTCTGCCCTTTAGGTTCAGTTCGACACTGCATACCAACAGACTTTCGCTCTTTGATGAAGAGATGTCGACTTGATGAAGAAGTTCCGGTGCCGATAATGTAACTGAAACTGACTCTCTATGAAGAACGACCTGCAACTTCCAACTATCCGCATTTTTTTCCAACGCCAGGCATCCCAGTTCGGTCCTACACACACGAAGTGGTGACTTTGTGGTATCGCGGGCCGGACGTGCTTTTGGGCAGCCGCAAGTACAGCACCCCGGTCGACCTGTGGTTATCAAATGCATTCAAATGGGTCTAGGTCTGGAAGAAGAACGTGTCAATTTTTTGTGTTGCGTGACGGCAATTGGCAGGGAGATGGAATTATTGGAATGCACCCAAACGCATTGCAGGTTCTGAATCTGAACAGCCCTCTCGATCATGTCCATCTCTCGGGAGTTCTCCTATTTTTTGCCGTAATAGAAAGAAGTAGGCGGCTATGTATTGCAAATGCAAGTGCTGCTCAAAATGCATAACCGCTGTTCATGTCGTGTAGTACCAGCACCCGACTGCGTATCTTCACACGTTTGCAGAGCCTTCCAGACCCCGGCCTCACAATTGCAATGGATAGTGGTCCTGTGGGTGCATTTTCGCGGAAATGATCAGCGGCAAGCCATTGTTCCCCGGGAACACGGACACCGACCAGCTGCAGAGGATTTTCCGCGTGCTCGGCACCCCTTCCCCCATGACATGGCCAAATATCCTGTGTAAAAACGTCCCCACCCCAGAGTTGTCATGCAGATTTGCCAGGACAGGAACATTTGTGATGCGCAACCCCATGACAGGCATTTTCAATCGTGTTTGGGAACTTGTAATGCTGTAAACAGGATCAGAAGGTCGATTTGTGATGCGGCTTTCCTTGCTAACTTGCACTACCCAACGGACTGGGAGTGCCAGGTCCGTTGGGCCCGGGGTGGCTGCGTCTTTGGGTTGATCAATTCACCTGATACACAACGCCATCCCGCAGCTGCACAGTCTGTTTATGTCATGCGTGACTCCTAAAACTCCTAGGTTTGTGTTGCAAAATCCCCATCCTGACTCTGATGTGGGTACGTTTTTACTCAGGATACCAAACGTCGCGGATTTACCAGAGTGGAAAAACGACTTTCAGCGGTACGAAGGCAGGACGTGGGAGCAGATTGCGCAGCACATCGACGAGAGAACAAAAGTTTTGGACGAATACGGGCTAGATTTGCTGTCGCTGTTCCTCCAATACGATCCCACTAGCAGGATCAGTGCGCGAAACGCGCTCGAACACGACTACTTTCGCGATTTACCCGACAACATAAAATACCTGCCACAATGATTTGCTCTTCAGCAATTGCCGCATGGGGCTCCTGAGCATGATATTGATGAAACCAGATTGCTGAAAGCGACGAACGACACTGACCGCGAACAAGAGACTCCAATACTACAGACGAAAAGAACCCTGATCACACAAATCACGAACACCTACTTAACACGACACTACGGGACATTGCAACTCAATGACGAAAAATGATATCGAAGAATATGAATATGAAAGAGCAACAACCGACATGATTGATCCGATCTGATTCGATGGCAAAATCTTATTTTCCAAGAAATATCATTAACATCAACCATCGTCTTTTCTTGTTTTCTTTCATAATCAAAATTGGGATGATGTGATCTGAGGAGGAGGATGATGATGAAGATTAACACGACACTACGGGACATTGCAACTCAATGACGAAAAATGATATCGAAGAGTATGAATATGAAAGAGCAACAACCGACATGATTGATCCGATCTGATTCGATGGCAAAATCTTATTTTCCAAGAAATATCATTAACGTCAACCATCATCTTTTCTTGTTTTCTTTCATAATCAAATTTTATGCTTCGAGAAATTCGGAGAATTTCGTTAGCATCAGTTTTGAGTCGAAGAAAATGAGTGTGAGGGAATCTGAGTCTACGCTGTTCTAAGCGCGGTGGGTCGCGCATACCGTATAAACGCGAGTCCATTTTCTCTTTTCTTCAGGCAAATGGCAGCGCTATGTCATAGGAAGATGTCAGGGAGAACAGTGCAAATCTATGGTAATCACTGCGGAAAGCAGTGCTCTCTATGGCTACTCCATCACCCATGCGGGAATGAGTTCTGCCCGTTCACGCCGACATGCAAGGGCAAGTGCTTACTTAGATGCTCAGACTCCGAGAAAAGCGATTACATCAAAGACAAAAAATCGGTATACATGGCCGAAGGACCCAATAATTACTTCAGAAAGACTTGTGAAAAGCCTTGCGTCATCTGTAATGAAGAGCTTCGCAGTCTGAGATCTAAGAAAGCAGCGAAGGCGATGCAGTCGACGCAGGAGAAATCCAACGGCACAGTCGGCGCAGAGTCTCACTCGGCGTCTTCCGAGCTCAGTAAGGAGAAAAGACGGACCGAAGCAGGTCTTTTTACCGACTAAGAAGAGCAAAAGCCATTCTCATTCTTCCCGCCAAGCGGAGACACAAAGACACTCTCAAGAAAAAGACACTGTCAATGATTACTCTTCCGACAATTGAACGCGTCTAAAAGCATTCAAATGAAATTCCTGTCCTAAAAGATTCATCAGAAATAGCATGCGGCCAAGCATCCTTCTCAAGCATTCATCAGCTCTGTTCTCTTTTCGTCTCGTGTTATCTTCAAGCACGCAAGCCACGAGATCTCCCTCACAGAGAGAGCAATCCTCACAGCCATATTTTTCTTAGCAGTTTATCAGAGAGATTAGAGAGTATTATTTTCAGAGCGAGATCCTTCTCAGAGAGAAAGCAATCTTCAAGCTCATAGCAGTTATCCTTACATAAGCGCAGGATGAGACATTTCTTCCCGAAGAAATTCATCTCCCTACCCGTCTCTACCAGTAGCCAATAGGATGGTAAGCCTTAAGTGTAGTGGTTGTTTCGCCGCAAAGGATGAAGGCGAGTTCGAAATCCGATGCAAAGGACACGGAGGGCAGGCTTGCTCTCGCAGTGCAGGCATTTGCAAAGCTTGCGTCAACACAAGCGGAGATTTAGCGCGCAGCTTCTTCAAGACCGTCAACCGGACAAAGCAGAAAGAAAGTCTTTGCACACCATGCCACGTGGAGCAGTCAAAGTCTCAAGTCTCAGCGGTATCATTTATTTCATAGTGTTTCTATATATAAGAGTGAGTAATGACATTATTATTTTCTTCTCGGACATTCATTTCAGCATGAGTAGACATCTTTTCCCTTCTCACATCCAGGTGAAAACCGCGCTAGTCAAGAACAACAGCGAGCAAGAGATGACACAGTCCATCATGCAAAACCATCCGTGGTTCCAGCAATTCATCACGATGAGCACCAAGGACAAGAAAGAAGCTTTGGCAGAATTAAAGCGACCTCCGTTCAAGGAAGTCGACGTCTCCAAGTTGAACAACAACGACTTGCTGCTAGCGCAGTCCATGGCGCAGAACAGCAACAACAACAACAACAACGAAGAAGTGGCAAAAACTTTTCGTGACATGAAACGACTCAAGCATGATCATTACCCATTCAAAAAGCTACTGCTGCCAAAAAACGGAGGATCATTTGCATATTGCAAGAAGCACTTCAAGCAGGTGAGCAGTTTTTGGAAAGAACAAGACATAGACTATTCGAAGTTAAGATTTAGACAATTAACAAATTACTGGCAGATAAAGGACAGCGCAGCAAGACTTGAACAAAGAGGAGTTCTTGTATAAATCAGATCATCCTGCTCTTCTCCGGCGACAACATCGCAGTCATCGCAGACCATCACCTTTTTGTCCTCGACTTCATCGAAGAGTCCATCCAGCATCTCAACCCGAAAGCGCAAGCTCATTCAGAGCCGGGAGCAAATTTATGCTACATAGCATACTATCTGTTCAAAGGTAGTTCTATTTTCTTTGGCATGAAAAGAAGAGAGATTGCAGACTGATAAAAGCATGATATCTCTCGCACAAGAGAGCAGTTTTAATTTCCAATTTTCATCACATCAGCGATTTCGAAAGAAATCAAAATGCAGAGCAGACTGAGCGACGCAAAAGTGTGCTTGTGGAGTTCCTACTTCTTCCACAAATTCGCAATGATGGGAATAGTCAACATGAGTAACCCGTCCATCATCAACTCCATGATCCAAATCCAACAAGCCACTAACAACTACATGCAGTCCTTAGGATCGAACAAAAGAGGATCGCACGGAGACCAGTATGGAGGTTTCGCCCCGCTGACAAAAGCGCCTTTCACCCCAGGAGGAGGCAAAGGATCAATACTGCAGCAGACGACGCAGCCACAGCAGTCACCAAGCGCGCCATCCAGTTTCACCGCAACTCCGCAGCAAGCCAACTACAAGTCCTGGACCGTAGAGCAGAAGCAGCAGGAAATCAATAGAATATTGACACTACCAGCTGCAGACAGGATGACAGCAGCGGCTAATTTCGAAAATGCCAAAAAAGTAGATAGAGAAATGGCATACAAATGGTTCGAAATGCATCCAACAGCTTGTCGAAGCTGTTATTTAGCGGGACGCGGTCTCTCAAAGAGACACGATAGAGGACTCCAGGCATGCGAAGCACTAGGCACGGAGTGTATGATTAACTGCAGTCACTGTCCAAAGGGAAGCATTGGGCTAGTAAATGCATAAATCCCCCAGCCTCGAAGGGAGGAGGAAAGAAAGGAAAGCCGCAGTGGGGTCCACCACAGCAGGCATGGCAGCCAGGTCAGCCAGTCCCTTTCGCACAGCCATGGTAGTTTCAGCTCATTGAACAGGTTGTAACCGACATTGTGCGTTTTTTTGTTTGTCAACCACGTGCCGCTAAAGATTTTTCGCAGATTCGTCAAACAGACGTAAGATTTTCCAGAAGTGCGACTTAGTGTTCCTCTAAGATCCTGTTCCTCCACAGTCAAGATCAATTCTCTCTTTCGTATTTTCAGCAATATACATCAGATCAGCAATTGAAACAGTCCCAGTCGCCATCTCATCAATATCAAGATCAGAACCACGCACACTTAATTTCTCTCGCATCACTTTTTATCGTCCCAAGTCATTTCTATCATTGTCAATACATCAAAAGACCCGTAGGATGTCGATGTCGCGCTACAATATGAAGCGAGCGATATGCTCGGCGCTAGGAGCGCAGCTCAATCAAGAGCGAAATGACAAAAAAATGAAGAAAGACAAACCAAAAGAGGAAGTCAAAGTCCTCTTTGACAACGCAGCAGCACAGCCGGTACTTGTTTTTGTTTTAAGTTGGAACGAAGTCGCTTTGTCACGCTGCATTAGAAAACTTCGTATCTAAATAATCCATTCATTCAGGTAAGCCCGCAAGCAAAAGACCAACACCCGGTAGGGAAGTCTTTCGACAACATCATCGAGCCAGCCATGAGCACCATCGTGAGCGACGGCTTCGTTTTTGTAGACTCGCACTCGGATAGCGAAGCATACAAGAACTTCGTAAGCACCACCGCAGCGCCAAGCAGCAGCGCTAGTTCTTCCAGACCATCGGGAAAGCAGAACGTCACACAGAGCGCCAAAGCCTACCATGAATTACAGCAGCGCGGAACAGTGCAGCCGAAGCCAGAAAGAAGTAGTGGCGTTCTATCAGGATCGATAAAAAGTTACAAGTCTTTCTCGAAAGGAGATGCAATAGAAATAGTTTTGTTTCCTCAAGGACCGCAATGGTTCGTTTCCTTCGCTTCCAGAGACGAAGTTAGAGAAAAGCTTCTTCATTCTCATTTTGTTTTCACCAGTAGCAGTGTAGCAAAATCTACGACAACAAATTACACCAACGTCCTGAAGCAAGTAGTGCCAAGAGTAAGCGAGCATTTAGGAATGCTGCTCTGGCCGATAACAAACGAGCAAGAATGTAATCTTTTTTTCAACACGTTTGCGTCAGAAAGCAGTTGCCACGAAGGAATGACAGACAAAAACTCCGGCAAGATATTATGGTCTTATTTCCGAAGCCTTAGCGCAGCAATAGGCTGTTACAACAGTTGCAGGCATCAAGCAAGCTACTACAGCACGAGACTCAAATCTCGGCCTTTCACTAGAGTATGGGAAGGGATGAAATAAAAGATCCGCACAGCTTCCGCTCAACGAGACAAAGAAGTTTCTTCCTTCCATTTTGCAAATAGATTTCGTGTTGCACAAAGCATATCAGACTCTCCTTCTCCTTTGCTGTCCAACAGGCATTGACGGTCCTAAGGCACCGAAATTCACAGTCAAGCATCTTTCGTCTTTTGAGGCTCTACAAGCCGCTCAGCATTACCAGATAGCCTTACTAGCAAGCATCCAGTTCATCGGAGTGCGACGTGGCGCAGAAATGCGAGAACTTTTGACAGACGCCTTTATAGTAAAATTTTTGAACCCCTCCGTACCAAAAGACAACGAAAGATACTTTTGCCTTCAAATAGTAAAAGCAAAAAATGATATATATGCACAGGGAAACTTCTGTGTCATGCCCTGTTACTTAACTTTAAAAATAGTCTCATGGCTCAGATGGGCGAATGCCTTCATATACTATAATTTCAAAAAACCGTACTTGAGCGGCAGCTGTTCCGCCTTTTTTGTGATAGCATGCAACAACAGAGGATCGAGAGGGACGCCTCTGTCGCAGGACCACCTCAGACTTAAGCTTAAAGACGTTTTCAAAAAGCACCTTCCAGGTTCAGTAAAAATAGAAGGACCGCTAGGCTTGCGGAAAGCAGGCGCAAGGCACCTAGCGAGCCTTTCAAGAAACTTAGCTCACAATCAGGGAGGTTGGGCTAATTGCAAGATGTTGGGCGAAGTCTACAGTCCGGTCACTCACGAAGAACTTGCTATTAAAGTCAACGAAAGATTCCCACGCACATCCCTTTTCAATGGAATAAAAAATCTCGCAGTACAGCTAGAGCAAGCGGTACTTCGCAGGGACGCACAGTCGAGCAGGTCGCTGTTAGATAAAATCAGTCATTTTCCGCTCGGAATATCGCAAGCAGACTTTGAGAAAGCAGCGCCGACAGTGGCAAAAGGAGCAAAAGACGAGAAGCTTGACAAGAACATTTTCAGAGAAGTGCACAAGATTATGAACGTCGAATGATATTTATCACCGGAAGAATTTCTCGGACGCAAGCGGAGCTGTGTTCTAGCAGAAAAGTCGGCTCGAGTCGAAAGTCGCATTCAGAAGTCAGCTCGCGCAGAGAGCTAGTAAGAGAGATTCGCAAGAGCAAAGTAGTAGTCAGAGAGACTTTTCCTATTATATCAATGCTAACGTAGCCGTCGCTACCGTCGGGAATAGGCATTTAGAGAGATGGCGGACTGGTGGCCAGAGTTCCCGCCACAGGCGAGCGAGACAGAAGTAGATTTAGAACTGCAGCCGGACCCAGAATGGAGCTTCGAAGAATGCAGCAGCATGGGTCTTCCGCTTTGCAGACAGTCTGCACTTGAATTCCTGCGCAGCCAGAAAGGCCCCTCCGACGAATGGAGAGACAAAGAAGACATCACGACGCGCCAAGGGCTCAGTCTTTGCCCTTTCCAGATGGCGAGATACGGCGTCAAGCCAGAAGTGATGAGAAGGCTATTCGGAGGTCAGCTTTTCAGCATAACAGACGCCACCTTCTCCCCAGTACAAGTAAAGAACTACTCAGGAGCAGACTTGTACGCCGACCACTTTTCCGACGAAATTTGGAGATTCGCAGCAAGCAGCAGAGTGTACATCTACGACTCATCAACTCCAAAAGACCTTTGCATCGCGCCAGGAACAATACTACGACAGAGGAACAAGATGAGGCTAGTGACGGATTGGAGCTGTCCAAAAATTGCTCTGAGTCAAAGCATATACGGAACGCCAGTGGACTACAAGGGATGGCGGCACCTCTTCCCACATCTATCACCAGGAGCTTACGTGTTCGGACTGGACCTTGCAGACTGCTACAGTCACTGGCCCATACATCCCTCTCAAAGAAGGATGTTGGGCGTAGACGTGCCGCTCACCGGTTCCAAAGGAACGCACTTGCTCCTGCCGTTCGGCGTCAAAAGTGCCCCCGGCGACAACGATTTGAACATTAAGGAACTACTATGAGTACAACAAAGAGCCGGCTTACGAGCAATAGTGCTCGACTACGTTGATGACGTAAGAGGAATTCTGCCACATCCTCTGTCGACATGCTACCGATCAACGCTGAAAGAGTTCCACAAGACGTACTTCATGTTCTCCGTCATGGGTTGCCGCTTGCACACAAAACCCGGCAAGAAGATAGAACCAACGAAGCAGATCCCTTGGTTAGGGTTCGAAGCATGCACGGAGACGATGTACTTCATGATCGACGAAGAGAGAAGAGAAAAATACATCAAGGACGCGGAGCAGTTCTATGCAGAAGCGTCGGCGAAAGAGAACCTGCAGTCAACAGCAAAAACAGTCGCCATGATAGTGGGCAAGTTCATTTCCATCACCGTCGTATTAGACGGCCCTTTGCAAAACCTTCAGGACTGCCTCAACAAGTCCAACTGCTACCGGCTTTGGCAGACATGCAATAGTCACAGCCCCAAGGTCTACCTGACAGCAGCCGCGCTACAGGACGTGCAGTGGTGGATAGTAGAAATCAAGAAGAAACCGAAAAGGAAGATCCACTTCTACGGCTCCCGCTCCTTCCTCTGGGACAAAGAAGTTCTCAGCTACGGATCACAATTCCTGCGTTCAATTCCTTCGAGCGCGTTCTTGATCATGAGAGGCGACGCGGCCACCGGCGGAAGGTGGGGAGCAACTTGTGATGGTCATCATTATGCAGAAGATTTTCCGCTGTGGTTAGCGAACAGCAACATCAACGTCAAAGAATCAGCAACGCCAGCGCTGGCGCTGGAAAAGATGAAGCAATTAGGGAAGATAGGTCAAAAACATCTTTTTTTGTACTACACGGACAACATGACTGCCAGACGTTTTGTCAACAAAGGAAAGCACGGCGACGAGCAGATGAACGCGCTGACAAGAAGATACAAGTCTTTCATGGCCAACAACAACCTAGAAGGAATAGGTGCAAAAATTTACGGCAAGGAAAACGTTGTGGCCGACTGCCTTAGCAGGTTCGACGACTACATCAAGCCATACCAGGACCCAGAACCCAGCAGATTTTTGAACACAAGAGCATGGAACCACATACAAAAGAAGATCCCAGGTCTGCATACAGAAGCACTCAGCACAGTCACAGCAGAAGAAGTACGTCTTCCAGCTTCTTACATCGTCAATTTTCAGCCTTTTGAGCACATCGACGAAATCGCAAAAAAGCCCAGCTGGTGGCTCCCGCCGGGGGAACTAGTTTTTGCAACTTTGCAGTTCCTTGGGGCCGGCGCGACGGATGATCATTTTGCTCCCTTTTTCTCTCGGATTTCTTCAATTTAAGAAATTTCCTAACTGCCGCGCACTGAGGTCGCGCCCAACGAGCAGAATTGCCCAGGGCCTGGCGTGTGCGGCCCCACAAAGAAGCGGCGTCGCCCCTGTGGGGCCGCTTGCGATTGCGCTGGTGCTCTTGGGGGCCCGGATGCCACGCTGGGCTGTGGCATTCCGGGGACCCTGCCGGAGGGGAAGTGGGGCGCGGGCGCGGTTGGTCCAGGCCGCGCAGGCGCCCACCCTGCCTGGGGGCCTGGCGCAAACTGGCCAACCGGGGCCGAGCGCCGAAGCGAAGCAGGGGGAACGGTAGGCATGCGTCCTTGTATGGGCCACGCCGGAGGGGGAAGAGGGCACGGCCAAGCTTGGTAGGGCGCGTGAAGCGCGGGCGCCCGTTCCATTCCAGGCACGGGGCCCCCAAGGAAGCCGGGAGGAGACATAGAGCACAGGATCCATGCTCGGCCGGGGGTTGTGACCCGCCATCAGCGGGGCGCCCTCCCGAAGGCAGGGACCGGCGCGGCGCCTTCGCCACGTCCCGGGCCCATTTCGCGCCCAATATCCCCGGCCCCCTTTCTGTATCCCGGGGCCCCAGTTTTCGCCGTCCTTCCGAAGGAAGGTCGCGCGAAAACTTATGGTCATCACCTTCTCCAGATTTCCTCATTATTTTCACATCATTTTCTCATCATTTTGTCCAGCCGACAAAATGACGAGGTCGCTATAACCGTGGTCGTCAGGTCGTGGAACGGACAAAATGATGGAGGTGCGTTTGAGAAAATAATGAGAAAATCTGAAGAAAATAATTCGCAAGATTTTTCCTAATTTTCTCCGGTTCTTCCCGAGGTCCCGGACAAGAGGTTCCGGACGTCGGGAGAAAATCTGGAGAAAATTGGGACAAAATGATCGCCCAGAAAACGGCCCCCGCCGAATCGCCCAGCGCGGGTGTTTTGGTTAGGGCACACAAGGGGCCCGGCGTACAGGCGCCATCCCGAGGGCCCTTCCTGTTTCGCGCCTGGCCTTGCTGGCTCTTCTGCCGCTGCGCCATTTCTAGGGCAACACGGCCTGCATTCTCCGGCCGGCCCCACTTAAATTGAGAGGCCGCCGCCAGCAACGAGGCAGCAAAGGGCTAAATACACACGCACCGGGCGCCCGCGGGCCTTCGTGAGGGTGGCCCCGTGCCCTCTCCAGTCCCCCGGCTTCTTTTGCCGGAGCAACCAAAGCCCCCCGGTGCGCCCGGCCTTGCGACCAGCCATCTGACTACGGCGTACCACGGCCAAGCCCCGGGCGGCTCCCTGTTTTGAAGAGCCGGCCGGCGTGGCGACATGATCCCGGCACGCGTTGGCTTGGGCGGCTGTTTTTGCCGGGCCGAATTTCCGCGCGACGGCTTGGGGCCACGCTTTCATCTAGCGGGCGCCGAACGCTTTTGGGGCCCCGGGGGGGAAGAGTTTTTTTTTGAAAGAAAAACCGAAGAAATCCAAAAGCTGGCGCGGTTTCGTCATTCATCTGACCACGGTGCTCCCAAAGTTCCTGGAAAAAGTGATCAAGAACGTCCCCATCGCAAACCGACCACGGCTAGCGCTATTCATCCCAGACGCGGGAGGAAGATTCGCACAGAAAGCCGCCTCTTTCTTCAGAGCGAAGATCAAGCACAAGAAGGGTTCTCACATCTTCGCAACCACCAGACACGGGGGACAAATAGCAGCACAAGACAGCTACGAAGTACTTCTTTCTGTACCGATAGACAAGTGGTGCGACGAAGTGTGTGGCTGAGTTGCGGTTGATCTCGCCGCAGTGCGAGAAGCTGCTAAGCAGCGCAGTTTTCTGCAGAGCAGTCAGTTTGCCATTCAACACAGTCTTCAAATGCATATCAGAAGCTAAAGAGCAGCTAACTCTTCACATTTGCAACTGCATCTCGGTCACACCGAAAGGAGTGGCCGAAGTGCTCTTCAAAAAATATCCTCATGCAAACACATACATGCTTCCAGCAGAGAAAAAACCGTTTCGATCTTTTTCCATTTTTCACCCAGTTGTAAACATTTACGCCATGTGGGCACCAGGCCCGCCGTCACATGTACACCCTTTTGACACTGCTCAAAGCAGGCTAGATGCTTTCAATGACTCCATGTACAAAATAGCAATTCACAGCATCAACAACGGCGTCAAATCAATCGCCATCCCTCTGAGAATAGGATGTGGCAGAAATGCCGGAAAAATGCAAGACTACGCGATCGTTCTAGACAGGTTCTACAGCAAACGCACAAGTCACAACATAAAAGTCGTTTTTTATGACGCAGCTGTCAAAAACAAGTTTTGCATACTCATAGCCCAAAATGCCCACAATGCCTTTTCTCGAGCACGTTCGCGCGAGGCGTTCGCTCGTCCTAGAGCGAGCGTTAGTGTGTGTTCTTGATGGATCCGCTCTGCCTGGCTTCACGGATCGTCGGGTGACGGGCAAAATATGAGTTCTACGAATTTTCTCCACGACGATAAATTTTATGCTTCGAGAAATTCGGAGAATTTCGCTAGCGTCAGTTTTGAGTCGAAGAAAATGAGTGTGAGGGAGTCTGAGTCTACGCTGTTCTGAGCGCGGTGGGTCGCGCATACCGTATAAACGCGAGTCCATTTTCTCTTTTCTCCCGCCCTCCTCGCCCTAGAGGAAGTCATTTAGGGACGTTGTTCTCACCGGAGCCAGCGCGCGTTTCTTGCTGGCACTTCTTGGGTTTCGAGAGAGTGTCTGAGTCTGAGGAGAGTCTCCTCCTTTTCTTCGACTAGCCAGGCGTTTCTCTGAAGCCGGGCGGGGCTTCCGTCTCGAGCACGTTCGCGCGAAGCGTTCGTTCGTCCTAGAGCGAGCGTTAGTGTGTGTTCTTGATGGATCCGCTCTGCCTGGCTTCACGGATCGTCGGGTGACGGGCAAAATATGAGTTCTACGAATTTTCTCCACGACGATAAAATTGGGATGATGTGATCTGAGGAGGAGGATGATGATGAAGATGATCTATTGTTTATCTTCCTATTGTATAGTTCGCTCATTGTTTTAAGACAGAATTCCCATATTAAGAACATATTAAGAACCCATTGACTTCGATGAGCCATTCATGAAAAATTCATCCAAGAATTAGGAGAAATCCGAAGAATTAGGAGAAATCCGAAGAATTAGGAGAAAGCCGAAGAATTAGGAGAAATCCGAAGAATTAGGAGAAATCCGAAGAATTAGGAGAAATCCGAAGAAGAGATCGATGAATATATCAAAACTCATGTTAATTATTCTTGAAATTTTTTGGATGTTTTCTCATGTGTCTTTCGAATTTGTCGAAAAAAAAATCATGGATCCTATCATGAAAGAAGAAAAATTATTATCATCCTGAATTCGCAAGATTCCATGACACAATTTGGATGAATATTCATCATAATTCTGAAATTCATAAAATTTTCCATTCCAAAATTTTTGTGAATTTTATATTTTTGAAGCTCAGGATCGAGGATCTGGATTAATGCCTGAACGTCAATTTTTTTGAAATTTTTTTCGCGATTTGATTCTGGGCATTTTTTTAGAAGAAATAAATTCCGAAAAAATCGGAAAAATAATTTGTGTAAATCTTTAAAAGGAATTTTGCAAAATTTCCAGAAAATTCTTTTTAAATTTTTTCAAATTGGGGTCAGATCATTGGAAAATTGATCAACTCATTTTCGAATTTTTTCAATTGGAAAAATTCTCGCAGAATTGGGGTCAGGTCATGTTGCAAATTTTTCAGAAAATTTCCCAAAAAATTTTTTTGCATTTTCGAAATTTCATAAGTTTCCGAATCATGGAGAACAGGAAACAAAAACATGGAATCCGGTCGGACATGCCTTGCAGAATACACATCGGACAAATTTTTTTGGAAATTTTCGAAAAATTTCCAGAATTTATAATAATACACTCCGGGGCTTCAAAAATTTCCAGAAGAAGAAAAAAAAACATATAATATATCTGATCGAAGATCTTGATTATCTGATATCTATCAGATATCTCCAGACATAGACATTTTTTTGCATTTTTGCAAATTTCATAAGTTTCCGAATCATGGAGAACAGGAAACAAAAACATGGAATCCGGTCGGACATGCCTTGCAGAATACACATCGGACAAATTTTTTTGGAAATTTTCGAAAAATTTCCAGAATTTATAATAATACACTCCGGGGCTTCAAAAATTTCCAGAAGAAGAAAAAAAAACATATAATATATCAGATCGAAGATCTTGATTATCTGATATCTATCAGATATCTCCAGACATAGACATAGATAGATCGATGGATTTTTTTTTTCTTCTATCTTGATAATCATGGAGATGAGATCGATGAAGATATGACATAGATCATATTTAACAGATTTCGAAAAAACCAAAATCACATTGAATATGGGAATTCGAATTTTGAAAGATTCCACGACATAAATCCGAAATTCGATGAATACACACCAATAACATTTTTACAGGAGGGATAGATGTTACGAATAGATATGCACTTCCTCATTGAATCAAATTTTCGTTTTTAGATTTATTGTTGAGAAGATTTTTGAATAGAAAAGATTTCGATTTGGATGGTCGTTCCCATGATTGTCATTGCATTGATGACACCAATGCTCTGTCGCAAATCATTCGGCTCGTATCCTGGTGAGGTGTCTCATTCTGTGAATCCATGGTAGTTTTCGTTGTTGTTCTCACATCAATCATCGGATTTCAACAACAACAGATCATTGACATTGTGCTGGTGTGGAGATTTTCTTTTTTGTTGCTCATTGATGTTCATCTGGTCTCCTTATATTCAGAGTCAAGTTCATGTTTTTGTTTTCTTCTTGGCCGCAGCCTTCCCCTTTGCTTTGGCCTTGCCCTTCGGTTTTGCTTTTGCGGCTTTCAGTGCTTCGTCGAGTTTTGCGGCGTCGTCGACTTCGCTTTCTTCCTCCGATTCTGACTCCTCGTCGTGCTCCTGACCATCGTCGTTCTGGGCTGCCTTCTCCTTCTTCTCCTTCCGTGGTCTCTTCAACACTGCTCCACCGCCAAGCGGCTGGTTCGTGTACCTGGGTGCAGTTTCAGGGTGCGAGATTCATGAAAGAACCAACATTTTCAAAAATTGTAGTGTCGGCCGGCACTTAGCACATCAGAGACAATCAGATACATAAGTAGTGTGGTCATATACTCATACTACACTCAGCATTGTTCTTTGACGAAACTACTCAAAGACAAACGTGCAGAACTAGTACTCAGGCTTCTTCAGCTCCAGGCCGAGCTTCTTCTTGACGTCGGTATCCAACAACTTGTATTCATCGCGCAAGTCAAATGGCGCGCGGCATTCGCTAAGCTGCGCCGCCAGGTGGTCGCGGGTGAGCCCCAGCTTGTCCAGCTGCGCGGCGGCCCGGGGGATGTCGCCCTTTTTCAAAAATCCGATGATTTTCGTGTACAGCAGCTCGGCAAAGCCGGTCTGGATCATTTGGTCCGGGTTCATGCCGCTCTTTTTCCACACCGCCTCACTCAAGTCCTTCACCACTCGTTTCGATTTGTTCGCGCTCGAGTTCTTCCCGAGCCACTGCGGGAAGTCTGGGAAGTTGCGGAACCCAGACACTTTCGCGGTGGGGTACACACTGCCGCACAGGCCCACGTCCGGGAGCAACGACCAAGCGTTCTCCTTGCGGAGCACCTTGCTGCAGTAGTCGCCCTGCGCAATCAGGTCCGCGGCGAACGCCACGTCGGACACGCTTTTGCCGTTGGCCTGCTCGTAGTACTTGATGTAGTTTTCCTGCACCAGCAACGGCACCAGGTCGTAGTCCGCGAAGTAGGCGTCCATCTGTATTACAATGAAAAATGCCCCCACCCCGGAGCATTTGTATTCGCAAACCTTTCCAAATGAAACATTCGCTCTCTTGCATCTATCAGCATCACAGGTGTCCAATCGTGAATAGCAAAAATTTGCATTGCAAAAGACTCCAGCAAGAGCGGCGCTTGTCATGCAAGCGATGCGATACACGCCTAGACTCTGCATCAGAAAGATTCATACTTCTTTCATGCATGACAAAAAGCTTTCATTTGGAAACTTCGCATCACAAATTTTTGAATTTTCAGGGGTGGGGGGTACTTTTCACTGTAATAATCTGCTCGTGGAAGTTCATCTTTTTGTGCTCCCGCGCGTCCAGCAGTTTCTTCGCGCCCCCGAACCCGTCGATGGTCATGTCCTTCTCGATTTGCTTCACCTTGTCCTTCACGTTCGCAAACGTCAAGGCCCCAGCGTCGATGGTTTGCGTGCCGCGCGCGGCCAGCGCCTGGCACTGCGTGATCACTTGGCGCAGGTCATTCCCCGTGGCCTCCGCCAGGGCCTCCAGCGCGTTGGGCTCCGCGCGAATGCCCTCCTGTGCGCAGATGAACGCGACGCGCTTCGCAATCTGCGTTTTGATGGGCCGGAAAAACTTCAGGTCGTAGCACTTGCTCGCCAGGGTCCGCATCTTCTGCTCCTTGCTGCCATCGTTGGCAATGCAAATCACCGGGTTTGACGTGGTTTGAATCAGCTTTGCTAGCGCCGACGTACCCATGCGGTCGCCAGCGCCCATACCTAAAAGTGACAGTGAGAACAGAAGTCAGTACGAGTACTGGAGAAACAAAGCACCATCTTGGTATGGTACTACTCCGAAAGAAAAAGCAGACAACTACAAGCACTTACTTTACCAATAGTAACGCCCGACAACATGGCTTCTTGCAGGCTTATTTTGCTTAGAAGCACTTACCATCTGCTTCATCCATCACGATGATTGTCCGTTTCGTCACTTTCTGTTCCTTCAGCGTAGCCCCGGCGGTCCAGTCCACCCCCGCCACTTGTGCGAGCCCCATGGCCAGCTGGTCGATCGCTTTCTTACCCCGGGAGTCTGAGGCGTTGTACCACTGCGCCACGTGCGTGTCCTTGAACTCCTCGCACACAATCTTCACGGCGGTGGTTTTTCCGATCCCCGGCGGCCCGGTGATGAGTGCGCCCCGGGCATTCACGTTTTCGACCTGTCCGCGGAAGTTGCCCGCCGGTTTTTTGTTCCCGCGCAGCACGACGTCGTCCCAGTCTCGAAGCCACTCGCGCAACTTTTTCACCTGCGTTTGGTGGCCCTGCAGGTCGTCCACCGACTTCGGGGCGTACTTCAGGACCCAGGGAATGTGTTCATTCGGCTTCGTAGTCATACTCGCGGGCACGACCGCAGGTCCAGCTGCACTGCGGGCAGCCGCTGCACCGGAAGAGGCAGATGACCCGCCCTGCTGCATCGGCGAAGGGAGTTGTTGTCCTCGCCCGGCCGCGGCACCACCAGTTGCAGAAGTACCGGCGGCTTTCTGCTCGGCCGCCTCGAGGAGCTGCAAGAACTCTTGCTCGCGCAGAATGATCAGGGGTTTGCCCTCCGCAATTAAACTCTCCGCCTTGCGGTACTTGGAAGTCTCTTCCACGGTGCCCGGGGCGCCCGCGCCCTCCAGGCGGGAGCCGGCAACCAGGTACGAGGTCTTGCCGCTGACGGAATCCGTGGCCTTGCCGCCCTATCAAGAAGAAAAATCCCCCCTCCCCATATCAATACGGAAATCTGTGATGCAGATTTTTTTTTTTTACATGGCGGCAGTTTGTTTACTAAACTTACGATGAATCTCATTCCTATTTTTCATTTTGACCTTAATGCTGCCGCGGTGCTCACGTCGACCGATATGCAAACAGGTGCCGAGGCCTGTTTGCATGCGATCTAGTGAAGGTTTATTGGGCGTTCCCGTCTGCCTTACCACGTCGCCCGAGCTTGCAGGGGTAGGGATTTTCCTGCCGGATGTTCAACGACATCTACGTGGCTAGTCATGATCCCTCTCCCTGTTGCGACCTGCTTTTTTGTTTGGCTGAAAAAATCCAAGAAATGAAAGGTTGAAAAAAAAAGGCCGCGGTCTTGAGCCAAAATCTGTGATGCAGATTTGCAGTCACAAATCAGCTTTGTCATGCTAGAAGGGAAAAGATGCGCACTGTAGTGCCGGGTGGCGTGGGGAAGTCTTGCATCTTCAGCATGACAGGAAGCAGCTGGAAATGGGAAACAGCATGACAAATTGCCTGCAAACGAGGCCACAACTGTGCCTGCGGCTCTTGGCCTTCTAGCATTACAAGTCGATTTGTGTTTCCAAATAGAAATACAGCATCACAAATTTCGTTTTCGATATGGGATGGGGGGATTTTCCCTTTTGATACGCCCAGCGTTTTGATCTTGTCCTTGGCGGTTTCACGGTCCAGAGACTCCATTTCGGCCGTGAACACAAACGTCTTGCCCTCCAGGGGCAGCCCGGAGGAAGGCTGCTTCGGCGGCATCTTGAATTTATCAAATCTGAGGTCGTGCTTGTGCGTGGTCGCTCTATTGAAGATCAAGATTCTTACTTTGCTATACCTGAGCTGACTCGGCGCATTTCATGGGATGCCGCCCGCATAGTACTGGTACATTGGCAGCTAGAGTCACGAAAATCGGAAAAAGCATGCAGCTTCAACAGCTGTTTAGAGAAAAAGGAACAACATGGATCTTTGTCGCTGGCAGAAACTGAACGTTTTTTCTCTTTTTTGTGTTGTCGGCAGCGCGACCACAGAAAGTGAGGATGGAAAGGAACTACTGGGTTCTAGCTATACTAACTCTCCTCGGTGGATCAGCAGCGCGTTCTTTTGGTCGTGTGCGTGTCGACATTCTTTCTAAAGTAAAACAGGGCAACTGGATCTCGTTCCATGGATAAAACGACACTTTAGGCGAAAAGGGAAGCGCACATGGTATTGGAGGAGCTGGGGCCGCTTTGATCTCGCGGACATGGTTCTTGAACACGTTGACAATGTTTTACTGACTTTGTCGGCAAGCCAGGCTGTTGCTGAGAATGACCAAAGGAGGAAGTGAGGGCAGGGCCTCTTAAGAAAATTTCCATTACAACATGCGTATTCCGACGTTCTCAACTTCTTCTATTCTTCCATTCGATCTAGAAACTGTAGAAGTGCTGCCTTCCGAATTCCATTAGGCAATATCGCATCCTCATCGTTCTCAGCCGCTGTCATCTGAGCCGGATCTACCTTCTTCACAGTGTTGAGAATTGCATGCTCCTCGTTGTTGGCTTTCAGAACTTGCCATTTGTGCGTTTTTGCGTCAAAAAACGCCATCTCCGTTTCGCTGATGTCCTTCAAGTGAAGCACGCTTTCGATCGGAAGATCCGTTCCGAGCAGGGCGGACACACTCGCGGTAGCTGCCACACGAACAGTAGACTTGTCAGGCAGATTACAGTTTGGCAAGAAGGGGAAAATCGAGAGGAGGAGCGTGCGCGCGGACGACGATGTTGTAGGGTCTTCGTGAGACTCGTCCTCCATCAGATCGACGTCTAATTTTGTGTTCTCCTCGACGACGACGATAAATTCGCTGTTGAAAAATAATCGGCGAAATCTTCCGCCCCGTGAATCGCACACGGCAGCAATCCCAGGGCAAATTTGTCCCGCGTCGCTTTCCACGGTGAACCTCCCTTCATCCGCGCGCAGATGAACCAACACGGCGTGGTGTTTGCGGTATCTCGCAAGCAAACGACCGCCGGAATGATTTCGTGGTCCGAGGCCACAGATCGTATCCGGAAGCAAGGGACCGCTCGGGTGCAGGAGGACTTGTCGGGTTTCTTGAGCAATTGTTCCACTTGGGGGCGTGTTCGAACAGGGTAGTGTTGCATCCGCCGAGCGGAGCAGATTTTCGTGGTCCACCAAATAGATCTTTACCGCTACGTCGCTGGTCTTGTCCGTAATGTTTTCCTGCGTTTTGTTTTTTCGTCTCCGCGCGACCACGTATTTGATGCGTTCCAGGTCGCGGTCGAGAGCTAAGCGCGACTCTTTGGCTCTACTTGTCGCTGTGACTGTGTTGGAAGGCGACGGCTGCTCAGCTTTGCGACTATCAGCTTCAACGGTAGCTCCCTGCTGTCCTTCTGTTCGCATGTTTTCATCTGCTTGCTCCATATCTTCTACTTCCCCCTGCAGCGCCTCGATTTCTTCTTGCTCGAGCTGTTGCACACTGGCCGGCATGAAATCGATCTCACCCGCGTAAGATAAGAGCTCAACACCGGTCGAAGAACTAGTAGTACCCGAAAAATTATTCTTGTTCTCATCTCTACTCCTGCAGTAGTACAGGAAGTATCTCCAGCGTCCACTCAAGGCGGATTTCGTCCCCGACAACGCAGCGGCAAAAGCACTTTCCACCCGCGTCCGGCCAGCCAGGACAAACACTGCTCCCTCGGGATCTGCGTCTAGGATGCGCAGAAAGGAAATCTGGTCTACTTCTCCGTCGCCAAGCGGAGGCGGTTGGATTTGGAACTCTTTTGCACGACCATAGGACCATGTAGTAGGTGCTCCTGGTTCATGTTCATCAGGCACGGCATTCTGGCAGTGACACTCGGTAAGAATATTTGTGCGTTTTGCGAACAGTGCGCCTCCACTGCAAGTTTGGTCGGGCGAGCGCTCGCTGAGGAAAAACGCAGTGACGTTCTTTGCCGGACTGTCGTCTTCATCCTCTAATGTCCTTCTGCTGCGCACAACCAGTTTGTCAAGTATTCTGTCGGGAGTCATCGTGCTCATTTCAGGGGTAGTACTCGACGGGTGGTCGGCGCCTAGTGCCGTCGCTTTGATGTTGCCTAGCAACGTCTGCTCCAGGGACACCACGACTGTGGCGGCGGCGCTTTTGTTTGAGCTTGCTACGGAGGAACATTTGCCAGCACCGGTAGTTGGTAGGATCAGATGAGCGGGCGCTAGCGGTGCCGGTGGTTCAGGATCCGCACCCTGATGGTTCTCGAAAACATCGCGAGGACATTCCAAGGCTGGCACGCACTGCAAATATTCTGGATGCAGCTTGTAACAATCGAAATCCTCCAAGCCACTTGCCGCTTGTTGCTTCACCCTTTTTCGCGGCGGAAATCCGTCCATCTGATGTTGCTGTAGTTCTAACATGTCTTTCGAATTCGATGAGATCAACGGAAAAACACGCAAGAGAGTTGTTGCGCTGCTTCCATACTAGGGCTGTATATCAATGATATTGGGATCGGCTTCTTCTTGGGGAGTTTTATCATAAATCGGGGCAAGCAGGAGGATGATCTTCACGAGAGGGATAACATGAGAACTGGGGTCGCTGACTGAAGTTTGCGAACGACTCAAGGACATATGCAATGTTTTAGAAGTGAGCATCATGTCATCTTCATCATGGTACAACATGACACAGAAAATCAAAATAGTAATAGATCTTTTGCTTTTCGAAAAAAATTGCTGCGTCCCTTGGGTTCGTAGGTCCCTTCTCAAAATGGATTTTTGACTGACAGGATCACGGAGTAGATTACGGATGGATCATGAGCATGATTCAGATCAGAATATTACCGTCTGGTTAAGCCAGTAATAATTTCGGCTACAGGTGCTTCCGTGCGTCAAGCAATTTTTTCATCCCTACTAACCGTGTAGAAGGATCTCGATCTTCAGGAACAGCTCGCTGATCTCGATTTCCCGGAGCAAAAATCCTAGTGAGTGCTTTTTGTGTCCTCTGGGTTGATCTTCATCTGTCACTGCCGGAGCTCATGTTTGTGCGTCTATTTCTAATTCCGGTCAAAACATGAAGAGAATCTCAGCGCCAGATTTTGCAGCAGAAGCAGTTACTTGTTAGCGCAGCTTGCGGAGCAGGTGGCAGGCACAAGATATCAAAATTCGAATTCCATTCATTTTCATTGCATATTATCAGAATCAGCATTATACCATGGTCATACCAAGTACTTGGTTCCAAGTACCTCTCTGTGACAGGAGAAGTAAGTACCGCCCGCCGACATGCATCCACATCAGCAGAAGCCGTCCTTACATTTCATACAGTTTCATTTTTTGTTCTTTTCGTTCATATTCGGTCAGCAACTGCGGTAAACAGTGCGCCGGCTGTTCTTCTGCTGGAGTGAAGGTCGCATAGTCATCAATTCCGTACACATACTAACTAGGGCCAACCCCTTTGCAGAAGACGAGCCGACACCGTTGCGGCTGCTGGGTGCGACGAAGACAGGAAAATAATTCTTCATCTTCTGCTCTTATGTAGAAAGATACTTATGCGAAATTGTCAAGGAGCAATAGCAAAATTGCAAAGCTGCAAAACATGTTTTCAGAACCTCAGGTAAGAGTACCGATCGAGGGAAGTCGTGTTATTTCTGATAAGTTTGAACTTAAGTCTGGGAGTCTTTCTTCGTTCAACTACTAGGAGCGGGATAGACTAAGTGGTGGAGACAATATCTTTTGGTTTTGGATGAAATTCAAATTGTTCAGTACCAGAAGACCGTTTTTCTGGAAATTGAAATTAGTACTAGGTAGCGTGAGGTCGTGGGTCCAGCACAACAGGCGAAGCTAGATGAATTGAAAAAGTAGATTCTTCATGCCATATACGAAGAAGAGACTGACGCGCGTTGATAGATTTTGTTTACATGTTGTGGTTCATTCACGATGTGCCCGCTACGATGGAGAGGACATGCTGCAGACTTCAACATAAAATTCATAAAGTAGCTTTCGATGCGTCGTCCCCGGTGTGCTTCGCCGTAGATGAAGTAGCCGCGGAAGTTGTACCTCCACTTGTTGCTCCTCTCACCGCACTACGTGGCGGTTGTGACACTTGCTGCGGCCGTCCTGCTCCACTAACGGTTTTATGTCGGTGCTGCGTCCTCGCCGCAGGGTTGTAGAATTGCTGCATCTGCTGCGCAGGCATCAGTGTAGCCCACGTGGCCGCAGGATTGTACAGCGTTTCTGTAATTGTTTCTTTGTGTTTGCCATTCATGATCAGTAACCCTTGTAACCCAGCACCATGACCATACGGCGGGGCGGCACAACTTACTCAACCAACAATGAATAGAGGAGACGAGACACAGAGCCAAGGGAGAGAACAAGAAATCTAACAACTCTACACACACTGAACGTGAACATTTACGATAAAGGCAAGAATAAGAAACGCAACCTAGGTAGAACAACGCGTCGCGATTATATTTTCGCAGTACGATGCGATGCCCCAGCAGCCGTTGCGTATTGCGTGGGCGCGGCCGTGAACACCGGTTGTGCAAACTGCTGGAAAGCCCCAGGACGAATCCGGTAGTGCTGCTGCTGCTGCTGCTGCTGCTGCTGTTGCGCGCTGGAAGGTCGATTTTTCGTTTTCGAATGCTGCTGGTTTTTCGACGAGGACGATACGCTACCTGAAATAAGACAAAAAAAGAAGAGACCATGTAGCCACGAGCTAACACGTTCCAACAAGAGAAACGCCATCGACAGCTCTGTGTAAAGAAGTCGTGCAGAGCAGGTCGATAGAGACGAGTAGAACAGCGACAGCGAGCATTCACATTCTTGAAAAAGCCTTTAGAATCAATCACGACAGGATCCAGATCTTCGTGGCTGTTCTTAAAATGGATAAAAGCGCGTCGTAGTTGTTTTAGAAGATTTCTTTGTCTTTTCTAGAACATGCTCACACTCAAGCACACCAAATCTGTTTATCCGAAGAGCTGGTAGAAGGTGGGAGGTGTAGCACTGTTCATATTTCCATCATTCGCAGAAGCGGTCTGCCACTGTGCCTGACCGCGGGCATCAACACCGTAGTAGTTATTGTAATGGAAGTCGCCGGCGACAACGTATGCTTCGCTACTACCGCTGCTGCTGATACTTCCAGCCATGAGAGGGTTGACTGAGCTTTCTTGCTGCGCAGCAGCGGTCGCAGCTATGAGAAGAGCATCGCGCGCCCCTGTCTGGACCGGATAAAGTGTGGCGCCGCTTTGCTTCGGGTACCTGCTCACGCCAGAATCACGGACGCAGTTCTCACTATTATTGAAAGCACCACCGTAGGGCGGGGGCGCAACTGCAACAGCAGCTGAGCTTACATTGGATGAGGGACTTGTAGATTTCATCGTCTTTCGTTTTTCTTTGTCGCCGTCTTGTGCCTCTGTTCCTTGGTTTGTTGCAAAAAACACGCCACTAAACGCGTCGTACGGTGCTGTCCCTACCGCAGCTACGAGCGGTTTCTTATTCTTGTTTTTCTCCGGAAGAGGCGCAAGAAGCGCCTTACTGTTACTGTTCTTCCTGAAACTGGCTTTCGTCGCACAAGTTGCGGCCATTGCTTTTGGCGTGGCGCTTGGCATTGCGGTAGGCATGGACATGAGATTTTCCCCTGCTGCACCACCAAAAGACGAGAGAGCATGTTGTGCATGCGTTGGGCTACTACTGTGAAAGACATGATGATGGTAAACGTGAACATCGTCGGAAACAAACGAACCTGGTGTGGCAGTGTCGGCCGAAACTGGAGTGGCAGTCGCCGCCGCCCCTGTGGTCGAGTGGTAAATGGCACTGACGGGAGTCGAGGTCGCGTATGGCGTTCTCAAATGTTACATTCTCAACTGTTACATGATCTGTCATGCAAAAACACTGTCGCTCTTCACACGATCAAGCCTTCTCTGCATGACAACTTCTCGACGCGCTAGATAGCATCATAATCTGCTCCAAACCTGTAATGCAAGAGGCCCAATCTTTTCCCTTTCACTTTTGCCGTTCTTGCATGACAAATTTCATGTAACAGTTGAGAATGTAACGTTTGAGAACGCCATATCGCGAAGCAGGCGGTTGTCGGAGTCGTTGGGACCATGTAGTACTGGTGGGTCGCCCCGGGTGTCGCAGCTGCGGGGTAGGCGTAAGCCACCGGTGTAGAGGCCGTTGACGCCAGCGTCGCTCCCGCGCCCGTGGCCGTTGAAGCCGCCGGAATCATGTTCCCTGTAGTTGTCTTGATTTTGTGAAGACAAAGCGAATTTATTATTCGACAGGAAACGGACTGACACGACAACGGCACTGAGGTTGTTCTCCAAAGATAGCAACTGTAAAGATAATCATACGAGTTCCGAAGAACAAGTAGAAGATAATCACTCAGCAATACCGTTTGCATCCACATGTACCAACGTAGCTGCTCCCGTCTTTGCCCCTACACTGCTTGGATCGTAGTTTACGAAGACGAACTGCGGCACAGCTGCTGCATCCGCCCTGTTTAGTTCAGCAGTTTAAGCAAGTCAAAATCTGATTCTTGAGTTTCTTTTTCGAGTGCGAGCCTCGCTGTACAACGGATGCAAAATCTATGTCTATCATCATGTGAACTACAGATGAGACATCAAATCGTTCAACAAACAAAAAAGATCGATCTCCTGTTGTACTCGTAAAACTGCAAGGGCTGGGGCGTCGCGTCTTGCTCCGGTGCTTGTTCCATGGCGGCTCGCGGCACCTCGCCCCCAACAACGCCGGACGGGACGAAATCTTCTCCGGGCTTCCACATTCGGATCATGGCGTTGCTATTTGGGCCCGGTTGCTTTTCTTCGGGGTCGCGCAACTTTTTCATGAAAGCCATGAAGACTCGCGAGTAATCCTCGACAGCGATGGCCCGCACCGGATTGAACTTCTTCATTGCCTCTTGCTGCTTTTCCGGCGGAAGCTCGTGCAACTTACGCAGGGCAAGCTCATCGAGACCGTACTTCTGCGCAAACAGTTCCTCGTTCACCTTTTTTCCCTTCTCCTTGCTGCGCTTTCGCGAGTTCGAAGCCGTCGTTGCGCGCGTAGAAGCGGCGGTCTTACATTTCGTTGCTTCTGATGCTCCTTCACCTCCGGTGTTATCTCTCTCCTTAGACTTACCTTTCGCGCGCTGTGCGGCCTGCTTAGATGGCGTAGTTGTTGAAGGCTCTGCGCCAGTACTAGTAGAGGACTTGCTGGATTTTTCATCTTTTTCGTCAGCTTCCGTGCCTGGGTTTTTCGATAGTGGTTCTGCTTCGTCACCCGCGGTAGCGCTAGCTGGAGAGGCTTTTTGACTAGCAGCCTTTCTCTTCTTGTTGGCCTTCGCTTTTTTGCTCGCACCCGGTTGCTTCTGCGTTAGCGTTGGTTCTGTAGTCGGCGAGTCATTACGCTCTGCGGAGGCTGCAGTATCCTGAGCTCCTGCAGCGTCCTGCTCTACTTTTCCTTTCTCTTTAATGTTTTCCTCGTCTCCATCAATCTTTGCAGAGCTAACTGAAACTGCTGCATTATCTTCATCTTTACTGCAAGCGTCTACGTGTACGTGATCTGGTGCTGCGGTTACTGCACCAGCGACGACTTCAACTTCTGATTCGCGTCGTGGTTTACTCGAGCTGTTTGCACTCTTGTTCGCTTTATTCTTCTGTTTCCCCGAGCCTTTGCTTGCAGTGCCTGCTTCCCCTGAAGAAGGTGCAGCTCCTGTTGTGGTTGTCTTCTCCACTTGCTGCGTCCGCTCGCTCTTTTTGGCGTGCTTTGTCTTTTTTACTTTCGCTGACGTCTCTACGTCAGCCTCGCCTGACGCGCCCGCTTCATCCGCGTGCGAAAGCTGGTCCTCGGCGGGGCTGCTCTTGTGATTATTGGTGCCAGTCGTGGTCTTCGACCCTTTGGACGTTCCCTTCTGCTTCTTCTTATTTCGGTGAGCCGGAGATTTCGATCGTGACTGAGCCGAAGCCGTCTCGGCGCTGGACACGACGTCGAGGCCGGTTAACTTACGACCTTTTAATGTCGGCCATGAGCGATACTGATTTAGATTTACTTATACTTAGTCAAGGAGAGACTTGCAGCTTCAGGGAAATTCAGACTGCGATGTAGAAGTAGATCTCCTTGTCTGCATGCAACAAAAACATCAAGGCAACTTCTGAAACGCGACAGGATCTCATTCTCTTTCTCAAGTACTCAAGAAGCAAACACAATAAAAAAGCCTACCCCCACTGCTTTTGCTTCTCACAGAGGAAGCAGTCCGCGGAGGTCGCGACGTCTTGATGCTTTCCCCACCCCCACTGCTCGTTGCGCCCCCAGACGTCGTGGCGATCCCTGCGAGTCCATCTTCGGTTGTGTAAACCGCCTGGTTCTGGTAGTGCTTGTGAATGTTGCTGTTGTGATGATTCTTGGTACTACTGTGGTGTGATGATGAGTTGTGATTGAGATTTGGATCCCTTTGTGAAGGTCCTCCTCTACCACTGTGGTGCTGGTAATTGTCTCTGTGAACATGGTAACTTCCACCATGATGTGCGGCGTGAAGATGATGTTGCCCATGTTGATTACCGCCGGTCGCCGCAGCATTCGCGTGGCACGTAGCCGGATCTACCCGGCGGTTGGCCCGCACCTCCAGCACGCTGTCCTCCCCACGGATCTCGTACCTGGCCTTCTCCTCGTTGCACTCCTTGAGGAAAACGAGCAGGTCGGACAACGTGTGGGGGTCGTGCGGGTCGGTGAGCAGGGTCAGTAACTCCGTTCCCTTCATCCAGCTGTCCTTGTCGTGCGTCGTGCGGTGATGAAAGTGCCGGAGGATATACCTGGACAAAGCATGAAAATTCAATTGTCGTGACAGCCCAGGCAAGACAAAAACCATGTCAGATAATAGACCAAATCCATCCCGTAAATTTTCTTTGTGTTCTCTAACATCTACTTCACAAGTAGATGCACAAGATGTCTGAAGGAAGCCTAAAGCCGCATTGCTTTTGCATGATCAGTTGCATTCGCGCTTAAGTACTCAACTATCCAAAAATACGAGATTTTTTTGCAGGTGATTGTCCGCTCCGTATCTCCGCCGGTGACGTTCATCCGGGCCTTTTGGTTCTCCGACCAGACAAATTCAAGTGGTGACGCCAGTACGTCTGCAACTGTGGGCACGGAGGGCGGTTTATGGTTCTCATTGACTAGCGAAGAAGATGCTTCTTCGGCACCTGTTTCACAATCTGTAGAAGTCGGTTGTACTTCCTGCTCTTCTTTTTCTTGTTGCGCGCCATGATCAAACGTAGATGAAGCATCTGCCTGTTGCAGCACTTCAGACACAGTCGCGCCTGAGTCTTCGTTTGCCTTGTTTGCCATCTCCGCAGGTGCTGATGGTAGTGCAGAAGTTGCATCGGCGCTAGCAGATTGCGGATGCTTTTCCTTTTCGTCAGTGGCAGAGCCCGACACAGCATTTGCATGCTGCTCCACACCAGCCTCCCGCTCGCTCTCTTCCTGCGATGCTTCCTTGGAAGCCAGGTTATCATCTGGCCGCGGCTCATCGCACGACGCGGTAGAACGTGAACTTGTTTCATTTCTTGCCGTGCCCGCTGGCGCTTTGGTCAGGATCTCTGTGATGGCTCTTTCAGTGTCCTCGGTTTCGTGCTCGCTTTGGCTGTGACGAACGACATGCACTTCCGTCGAAGACGCGTCGCCGTCAGTACTGGAAGGCGGAGCGGCCACCGCTTCGTCCTTTTTGATGATCATCGCGCTCGTGGTAACGAGATCCGGTTCCTCTAGCTGCACACTGGTCGCCCCGCAAGGAGCCTTGTTCACTGAACTTCTTTCGGAATCTGATCCGTCGCCGGGACAAACCTGTTGAGCATGGTGGAGAGAGCGTACTAGGCTTACAGTCTTGTTTGATAGTCTTCATTTCATTTGCCTACAACTAACTTCCAGTTTGGTTGAAGATGTCCAAACTCTATACGAAAATGACACTGCACCTCCTGCCCTGGTGTTACTGGCTGCTGAAAGATTCACCCGACAAAAATGGTAGGTACAAGACAAGGAAAAGAGTCACACCTTGTCCGCAGCTTCGGCCGCCTCGGAAACGAGGAGGGGTTCCGCGATGTTTTCCTCGACAACTTTCGTCATTTCAGGTCGTACAACAACGTTTAGCACCGCATCAATAGCGAAAGTGCGCCCCTGGTGATAAGCCCACTCGGTGTAGTACTGCTGGCGCTGGGGATGAAGTCTTAGAAGCCGCTGTGGGTACACAAATGCGTTTATTTGTTTACACAAAGGAGAAACGATTCTTCTTTCGCTTTCGCTTCAGATTTTTCTTTTCATACACGAAACTTCTCTGTTTTGGTTGTGGTGGAGCGCCTTCTTGTTCACGTTGTTCTTTCGTTTATTTGGTGTAGTACTACTAGTCCCGCCGACGTATCCGCTGCACAGTGTGGAGGTAGCGAGACTGAAATACGGGAGCACGGACTACGGCAAGTACTAGCGACGTCGCAAAATTCTTGATAGTTGTGCCTGCTCCTGCTTGTGCTTGTCGTTCTTCTCAACAACACTTACCATCTTCTTTCTGGTTCGCGGCGTGTGTTTTATTTTGAGAATACTACAATTTTCTCTCGGGGGTGTATCTTTGCTTCTTCTGAGATGCCGAAAGCCAAAGTTTCTCGGTGTTTGGCTTGTAGCTAGTTCTACTTCCATAGGTACTGATCTTTCTGTTTCATTCAACTACGTCAAAAGTATCTCGCTATGCTGACAGTGTCCGCATCCTTTTTCTAGAGTACATGCTACAATTCATTGTCCTTATCTTTGTTCTAGAAGGGTGCCTTTTGTCCACCAATGGAACCGGTTTTGCTTCTCTTTCTACTTGTCTTTAGCTTAGGCAAGTGGCCGCGAAGCGGATGCTCCATGTCACTTAGATATCTCGAATGATGCGCCTGCACTTTGTTCAACAGCTCTATCTGTTCACATGATTACACGTCTGTGGTACAGATAGGGTAATAGAAGCGATGTCAAGACAGAAATCGCTTCGAAACGAATGACAATACACCTGACCATGATGATATAGACGAAACTAGTTCCTGTCGCTTCGCGTACTCACTTACTTCAACCGGTACTATGCGTGATCAGTGTGTTTGTTGTGTGCCAACACAGCTTGTAGCCTTAAAAAGCAACACACAAAAATCGGATCGATCGCAGGGAAAATAGCATGGAACAGGACGCACGCTGATTGATCATGCCGCCGGGAGTCATCTGAGAGAAAGAAAGAACATCCTCGTCGCTCGAGCACATCTTCAAGAAATTCTAATTCATGTTGCAGTATACAAAAGCGCAGGACAGGGTTGCGGTCTTTCCTCGCTTGCAGTCTGTGCCTTACCTTTACTTGAGGTTGACCTTATTGGTCTGAATCATACGGAGCAGCTGTAGCATCAGCATATTCCCGGCATTCATTGCAATTTGGAGGCAGAGCAAAAAGAACATATCATGCTCGTACGTTCTATGATGTAGTCGTCCACACTTGCCAGAAGAGCCTCCACTTTCTACCGGCGCCACTCCGAACCAGTGGCCATCACAATGTCCCAAATCTCTCCCGTTTCTGCTGCGGACGCTTGCTGCTCCGGGTCGCTTTCCGAAACCAGGGCCGAGGAGCTGGTACCACCAGCACTCGCAGGGTTTTTGGTCGGGTTCACGGAGAACCGAGCAGCAAGCTCCACTAAATCCAAGTCGTACTGATCGCGAGGACGAGGTAGTTGTACTAGAGGTCTATTCTTAGTTGTTGGTGCACTAGAAGCAACCGCTCCTGCACCGCTGCCGCCTCCGGTGGTACTAGTTGCACCGCTTGCAATTACACTTCCTCCTGCCCCCGCCGCCCCAGACGTTGTTGATGGCGCGTAGCTACTGCCCTGCGAGTCGCTTTGCGATCCACTACCGGCGCCCGCAGCCCCGGCTTGCTGCGCGGCCAGAAGATCTTGCTCGGTCCTGCTCGGCTGGCCTTTTTCAAAGCGGTACGCCGCGATGTGCCGCACGCTGCACTGCCCCCAGACCGGACTCTCCTGCGTCAGCTTGGCCCGGAGCTTCACGTTGCGATTGTGCGAAGAGCGGTGAAAGAACTCCGTGGTGTCTAGCTGCGACCGGTAGATGGCAAAGTAGCTTTGCTGATCCGTTTCGAAACTGGGGTATTTCACCATGCGGTAATCGCGAAGAATCAGCTTTTCGCGCTGCTGCGGTCCAACCTCGTACAGGTTGAGGACGGAGCCGTACCAATTCTGGAAGACTAGGCAGTCCATCCGGGAAAGGTGTCCTACATCGTGCAGTGTGATTTCCACAATGTTGGTATTCTTGTTCTGATTCTGAACTGCCTGCGCGCCGGCTGCACTGCCAGCCACGGAAGAGGACGACGCGGAGGTAGCCGACGATGTGCTAGACGAGGAAGATGCGGTCGTCGCGGTTGCCGCCGTTGTGCCGCTTTGAGAAGCTTGGGTTTGGGTGACGGAAGTTTCGATCTTTCTCCATTTGCCGCCCAGTTCGTATAGAGGTGCAGTCAACGTGTCAAAGTGCTGCACGTTCAGCCAGGCCTTGCTCGCTTCGTCCATTTTTTTGATGATATCTATGTCTTATCGTACAATTCGGTTTTTGTTTTCGTGTTCCTCGTCGCTATAGTTTATGCTGCATCATGACTTGCAGTTATTCATCTTCAACTTCATCACTTTTTACGTAGAAGTGTCTTTGGTCTAAGGCGCAATAGCAAGCAAAAAAACGCGATAGTACCGACGATTTTTTACGAAGTACGAGCAGATGACAAACCAACAAAAACTATGAATGATCAACAAAAAGCCTGAGATTCAGAATTTCACAAGCCTCTGTTCCAGAACACATCTTTTGGTACACTGGTCAGGTCGCATGAAGGCAAATTGCAGGATCGCTTCGCACAATCGATTGGTCGCTATTGTAGCCGATTTGCTCCAAAAAGTCCCCGAGAGCCTTGTCGATTGATATTTTCGGTCCTCGTGGTTTTATTTCCGCATTTATGCTACTCTCGTCGGCCCATGTTACCGCACCATTTGCATTGTAAGAGCTTTCGTCTCCTGCAGAAGTCCCTGCTACGTCCTCGGCGTCAATCTCAACGCCCGCAGCGGAGACCACGTCATAGACATCTTCTTCTAGTTCCCGCAGGCGCAGACTCTCCAGGGCTTGCAAGGTCGCCTCACCGCCGTTCGGGTTTGAACAGCCTACAGTAGTGGGGAGAGGAACGGCGATCAAGTTCGCGTCCTGAGAAGACGTGGTCCCGGAACTGCCTCCTCCACCGCTGTCCGCCAAAATTTGCGCCAGCAACCCAGCGAAGTCCGCCGAGGGCTTTCGCGTTGTTGTGCTGGTTGACGTGGTCGTCGTTGTCGTGGTCTCCGGACTAGGGGCGGGTGCTTCCGCGCCAGAAGAACTTGTGCCATTACCACTTGGCGCTGCTGTCGTTGTCGTCGTGGCCGGTGGAGCAGTCACGACGGGCGCCACGGTGGTGGTCGTTGGGAACTGCAAGATTTGATTCGGCGCTGCGGTCGCTGTCAGCGTCGGCATCGGGCCGTTCATGTTGTAATACTCGATCCCCGTCCAGGTGACCAGGCCGACTTTCGGCGCGAACACCTCCTCCAAAAAGTTTTTCGACCCGATTCCGATGACGAGCTTGTAGTCGTACCCCTTGGTTGCGTCATTAGAATCGACCAGCGCCACTTCCGTGATCCAGAGAAAACGGGTGTAGCTGTCGACTTTGAACACAGTTTCCGCCAGGTGCTTCTTCACCGCAAAAATTTGGTCGGGATTGCCCATCGGCCGGGTCGGCTCGCGCACCCGACCGGCGATGAAGGCAAAATTGGCGCACAGATCACTCTGCCCCCCCACATCGAAGTTCGCGTACTCCGTGCCCCAGATCGAGCTGCTGCTGCACAGGGATTTCAGAGCGGCGGCCTCATTGCGTTCGTCCGTAAAGCAGCTGCAGGCGGGGACGTACTGTGCGAAATACGCTTTGCACATGGCTTGCCGGCACACCACGGGCAGCGTCGCCCACGCGTCGCTCGGGTTGTGCAGATTTTGTGCACTGCACCCGTTCGTGTTCCGCAAGACTGCCAAGCCCTCCTGGTAATTCACGTCGTACCGCATCCGCAGCTCCTGGTGCGCCAGGCACTCCAGCCGCATCAGCGTCGCCACGTCGTTGGCCTCAATGTCCCGGCAACTGCGGCAGCAATCCAGCTTCACCAGTCGGCCGTCCAGCTGGGTGCAGCCCGGCTCGCTGGCGCCTAGTAAGTCACGGCAGACGACGCCGAGGTCCTCGTTGCATCCGTAGTACTTCGACTGTTTATTTCATTGTTGGTGTTGTTCTTCATTCAGTGTTTATTGCCAAACAGTAGCAACTACACATCTTCTTCCGAAGAAGAAAAGTGGGAAGAATTCCGAGACAATAAATCGGAAAACTCGTCAGCTGAGCCGTATGGTGAAGAACCTGAAGCTGAATCTTCAAAGGCAAGCAACAGTAGGTTTAGGTAGCTCCGTACGTATTGTGTGGTGCACTGCCAGTGAAAGTCCCCACAGCCTGCGCAGGTCGCGCAGCACACGCTTTGCAGCTTGATTCCCGCCAAGGCCGGACAGGCGGGGTGCGACTCTCCGTTCAAGGAACGACACTGCGCTCCCATATCGTCGTAGCAATTGAATGACTTGGAGAAATCGGCGCATTGCTGCGCCGTACCGCTGTCCACACAGGCACCTTGGGCACGCACGGTTCGGCAACGAAAAACGAGCGCGAACAAGTGCTGGGACAACGGAAAGCCGAGGACGGGAATCCAACTACGCATTCTCCTCATCATATTTTTCGCTGCGGACTTAGAAACTCAGCAACATGATTCACCTCTAGGGCTCTCACTCCGAAGTCGTATTTTTGCCTGTAGTTTGCAAGAATCGACTAAAGTTCAAGTTGTTCATAAGCTGTTTCTCTCTGGTCCGCGAAAAACTCACAGTAAAAGGGAGAGAACAGAAAACAAAAGCTCCCGACAGCGTCGCCTCCATGATCATGCAATCCATCGTGTGGCGCGAATGATTTCTTTAGATTTTGTGGTTGTAGCCGAGAAACATAATTAAAAGAAGAAAATGGGTCGGGGTTCTTGTTTGGATTGTCGACGTTCCTAATCCTTTGTGCTCGTGCCTCGTATCCCTTTCCACAAGAAGAGGACTTCAACACTTAGCATTTAGCTTTAGGCTTTTTCGTTTTATGACGCCGCCTTGGCCTTCCAAGATACAACATATTCTGACATTGCTACATGATCCGCTTCTTCTTGGAAAGAATGTTGTTGTCGTTCATTTCTGGTTAATACCTGCATGTCCTAGTAGTACGATTGATTTTGATTATAGTCCCAGTTGTAATTCTTTGTACCGCCTCCCCCTCGACCGCTTCCTTTGTTCCACACCTGGTGTCCCTTGTTGCCCGTTCCAGCGCTTCCCTTGCTCGCGCCTCCCCTGCTGAAATTTGCATTGCCGTACGGAGCCGGACGACCATCGCCACCTTGGTTTTTCCCACCCGCCGCTCCCCCTCCTCGAGAAGAACCATGATAGTGCGCTTGCGCATTTAGTCGATTTTGGGAATTCGAATTGTTGTAGTAACTAGAGTTGTTGGACTGCGAGCCCTGCTGATAGGAGTTTGCAGTCCGATTCGTGCTGTAGTTTTGCGATCCTCCTGGTTTGCCACTGTTTCCCGCTTTGTTCCCGCCATGGTGCTGGTGCTGCTGTTGCTGCTGCGACGAAGTTGCGCCTGCACCTCCTTGTGGAGGTGCAAGGTGAGCCATATGTTCGAAGGTGACTGGAGTAGCGGGCGTGTCGGCATGCACTTGCGCGCTCGTGGGATTAACAAGATTCGAAGACAAAATGCTTGCTCCTGCGCTAGCTGTGGCTGTCGTCGCTTGCGCATGAGTGGTGTATGCTGCGTGCTGGTCCGCAGTATTGTTTGTGCCTCCTTTCGTGGGCCCCGTTGCTGGGGCCGTTCCTGACGCATCTTGCAGCGGTTGCTGACCCCGCATCAGCGCTCCCACTTGCATCGAGGATGAAGCCGATCTCGCGCCACGAGTCGCATTCGTTGCACTGTTTGGATTAGACGAAGCCCCCGGAGGTGGTGGGGGCGGCATGAGAGCAGCAGTAGTGTGCTGGAGCTGGGGTGAGGTGAGCGGCGTTCGTGTAATAGCGCCCTTTGATGATGCTTTCGATTGTTGTTCGGTTTGTGCGTTGTTACCAGTGCCTGGATTGCCCGTCGCTCGGTGGATCTGACTGGTGAACACCGGACCAGCGTGTGCGGCCGCCGCCTTTGTTACCTGTGGGGCCCCTGCAGTCGATGAAGCACTCCCGCTCAGTGGGTTTTTATCTTCCTCGACTTTTGTCTTCATATGCTCTAGAAAATGCGCGGTTGATTTCGGATCCAGATTTGACGAGCAAGCGGGCGCTGTCTTACCAACTTCCGCCACGGACACGGTCTGCTCGTTTTTGACGTCCTCGCTCGATTCAGCCACCTTTTTCGCAATCTCCTTGTTCAAAGCGGTGATGGCAGCGTTTGCACCCATCTTGGAAAAATCCGGCAGCGCACGAGCGCTACTGCTCTGCTCGTTGTCCTCCTCCTCGTCCTCACTTGAAGAGGAGCGTGCTGGATTGCTTGATACTTCAACTTCAAATTTTCTTGCCAGAGGCCTTTTGTTTTCTTGCTGCAGCTCTTTCCCCTGGAAGTTCCCCCTGCGTCCCTGCCGATTTGACTCTCTCCTCATCCATTTTCCTCCATGCGTGCCTGTAGTTTTCGAGGGCTGCTCGTGCCGGTGTCTGCCCTCAAACTCAATCGCCCTATCGCCGTCGGAAGCAGAGGTGTTTCTCTGACTTCGATAGTTGTTCGTCGTCGCGCCGTGGTGGTGCTGGTTCGACTGCCGCCCGCGTCCCTTGCCGCCACTGCGATTTTGATTGTTATTGTAGCTATCATGCTGGTTGAACTGCCGACTCGACGCTGCGCCCGTACCTACTGCTTGCTGCGGACTGGACTGAGCACTCTCGAAGCCCCGAGCGGAATTCTGGCTCGTCCCGCCTACATTCTCATTGTAGGAGCCCCAAGCTGAGTTGTTCTGGCTCGTCGTCCCGCCCACATTCTCATAGTGGTCCCAAGTGGAATTATTCTGGCTCCCGCTGTTATTTTCATAGCCCCAAGCCTGATTCTGGCTTGCACCAGCGCCACTGGCAGCACCGAAACTGTGCCAGTTGCTGCCTCCTCCTTTATTGTTCTGCTGTTGTGAGGACGAAGCACCTGCAGCTGGCGTGGCACCGCCAATGGACACTCCTGGGTTCTGCCAGTTGCTCCAGTTGTTTCCTCTCCCTTCGCCCTTGCTTCTCTTTCCTTTGTGGTTTAGGTTATTGCGCTTTTCATAGACCGATTGATCGGTCTCGTTTTTCTTCAGAATCCAACGCCATGTGATGTTGATTCGCGGGCGCGTCTTGTCGGGCTCCTCCGGAAGCTGGTGCTTCAGATCTCGCTGAAAATTTCCTTCCATCGTGAAGTAGCTCAGCTCCGGAAGAACAATTTCCTCTATCACATCTTTCGTCCTGTGGTCAACAATCTGGAATGTCCGGGGCTGTCCGATGCTGAAGGAGACAATCTTAATGGCGGAGTTGATACCGTCAAAAATGAACTCGTTGTCAGAGTGGGCGCCCAATTTCGCGGACCCATTTCTGTACAAATTGATATTGCAGCCGTTCGGCGGATTGTCCATCGGAAGGTGCAGCGTGATCATCATGTGTCGTCGCATCGCCTCCATCCAGTCAGGAAAAACCTTGGGGATGTTCGTCTTGGTGCTATCGTACGAATACGGAATCTGCATATTTTCTTCCGTGTACCAGGCAACCATGTGGTTGTAATTCCGTTTCTCCCATTTGATGTTCTTCTCCAAGAAGGACAGAAGACCCTCAGCAAAATTCTCGATGCGCTCCGTTCGCGGCGGCTTGTACAGGATCGCCTGGCATCCGGGATAATCTCGCTTGTGTTCTGGCTCTTTTCCAAACACAGTTTCTGGATAATCGTATTCCACCTGAACAGAGGTTGTGTATAATTGCTATTGCACAATAGATTGATACTACTGGAAAGAACCGAACCCTGTGCTTTTTCATATGTTCCTTATCCTTTCTATTTCTTTGAAAGATCTTCAAAAAAGAGTTCCACATCTATCTGATTTTGCACATGCACAGCAGGCGGAGGATATTCCTTTACAGCGAGCCGTTTGGCCCGCAAAAAGATACAGTATTTTTACCTGTTCGAGGAACGGCACCGGGTCTCGTGAAAAACACTTTTTTTCCCAGGCTTCGTGGGCTGCATCTAGGGGAACCCGATTCTTGTCGAGTTTCTTTTTTTCAACAGTATTGACGTGCTGTACGTTCGTATGATCGTAAGCCTCGTCATTTTGCTCCGATTCTTCTTCCCGCATGTCGGTCTCGTGCTCGTCCCAGCGTTCCGGTTGATTGTAGTTTTCATCTCGACTGTAGTTCTGGCCGTCGTGATGATCACGCCAAGAGCCTGCTCCTGGGGTATGGTCCTGATGGTAGGATCCTTCGTATCCGGGGTTGGAGCCAGCTGGCGGGCTAGCAAACGGCGAATTGCCAGAAAAACCAGGGCCAGCAGGAACCTGTAGTAGTAAAGTCAAAATAAGAAGAACCCTAAAAGCCTAAACCCTGTAGTTGTAGTAACGTTTGTTTTATTATTTGCTGGCAAGTAGAAGCAGAAGGAAAGCTATCCTACTACTTCTTGTAGCCTTATGCACGGACGTCTACGTTGGCGCAGCTGCGGCCCGGTAGGCGTTCGTGATCATCATGTGCATGTGCTCGTCTCCAGTAATATTTTAAAATTCAGCTTGAAAAGATAAAGGACAAGACAGAGAGAGGAACTTGTGGAGTAGGAGTTGCGATATAGAAAAAGGAAGAGCATGTGCATCTTCTATTATGATTGTCGGTGTAAGATAAGTGTCACAAGTACCAGAGACACGTCCTGCGAAGGAAGATTCGGGTTGGCCGAAACCAGAGCTCCGCTCCCAACAAACGCTTGCACTCGGGGTCCTGGCTGTTGCGGATGTTGAGGAGGCGCCATCATCAGCCCCAGACCCGTCGGATTCGGGTGCGCGATTTGCTGATACTCGTGAAATAGTTGTCTCAGTCGATCATCGACATTGTCACGGCTGTCTTCCAGGTCGAAATGTCTCTTCAAGTCCTGGTCTAGACCTGCTGCATTCATCCACTCCTCGTCCGAAGGGTACAGCTTTTGACACAACTTTTTCTTGTATTCGATGGACATTTTGATCGCTATTCCAAGTTCGGTTCCGCTTCCGTGCGCCAGTGCTGTATTCAATTCTTCCTCGCGTCCTTTCACAGAAGGCAGCATACGGATATCCGGTAGCTCCGCTACAGCAGGTGGAGGTGGCCCACTGCTCTTCGCATGCGAGGGAGGCATCGCAGCCGTCGCACCCGTCGGCGGCGGGGCGCTTGCTTTGCTCACCAGTGTAGTTGCCGCGCTAGTCAAAGGTGATGCCTGGACAGGAACTTGATTTTTCAATCCTTCCTCTTTCCCTGGTAGCGGCACTAAATTGCGACGAGAAGGTGAGGCTGGTGCGCTCACGGGTTGTTTATCTAAGGGAACGCCGTCGATGTCCCCTTTATTTTGTTCGGCGACAGGTGGCGCCGTTATCGGTAGCTTCGCGGAATATGCGCCGGTTTTGACGGACTCTGCCACTTGCACTTGATCCGCAGACTTGTTCTCGGAACTGGGCTGCTGCTCGGCCTCGGGCTCTGCTTTTTCCGCCACAGCTCCTGAAGAACCCATGGCCTCGGGAGTTTTGCTTGTCCCCGGGGCTGCGCCAATAGTCGACGCAACGGGTGGGGCCTGGACGCCTCCGCCCCCTCGCGCAGCTGCTGAAGCGCCACTCGTCGGGTGACCTTCGCCAGTCGGTGTCGGTCCGATCGGCCCGGCTTGCATCCCAGCCGACGCACCTGCAGGCTGAGATTGCGCTGTGGTTTGCAAAGCAGAAGGCGGTACCGCACCAGGAACCATTTTTGGTCCGCTTTGTGGACCGACGCCTAGTGGCAAACTCCCGATTGCAGCTGGGTTTGCGTTTGCCGGAATCCCTGCAGCATTAAACGACGGAGGGGGCAACGTTGGTGGAGATAGATGAGACGCTGGAAGCGGCCCTGCAGCAGCTACCGCAACTACTTGCACTCCTCCACCTGGGTTGCTCGGAGATTGGCTCGGCCCAACAAGTTGCTGTGCAGCCGCAAGCGCGACTGTTCCACCTTGAACTGGAGGCGATGGCACCGGAGGCAACGGCTGGTTCTGATTCTGCGAAGACGGGGAAGCTGCCGCGATGGCTCGTATTTGCGGCGGAGGTGGAGGCGGAGGGGGCGGGGGCGCGCCGGCAGAATTCGACGGACCAAGGTTCCCATCTTGGACTGTTACTCCACCACCCTTCGCAACTTCGTCTCTTGGTGTCTTTCCGCCCCTTCCCTTCCCCCAGTTTGGTCCCGCGGGCTTGTTGCCTTTCAAGCCAAAAGAAATCTTTGTGTTCCTGTCGTCTTGTTGGGAATTGTTGTAGCTGCTCGAACCTTTGTTCTGCCGCTGACTCCCGGATGCTGAACCTGAAGGCGGCTGGTCAAACCTGGTGGTCCGGGCGGTGGCCCCTCCCGTACCCGCCGGATTCGATCCAAATGCTTCTTTCTTCGATTCGGCATTCGCACTGGATCTCGGATTTTTATCTCCTGCCGCACGAGGCGGGCGATAATCGTTCGGCGGCTGTCCCCTGTTCCCAAATGTGCCTGATGTCGTGCGCTGGTTCTGATCACGCCTACCGAAAGTCTCGCTCCCCCGCTGCTGACCTTGTCGGTTCTCATCGTAGTTACCCGCACGTCCCCCGCGCCGGTCGTCATACCTGTTTTGATCGCGACCCCGGTCTCCCTTGCCGTCGCCCTTTTTGCCCTTGTCGTTTCGATCAAAATTGTTGTTTCTACCACCAGTGCCTCCGGCACGACCACGTTCTCGGCTGTCTTCCCCATGACCCCGGCGATGTTGCTTATTATCTCCTGTGCCTTCCGCGCCACGTGGTCGACTGATGGGCGTATCCCCGTCTACTGGCTTTCCGTAGTAGTCATCGTCTCTTTTCGTGTCACGCCTGCCGTTTCGGGACCTGCCTCTGCTCGTAGCTTTTGCAGCATCCGAGCGCCCGGGATTGTAGTCCCGCCGAGGCCCGCCTCCCCGCCGACTCCGACTGCGGCGCTGGTCTTTTTGGCCCGATTTGACGCCGTCGTTGGCACGAGATTTGGCGTTCTTGTCCTCGAACCGGCCACGCTCGTTACTGCCACTGCGACGGCGACTGTCAGCGCGGCCCCGGTTGCGACGACTGGAACCGCTTCTATCAGCACGTTTTCGTCCTCCTCGCTGTTGACCTGGCTTGTTGGTTTCCCGCTTTCTATCGTCCTCTTTGTACTTGTCATCGCGATCACGTCCTTTATTTGTGTCATAGTTGTCGTCTTCACGACGGCCTTTACCGCGGTCATGGTCCCTCGATCGGCTGTCTCTCGAACGCGACTTGGATTTTGCTTGATCCTTGCTACCGCGGCTTGGCCCTTCTTGAAAGGTCTTGTTCCGCGGAGTCTCCCTTGCTTCACGGTCCTGCTTTGGTTCTTTCGCAGACTCGCGGCGATCGGAAAAGGTGCCTGCTTCATGGGTCTTCTTACCCTTGGAACCTCTGCTGACGCTTGCGGACGCGGAGGCCTCCTGCTGGTTTCGGTCTGAAGCCTGCTGTTTGTGTCGCTTTCTCGTTATACCTGCGTCTGCTTCGCTACCTTCACCAGATTGCTTTCCGCTCCCCTCGCCTCTACGTTTTTTCGTTTTGGCTTTTTTTCCCTTGGCGTGATTAGCCTCATTTTCGTCATTGCTTCTCCTGTCTCGTGAAACTGAAGATGCCGAGGATGATCTGGATTTCTTGCCTCGCTTCATCATGTTCTTTCGTTTTTTAGCTTTGTCAGTGGGATTTCCATCATCGTTCTGACTTCCATCTTCTTCTCTACTCCGCCGTCGCTGCGCTTTTTGCTCGCTGTCTTTTGCCTTTGTTCCCGCCCGGTCGTCATCTGCAGGCATCTTGTCATCGTGATACTTGCGTCTTTCACCTCCCGACCCCTTATCGCTTGCCCGCTGCTGTTCCACGTCCTTGCGAGCTACTAACTTTGCTTTCGGAGCCTGAGCCTGAGGTGTCACCGCTGGAACATCTTCATCTTTTTTCCGAGCGTTTTCGGTTCGACGATCTCGATCTGATGAGGGCTTGACAAAATCAATCTCGTCCTCGGCGCTCTGACTCGCGGCATCATCGCGAGGAGAAGGGACTCTCTCCTTGTCCTTTTTTGTCTTTTTAGTTTTCTTTTCTTTTTTCCTCTTTTTTTTCTTTTTGCTTCCGGACTGTTCGTCATTCGGCTTCTCATCTTCTCTGTTCCCGTCTTCAACTTCATCTTCACCTAGACCTACGGTCTCCATAGATGGCTCTGATTTATTTCCAGATTCTCGTCGCTTCCTCTTCGCGCGGCCTCGGTGCGCAGTATTGTTGTCAACCAAGCTTTTTCCGCTGTCTGAAGAACTGCCCGCCATCTTTGCCACAGCTCTCTGAGTTGGGTAACCACAACGTGTACGTCTTTACCACAAAATTGTCAGGTCAAAGAAGAAGTGAGGCACAAGCAAAACTGTACTAAAAGACTACTTACCACTGCTAGTGCAAATCGAAATCTTGATAGTCTTGAAAACTGCTTACTTAGCAGGATGGTTGACCCTGACGTGACTGAAATAACCATGAAGAATCATGTTGACGGTCCGGTGCTTTAAGTCGGAGATGCAAGTCTACTTAGACACCTTAAGTTTCCAAAAGAAAAAACCGAAGTACTTAAGTCAGTGGACATCTTCCGGCTGATCAGCAACAGCATCCAAATGTAGTAGTTGATTTCATCGTTATTATGGATCTGCAGCATCCGCACCATCACTGTTGAAGATCAAATTCAACATTGGAGTTCGATGAACCGCCTTCTACTTAAAAGTTCCACATCCACCAGCACAAGCTATGTAGGCACTGTATGGAAGTCGGGCGAGAGAACACACGCAACGCAAAAAACAGCACGGTTTTCGCAGATGGAGATGACTGCGGGTCGATTCACAGGATGTTCTCGTCCAAACAAACAGGTTTAAATAGAAGCAAGTTCAACATCACATGCGACTAAAATTCAACACAGACACAGCCTCGTCCATTGTACAGAAACAATTCAGGCTTTCCAACTCCGAGTGGTTCGCGGATGGTGTGTTCAAAACCACATAGGCTTGCTTGCTGGTCGCATGTAACATCAAGTTCAAATTTTCACAACACGTTTTGTCGAAAAGTTTTCCAGCATCAAAATGCCTTGTAGTCTGGTTCTGCTAGAACTAGGTTGATAAGAAGCTCGGTCTTTCGGATGGAGTGTGTGTCCCCTATCCGTCGCATACAGTTGTTTTTTCTGAAGATGATATTTTTTGGATTTAGTTGTTGACTTTAAAACATTCACGAGTATAAAAAGTAGCTTTTAGCGTTCTGTCTACTTTTTTCGGTTTCGACTTTGGATACCGCTGAGAACGGCAACAGTTAACACAAGCAAAGACAACAGCCGACTGGTTCTTCTCGCACGTCGTGCTCAGATGGTCAAGGTTCTACTCCGTTCTACTAGCGAGCACAACTCGAACGAGATTCTCAGGGCTGCAGGATGCCTCGTTTGATCTCGTCGTCGATGACTTTGTCGATCAAGTTTTTGTTCAGACGCACTTCCTCCGCGGACATGTTGGACACCTTCCGCGCCGCCCGCTCCTTGATCTGCTCCCGCAACTCCTTTACGTAGGCCTGACCCTTCGCGACCTTGATCTCCTTTTCCTTTTCCTTGTCTGCGTAGAACGATTCGGCGTCCTCAAGCAAAATGCCACCTTGAGCTGCTTTGACCTGGATTAGTAGAGAAGTTGTACACAGGTAGGAGTGAGTGATGCGGATGTTTGGTTTTCACTTATTTCTGAACGAGAACAAGAACCTCCAACCGTGCGAAAATCTTCAGTCATCTTCCCTACGTAGCCTACACAAGGGAATGGTGCAAGTGAAGTTCTTGCACGGTCATTTGTGCTTTAGCATTAGTTTTTGCAATTCATATTAAAGCGTCAATACAAAAATGAAAATCTTCGTACCTCGCTGTGCATCTGGCGCTTCCCATTCTTTATTGCCATCTGCATGAGGACGTAATCGCGGGTTTCTTCGCGCATTTTACGGAGCTTCTCGACCTTGTTGACCTCGTTTTCCTCGGCGAGATCCTCCTTCTCCTTCCGCTGCGCGTTCGCGCGGCGCTCGTCCTCGGCGCCCTTGCTTGCCGCAGCCTTCGCCACAGTGCTCTTCATCTTGTCCATAAGTTCCTGTAGTTGTAATGCGGTCGTGAACGTGGCGAAGGTTATTCTTATTATAGGAAAACCGGAAAAAGTGTCCAAATTTACTTCGGATCTCCACATTCTCCCCTCCATTTTCTCATAGAAATTGGAGAAAAGTCATTCTCATGATACGCGAGATTTATCAAAAAACCTCTAGTACCTTCTGTCTAGCATTTCTCCTTTCCAGTTCGCGCTTTTTCTCTTCCTCTTGCTGTAGGAGAAGTTTATTATATGCCTTTGCCCGTTTCATCTCCTCCTCCTTGCGCTTTAGCTCCTCCTCTTCTTTATGCTTCTTTGCTATGTCAATGTCCTTCTTAACCTGTTTTTTTTTTTGTTTTCAAATTGAAGCAACGGCATTTTTTCAGTGATGGGAGCGCCAGGCCTTGCAAGACGAAAATTCGATGGCGCTTCTATGTGTAGAAGAAGTCGATACCTTCATGAACACGGCTTTTTTCTCCGCTTTTGCGATTTCCTCTTTCCTCAGTGCTTCTTCAATCTCGCGCTGCACCTTGGCCAACAATCTGATATCTTCCTGGCGGATCTGTATTGTGAAAATCAACATTGCGGCTTGCACATATTACTCGGAGCACCAGCACATGCACAGCACTCACGAGCATGCATTATCTGAGCTGCCTTTATTTTCTGAAGCCATTTCTGAAGCGCATACTTCTGATGCAATGCGACGTGGAAATTATCGTACCTGTTCCTTTTCAGCCTCGATCCTGGCCTGTTTCAACGCAGCTGCCTCGTCACGCTCCTTCGATTCTCGTTCTGCTAGGTATTTAATGTGGGCTTGTTTCACTTCATCTTCGTGCTTCACCCGTTCGTTTTCTTCCTCGATGACATATTTCCAGAGACTTTCCTCATATTTTTCCTTCGATATTCTGTCCGTTCGCACTTGCACTTGGTTGTCCAAAAATTTCGTGTATTTTTCCTGCAATAAGAAGTTGAAGTTTACGTTGCAAGAATAGCAATTCAGATTCATCCCGATCAACTTAAAAGGTACTAGCGATCCAACACACATCCATACATCGAAGGAGCGAAGAGCAGAAAACCGCTCCTGGAAAAGAAACATCAAGAGAAAGAGTACCTTTGTCTCCTCAACTTTGGCTTTTTTCACGGCGTCTTCGTCTGCCGCTAATCGATCCTGGTAGTCATCGAGGCGCACCCAGTTGAAGCCCATGAGGTCTTCTATCGTAGTAGCGGGACGCTCGCCTGTCTTCTCCTCCCCACCCTCTTCGCCTTCCTTGCCCTCGCCCCTGGCAGCCGCCAGGCGCTCGATATGCGCCCGGACACTGTCGGCTTGACTTGCGTGTGACAGCTGCGACAGGTGCGAGTACCTGCGTGTGGGAGTGGGTGTGCGTCACGTCGAGTGTAATTTGTTCCTTTTCCACTACTAATTCGCGCTGCTCGAAGAGCCGCAAGAATAGTTGTACTTTAATACGCAAATTTGAAGAAGGGGTCAGAAACACGTAGTTTTTACTCGAGGAGCGATTATACTCTGACATGTGGCTCCTCTTGTCCTCCTCGTCTTTTGTTTCGTTGTCCACCCGTTTTAGCAACCTGTCCAAGTTTTCTTTCGATAGCTTCGCGTTTTGCTCCTGGAAATCGGCGACTTGGCCCTCGATGATGCTGTCCAGAGTTTTTGACTTTCCCCGCATCTTAGCCTTCGCCTCCGGATGCTCTTCGAAGTACTTCTCCTTTACCTGAAGATAGATGTTAATGTTTTCGTTTTGGTTTCTTGTTTTTCGGAGTCGTAGAGAAACACGACGGGTGGCATATTTGACAAAGCATCCGCTCGTCCATCCATGAGAAGTAGGCGGCTTTTGAATTTGAAACCTCTACAAAGAAGTCGTACCTGTAGTAAGAGCGCGTCTTTCATTTCCTCGCGCTGCTTGAGGTAGAGTAGCTTCTGTAATCTCTTCTCACTTATTTGCTTCCCCCTTCGCTGTGAACTCGTCTCAGAGCCATGGACTGAGCCTGTTATAGTTATTTTTTGTTTTCGAAATGTCAGACACATTTTCCTCGAGAAGACCGAGAAACGAACGAAACTGCAAATCGAAATCTGCTTCTCAGTCTATGCGGCGCGTGGATGTGCGAAATTAAAAAACGGTGCGTAAATTATCTGAATGTTGATGTTCTGATTAGTTGATTTAAGCTACTTACAAAGCCACTTCTAACAAACCTTAGCTGATGTAAGAAGGCTACTCACCTGCTGACTTTGGTCGCATCTTGATGGGTGAAACGGCCTTTGGGGACAGTGTGCCTAGTCGGCCCATAATCGCGCTGTGCTGCAAGTGTTTTCGCTTGTCGACCACCCCTGCGAGGGGTGACCCCGGTGGACTCGCGTCCTCCGGCATGGTGGTTGCTTTATTTTCCCCTAGTACTCACGACGGAGCAGCCAAAATGCAGGTGCGCCGGATCGATGCTTCGAGGCGAAGATCAGGAGATGGAGAAGCGAACCGGGTAAAACGCCACTGGAGCGCAGGCGTGGGTCAAAACGTGTGTGGAAAAGACGTCACGTACTCTGACACAGAAGCGGAATCCGTTGTAGGAGGCTAGAAGTAAGTAGCGCTGTAGAAGTGGTGCGGGGTATCTCTTGGTCTTGCCGAAAAAAAGGCCGCGACGCGATGAGAAGAGTAGACAGCAGTTCCGGTATCTTGTTCTGCTCTACGTCGAGACTCGGTCCTACTTTTCTTCGGATAGATACTGAGCCACAATCCGCCGCTCCCTGACTGCCGGTATCTTCGTCTTCGATCGTCTTGCTTCTCGAGATTGCACTGTTTATTTTGTCGGTGTACTCCTTGACCTGGGTCTTGAAGTGTCAGCAGAATGCTTTGCGCAATATTATTGTTGCCGCCTCCTCGCGAGACACAGAATTTCTAACGGCGCATGGCCGATCTCTCGCTTCTTCGCCAGGCTTCCCTAGATGAAGATGAAAGTCTATCTATCGACATTACGCTAGCCACCCTGCGGAGAAACGGACTAATTACATTTTTGCGACAGCACTACCGAACGATTTCTCTCTGTGTCGCTCGGCGATTTGTTTCGTTCCTGCAGCAGCTATCCCGATGTAGTTTTGTTTATTTGCTCCACCACGACATTTGACCCATCGTATCTCCGCTAGTTTCGCTCGCTCGAGAAAGAGTGATATTGATGTTCCTAGTAAAGTACGAATCTACGACGAAAACGACGAGTAAAATCCGAAGGCACGACTTATCATGTTCCACACTACGAAAAAGAACATCAACGAGACCTCAATACAATTTTTTTTGCAATTTATTCCTGAGCACGAAGAACACACTACCCACACTGTACACCAAACAGGCTGTCGAAAGCCTACAGATTAAGGCGAAGCCCATCCTCGGTCAAAGCCAGCGCGAAACTCTCGTCTCCGTTTTTGGTTGCAATCACATCGCGGTGACAACGAAATTATCCACCAGAGTGGTTGTGCAAGAAGAAGTCATCACGCGGAGCATGTAAATCACAATACAGAACAGCTACCCTGCATCTGAATCTGTTGACGCTCGTTACTACCCTACGAGCATCTAGATCTACGAAATCGAAACAAAATCAAAAATCAGTTCTGCATAAGCATACGTCTCATCATTCAAGAAAATCCTACAGATATTGCAGCTGAGCAGAATCCATTAGCTGCATAGGCATAGGGGTGCAAAAGTGCAAGTGCAAGAAACTAACGTATGAGTTTATACGCCAAGGATGGGTCGTAGAAGAACAAGGAGTCGTCCTGCCGTGTCGCGCTCGTGGCACTGGTGACGCAGTGCCGGCGGGACTGTGTAATTTGCGATCAAAAATGTTTGCCCCATTTTAATCGTCGGTCCACCAGCTGCGTTGCAGGCTGTTTATCGCACATGGTTTGCAGAGGTCGTAGTTGCAGCGCTGGCAATGGAAAAACGGCTGCACATTCTCTTCCTCCGAATTCGGTCGTGGCAAGAGCGGTTCCCCCGGAGTGTTCCTCCGTCTTCTTCGCTTGCCAGTTGCATCATCCCTCTCGTCACTACCGAAAGCGAAGAGCTTTCGCCCGACCGCGGTGGCAAGACGAACCGGCAAAAACCGCTTTGCGAGTGCTTTGCTCTTCTCAAAGGTCACCAGGTCTGCCTCCTCATCCTCTTCCTCCTGCCACGAAGAACCCGATTGGTCCAACACGGCTGACCTTGCGGGCGGGAACAAATCGCGTTCTTCGCTCAGTTCCTCTGCGATATCTGACCGTACGTGGAAAAGCGACCGGTCGATGGTCTGCAGGGAAGTAGACGCCTCCTCGTTTTTGTCGCGGGTCTTCTTGCTTTCGCTCGAAAAGCTGTACTCGGGCGTGTCGTACTCCTTCCACGAGTTCGCATGTTTTTCCGCTTTTCTTTCGGTCGTGGACGATCCTTTTTTAGAAGCCCGCCTTCTTGCACCGATGCTGTTCTCTTCTTCAGTCGCAGCAGCAACATCGCCAGCACGAGGACCCCAGCCGGTGAGGGTCCCGGCTGCGGCCGATAGGTATTCGTATGCCTGGTGCAGGGCAGCGGCCGGGCCAGCCGTCGTTTTGTGGTCCCTCTCCGCATCTTCGTCGTCACTTTCCGGGTAGAACAGCACGAAGCTCCCCCGCTCGTCCAAATACATCGGATTCACGTCGAGGCGCTTTCGGTCGCACCCGTCACAGTCCACGCCCCGACAGTACATCTTCGCGTCGAGTTGCGCCACGCCGAAGTACCGGTCCATTCTGCGCAAGCACCGGGGGCACAGGGTGCATTCTGGGTAGTTCGAAAACTCCTCCAGCATCACGCGCTGCGGCAACCGCCGCCACCGTCTCTGCGCGGGCGGAAGCGGTGTAGGCTTCTGGGCGCGGCGCTGCCCCTCATCGGCGAACGATCCCGACGCAGTGGCACCATTGTCGGTGTAAGTAGAGTCATCTTGTTCCACCTCCCCGAAAAGCATCCGCGAGGTCGCGGCGCGGGAAACCGACCAGGACGAGGTTTGCATTCCGTCTTTTTCGCTGCTCCTTGAGCTACCGTTGTAGTTCCAGGCACCACTTGCGTTTTGCCAAAAGTATTCTTGATCTTCGTTGTAGTAACGCTGAGCATTTTGATTGTCATCCCGGTTGCGATTCCTGTCGTTCCAGGCTCCGATGTCTTTTTCGTTTTCCACCTTGCCACCTGCTGATCTTCTGTTCCTATCGTACTCAAAGTCCTCTCGGCCGTCCGCCCCATGCTCTCCGTTTTTTATTCCGCCAGTATCATGATCATCAGTGGGTCTATTTCTCGCTTGTTCTGCTGCTGGTGTTATTCCGGTTACCACTTCTTTCACCGGCACGCACATCAACTCGCGGTCCTCGCCTTCAGGCGTTTTCCCAGGATCAGCGTAGAAAAGAAACGGTGGCACTTTCAGGTGCGGTCTGGCCGAAGTGGTTGAGGATCCAAGTGCTCGGTCATCCGCGCTCTCCGTGGAGGAGACCCCGCCGAAGAGGATCGTACCCTGTGGGTCTCTGTTGAGCCTGTTGTTCCCGACTGAGGAGGAGGACGCTGACGCGCCAACACCACCAGCAGCCTTGCTTGTGGCCGGCTCGCTCGCGCTTCCCTCCGCACCTCCGAGAATCTCGCTGGCACTGCCGCCCTCCGAAGACGGTGCCAGGGCTGCGCCGCGCATAGTGGAGGTTAGGGAAATAGGTACTGGTGGTGCACGACCGTGGTTCATCTTCTGGGGCAACGGGAACGCAGTGGCAGCGGAGCTGCCATTATCCTCCTTTTCCCCTTGTGGATCCGATGAAAGTGCGTTTTTCATCGCCTTCGTCAGTGCATCCTCGTCTTCGATTGCCATTATTTCACCTTCGCCGGCTTCGATAATACCTGGGGAAACATCTTCGGCAATTTGCTTCGGCGGGCAGTATTGCTCGATCATTCGTGGCGGCTTCGGCGGCCGCTCGACGTCGAAATCGTAAGTCTCTCCGCGGGACAAAATGTACTCGTCCAGTACGACACCATCCATGCTGAACAGGACAAGCTCAAACTCGTAGTCGCCCGGGGCAATCTTCAGTGGATCCCACGAGGACTCCTTGCTCGCAGTCTTCTTGCTGTTCTTGCTCCCGCTGCTCGCTTTGTTCTGCATAGCGGCCTCAACACCGGTCCCACGCGGCTCACCCGGGCCATGATCCGTATTTTTGCTAGTTGTGCCATCATTTCGGTCTCCTTCGTCGAAGATCGCGTCGCGGCGCGGCGGCGGGCGGACGATCCACTCGCTGCGGGGCTTAATCCGGGTTTGCGTGATCGGAACCGGATCCCACAGCATGCGCAGAAAATTCGGCATGCCGTCATACACGGCCCCCCGTTTCTCGTCCAGCGGCGATTCGCCCAAGCGGTACAGTCGAGCACCGACCGTGCACGGGCTCCAATTGCGCACCACCATCGGGGCGTCCGGGAGAGGCGTTGCCCACACCTTGCGCAGAAGCGGATCTTTTGCGAGTGTCACTACGCCGGTCGGCCCAGGAACGGCGGCGGAACTCCGACCTGCTGCTCGGGAAACGACATTGTACAGAAAATTCAGATTTCCGGATGAACTAGTGCTTGCGCCGTCCGCGGAAGAAGATGGTGCTCCCCCGTATGTCCAGTACGAACTCAGCACAAGCTCGTCGCCCGCTCGGAGATCGTTTTTCTTCCGACGCCGCCGGCCTTGGGCTTGCTGCGGCAGCACGTTGCCATCGTCAAAGTCCTGTTCTTGAAAATCGTCGTCAAGCAGCCCCATATTGCTGTTTTCCAGAGCGAGACTGACTCCACCGTCCAAGTCCTCTTCGACGTTTCCTGCATCTTCTTCTTGCGCATGGTTGTAATCCGACTGCTCTTGCTCCGCTCGGTACTGTGCCAATAAAGCGGCCAGCTGCACGCTGCGTGGTTGTGGGATTATGCGGGTTCATTTAAAAACAGAGATTTTCTGATGAATCATGTTACCTTCAGATCAGGTGTCTAGTTGTACAAGTATGAAAAAAAGCAAATCAGATGAATCGCCAAGCATTATACCTGGCTTGCGGTCGCCACATTTTAGCGCGATTCAACGCTAGCAAGCGTTTGACCACTTCCAAACAGCGCACAGCCCTTTCGCCCACCGAGGTGCATTCGAGCAACGTCGGCGTTTGTCCGCGCCACCACTTTCGCAAGTTCGGGAGTTGTGCGGTCTGCAGACACACATCGAGAACGGCGAGAAACATCTGGCACAGCTGCGGCACAAGCAGGTTCTTTCCCCAAACCTCGGCTCCCTTCCGCCACACTGGGTGCGCGGCGAGGGCGCGAATCGTCTCCCGCACGTTGTGCCGGTCGATCGAAGACAGATAGGTCGAAACTGGCGAGACCAAATTCATCATTGCAGATTCCTGAACGTAGCATTTGAACGTGTCTTGCCACTTCTCGAACACGAAGACGCACGCCGCAACGGCGTGCTGGGCGGTGGTGAGCGCCCGCGGGAACGGCTCGTACTTGCGCTCCGACGGCTGCACCGTCTCGCACATGCTATTGAGAAAGCGAGTCTGTTTTGCCATGTCTTTCGAAGAGAGTCCGGCCTGGGTTTTCCTCTCCAAGAAGGCGGAGGTTTTTTGCAAGACGAAGGCCAGCGTTCCGTACAAATACGCGACGGCGTCGCGCAACTTGATGCTCTTCTTTAGTCGGACCGTCTCGCGGCGCGCAATTTCTTGGAAAAGGGCGCGCCGGTGCATGCGTTGGCGGAAGTCGTAGTACTGGCCGGTCAAGTGGCCACTGGCGACCGCAACCCCGATTTGCACAAATTTGATGTACGGTTCGCAAAAAGGAATGTATCCGAGGCCGATGGCAGAAGAGAGGCCGGTCATCACGGCAATGTCAAATACCCCACCGGGGTGCACTTCCAAATACCGGGTGGACGACATAATGCTGACGTACTTGTCTACTAAAATCGGATTCTCTTTTCTATTTGTCGCATCAAATTCAAAGAACTGTAGAACTACTCGTTTTTTAAGTGGTATGATCTCATTGCTTATCGCCTGTCTTCAGAAGATTGTGCCTTTTGGCAACGATAGCGAAACGTGGTTCGCGCCGGACGAAAAAGGATAAATGTGACACAGTAGGTGCATGCACATCGACATCCACATTGCGATGAAGATGCTAACCGCTACTTGTAGCAATCGCTGTGCCTGCTCCTCTACACTTTAGTCACCGCTACCGACAACGATGCGACGAAACGAGATGCATCTTTTTGCGCACTCTTCTCTTACTCTTTAAGCGAACTGAACGGGGATAAGAATCAAAATCGAACTGGAAATCGACGTCGACACTTCGAGATTATATGATAGGGACGACTTTCTAGGGAGAAAACCTACAACACGATCGACCTTGCCACCAGCGCGAAAGTACAAGTAGTGCCCAGGCACGACGACAACACGATGCGAACTTTTTCGGAGCAGCACCAGACGCCAGCTCGCTGTGATCTTCTGCGATTGCAAACGCTCGCCGGCTGTGCTCAGCGTTGGATGATATCGATATGGTCAAACATGGACAAAATCCTGTGTCAAGTGTCCAGTGGCAGGAAGCAAGAGCCGTGTCTGCACTTTGCGTTAATATGCAAGCGCGTAAAGCTAATGACGTCTGCTGTCGCATTCAGCGGTAAAATCTTCAAAGGTCTGGATGCGAAAGGTCCTCAGCAGGTTTTAGCTCCTGTTCGTCGGGCTTCTGGGGCCCATGGTTCATGACGATGCCTGGATTGAAAGCCCGGCGCATAGCCGCGTATTGCGCCTCTCGGTTGCGTCGTTTGATCACGTGTTGCAGGAATATCGTGGCCGGACACGTTCTTGGCACTGCTGCTGGTCGCGTGGCCGCGGCGTTTTTTTCCCCCCATGCCCCTGGCCTTGTTCCACTCAGGGCGTCATCCTGCACGACGCAGCGCCAGAACCCATTCTCTTCTTCGTCACTTTTGCGTTTGATGGTGTACCGCACGTAGTGCCTCTCGCAGAATTTCAGTGGCAGATACTTGCACCGGAAAAACCCGAGCGAAGTCCGCGGCGCCCGCAGAGTCGCGGCGGTTACCACCGGCGGTGCAGCGTTTCCGGGTGGAAGTGATGGAGACGAAGCCGGGGAGGAGGTAACGACCGCTTGCTTGTCCCCTGCACCAGTACTTGTGCTAGTATCTGTATCTCGGCAGTGCGGCAGTGTTTTCTGCTGCTGCGCAAGCAAGTCGTCCTTCGGGAGGCCAGTGTCTGGCGCCGTCCACAGCCGCGCGTTGTGGTACCGGGTGGCGAAGGTTTCGTAGGTGGGGAGTTCGTGCAGGCGGAAGTTCGAGAACGGGTTTTTGATTTGGTCCTCTGTGTACGGCACGCAGCGCTGCGCCTCTTCTGTGCACCGCTTCTGGTCGTCTTTGAGCGCGTCATCCACCGCACTGCCCAACTCGTCCGGACACTCGCAAACTAACCGACCGTCGTCACACCGGATCCGCGGCCAAATGTGCTTCGATCTCCCGGGCTCCGGGCCGAAGCTCAGCACGTCCACCACATACTTGTCCAGCGCCTCTTTGAAGGCTTGCTCCTTCTCCTGAACCATCCCCTCGTCGGCGTTGTCGCTGAGCCGCGCCGCGCGCTGCTGCAGCAAGGCTTTCAGGACGGCATTCTGGGACGCCGGGGTCACCGGTGTGTCCACTTGGCACTCGGGCGGAACGTCCGCCCGCACGTCGATGTACTCGCGGCACCGCAACCTGCCGTCATGAGCGTAGGTCTCCAGCTGTCGGTAGTGCGTGAAATGTCGCAAACAGCAGTCGCACTGGACCGTCTCGTACTGCGAAACCGAGCACCCGTTCTCCAGAACTTTCACGTCCGGCATGGCATACCGTAACACCTCCGTGTCCCGCAGGAGCTCTGCCGTCAGCGCGGCGCTGTCGTGCGTCTCATCTCCGGCGGAGAACACGGTGCTCAGTGCGTCGGTTGTTCCTGCGGCGGCTGGCGCACCTAGACCGTGAAGATAGAGCAGAAGTGATACTAGCATCTTCCCGTGGAAGAACAAACGCGTCCCGTAGCACGACTTCCGAGGCCAGAATGCAGCGGCAGTTGTTGCACAGTGAGGCCGTATCGATGGCGCCATGATGGTCTGCGTACATACTAAGGGGAGAATCAAACAACAACCTCTCATCAACAAATTTTTCAAGTCATCTGCCCTCGTGCACCCTCTATGCGTAGCTAGCGCTCAAGCTGCAGCATAATCAAGCAAAACTGTCTCGAGCAACAACTCACTCTCCATCAAAACTCGATAACGAGTTCATCGTGCAGCTTTCAAAACCGTTCCGGGCTGCGGCTGACACACATCGTAGCGCTTGGATTCATTCGTCCAGCTGCTGCAACACTCTGCTGCATTGAACCGCAAAAAAAGATTCCTTCGTCGTACAGATTTCTGTCCACCACGCAAAGGCAAGGCGTTCTGAAACTTTGAAAACTATTAACCATGATCAATAAACTCAGACTGTGTGCATTTCACTTTAACTTTCTTAACATTCATTCATGTATGATGATGACTCTTACTCTTTTACTTTTGCGTGCACTAATCCTGATGGAAACTGTATTACTGTTTTAACCTAGCTGAAACTATGGGTATTGGCACTGAATCTGAAGCTACTTCTATTTACAAACAACAACAAAAGGAAAAGTGTGACAAACAAAAAAGTACATTAGCAAAGTCGCTACGGCATCTTCGTAGTGTTCCAAGAGATGAGTTTACAAGACACAGATCCAGGAGATGATGTATACAACACGGTCAATCACTCCAATGCTGGTGCACCGCCGTGATTTTTCTTCAAGTCGAGGCTCGTGGGCAGCTGTAATGACAACGGCTGCAACAGAACCTTGTCCAAGATCGTCTGATGTCCTCGCGTTTGTAGGGTCGCTGCTGCCTTATTTTTGCCGCGGGATCCTATCGGAGTGCTACCGATGAAGCCCACGTTGTGTTGGTGGTTCCCCCCACCCTTTCCGGCAATGGTGTCCCCCGTAAGACGCAACCGCTCGTGATAGAACACAAAGCCGTCCACGCCTGGAATGCGTACGTGGTGTTTTTTTGTGTTCGGAGACGACCAAATGGATGCTCTGTTGTCGCCTGATGAAGATTCCTGGGTGTTCAGTGCCTTCTTTTCCGTGCGAAAGGTGCCAGCACCGCCTTCGAGCACTTCGAAAGCTCTGGGCAAAAAATCCATTGACAATCGGGCACGGTTCGGATCGTGCCGTTCCTGTTGGAGGAGGCTTTCTAATTTGTCGTCTAGGGATTGTCTTTGGTCTACTCCAGTAACTCCCTGCAAATTGTCGCTGCCAAGAATACTGTCCTCCTTGAAAATACGCGTGCGGCGTACAACCGCTGGACCTCCCCACTCGCTGGGGTTGCGCGAATCTGCCAACCGTTTCCATCCAGTTTTGAAGTCTGCGACGGAATACCGCGTTGCTGCACTCGCGCTTTCGCTAGCCCCCTTGCCGCCACTGGGTGTCGAGATACTACTTCCTTTCAGCTTCATCGCAGATGAAGTGAACGAGTCAGGAGACCTGGACATTTTTCGAGAAGCGCGCGACCCATATCCCCGTGCTGTTTTAGCTCCTCTGCTACTGATCCGACAAGAGGGAGATGAGGAGGCCTTACGACTCAAGCTACGACTGCGACCCCGGGGTGACTGCGTCGACGTGCGCGGCTTCTCTTGTGCTTCTGAATGAGAGCTCGGCCCGCGTGAAAGCGGCCGGGGCCGTCGTGGCTTCGTTATTTCTCCGTTCGACATCAACAGCGATTCTTTATCCTTTTTCACACTGGAAGATCCGCGGCAACGCTCCTTCTGCTGGGTCTCCTCGAGCAAAAGCAACAAATTCATCATGTTCTGGCCGGCAGTCTTTGCAAGTGCCGTTGCAAACTTTCTTTTGTCCGGCGTGTCCACGAAAAGCTGCTCTGCAAACGGGACGATTTTGATTTCCTTTTCTGGTTTTGTTGCACCACTTGCCTTTGTGGCATCAGCCCCATCTGCCGTTGCTTTACCTTGCTCGACGGGCTTGCTCTTTGCGGTCGCCGGGCTGGACGATGGACTTCCCATGTTGTACCCGCCTCCTCCCAGCAATATTCTCAGACTGCTTCTGCAGGGCTGGAGCGTGAGTGGCGATGGGTCGCGTCGCGCTTTCGGGACTGGCGAAGCCAGGCGTGCGAGCGACGGGCTTGTTATCTCGAAAGGTCGCAATTTCGACCTGCTTGCAAAAGTGGAACAACTTTCGCGTGGTTCACTATTTTTGTGCTCTTTCGGTGAAGAAACTACACGAACGCGTGTCTTCTTACTTTTCCGATCCACGCGTGGCCCATAATTCGTCCTCGCTGTACCACGACCTGGGAGGTGGTCCTCATCGTCCTCATCTGAAGACGGGCCTTGTCCAACATTCTCCATCTGTTCTTGTTCAACATGGTCCATCTCCGCCATCATTTCTTCAGCTTCGTCACCCGACGCTGCGATGCGCACCGTCGCGTTTTGGACAAGATCCTTGCTGCCGCGACTGCTACTGTTGACACCGTCCTTCTCTTTGCTACCGAACGAACGCTGGCGAATGCCGTCAAATCGGAGAACCGATGGGCGCCAACTTTTTTCTTTCGAGTTAGACGTCGAGCTGCTGTTCGCGGACTGCAGTAATCGATCGGTCTCGCATTGCTGTGCTGTCGGAGAAGGACTGCCGGTCGGAACGGAAGAAGGACTACCGGTCGGAACGGAAGAAGTAGAAGATATTTTCTGTGGGATGTTGGAATTTTTGTTTTTGTTCCCTTGCTCAGAAGTTTTATTGTCGTTGCTAGTCGTCGTGGTCTGTATTTTTGAGGACTTAGAGTCTTGATCTTCTACTTCTTCTGGACGGGTTAAGTTTCTTTCAGATTTTTCGCCATCCTGTACTTCCTCCGAAGTCGTGGCGGTCCCATTTATTTCATCGGTGTTTTCCCGCGCACTCAAAGTTGGCACTTCTACCCCCTTTTCCGGCTCCGCTACGCTTTTCTCTTCGTTTTTGTCCTGCGGGTGCAGCTTCTGCTTCATCGCTCTACTGCTCTCTTGCTCTTCCAAAATCAGGTTCTCATCCATGGGAATATCTGGGGCAGAGTCATCCGACCGCTCGCTCCCCGCCACGGAGGACCTTCGGCTGTCCGAGGCGCGTACCTCACGCTTCGGGAACAGCAGCACCCCGTCCGCTTGCATGATCGGGACCTCCTTCTGCGTCCCCAGCGTTTCCTCCAGAGATTTCCCATTCGGCAAACTGAAGCTGCCCCGCGGGCTCGCACTGCGTGGCGACAGGCTGCCCGCCCTGCTGCGCGGCGTCAAGCTGCCCCGCGGACTCAGGTTGCGAGGCGTCAGGCTGTTGCGCGGACTCAAATTTTTCGGAGTCGCGGCCACCGCCAAGGCCAGCGCCTGCTGCACGCTTGCCGTCATCATGCGCTTCTCGCTATCCTTCAGCGGCCTCCTATTGCTGCCGTCTGCGTTCGGCGTATCCTTCATGTTGTTCCTTCCGCGAGAAGCGCTGGAGGAACTCGACTTCTTTTTTTCCACTGTACTATCGTTCCCACCTGCAGCGGAGCTAGTTGATGCACGCGGCCTGCTTGTCGCGTTGCTGCTCGGGCTTGGACTTGGTGAGGGGGAGCGAGACCCGGATGTTGAATGAGTAGGTTTTTTGTCACTTGTTGCTCGGCCTCTCCTTGCACTTGCAGTTGCGTTTGACGTCGGAGAAGGTGGAACCACAGGAACAACATTCGCCTTTGTTTGCTGGGAAACAGGAGAAGGCCGTCTAGTGCTGTTCTCAGTCGGCTTTATTTTTGTGCTGCCATCACACGACACTAGTGCTCGACTTCGCCTAGTCGGAGCCAGTGGTGAAGTAAAGGTAGTAGAGACTTGTGCGAGTGCAGACTTGTTTTTCGTACTACCGCTGCCCCCTCCAACGCTCGACGCGGGGGACAGAGAGCCCGACCTTGCTGGCGATAGAGCGCCGTTGATCGCGGTGCTCGCTCTATTACGCGTCGTCGTCCCACCTGGCACAGGAGCACTTTCGGCGGGCGCCACAACGGACCACGCGCCGCTGCCCATATCGAGTTCTAGCTTTCGAAAAACCGACTTTTTCCGCGGTGATCGAACGAAAATCTGCACCTCGCCAGAACCAGACTCGGCGTCCGCCGGTGCGCCGGAGGTGCTACTGCTACTTCCTCGATTTGCCGAGCTAGAGTTGTTCCGTCGTCCCTGCTGACTACTCCGGTTGTTTTTATTTGTGGGTCGTGCAGTACAACCCCCGGACGCACGCTTACTAGATTTGTCGAGCGACAGGTCCCTTTCCTGCTTCGCCGGCACCGAGTGCTCGCGAAGCCAGGACCTGTTTGCGTAGGGATTACTGCACCTGCGCTCCATTGCGTGCAACTGCCGGAACAAAGTCTGCCATTCGTGGTGCAACGCCTGGGCTTTCCTCCTTGTTCGATCCCCGCGAAACCACTTTTGAATGATCACAGCCGCGCGCCACGCATCCCCGCCATAAGAGATTCCGGTTCCAGCCAGTCGGCGTGCAGCTCCCGCAGTGGTCTTGCGGGTAGGAAGAGGAACACCTGCATATGCATCTGATCTGGCAGTTCCTGTCTTTTCTTCCTCGTGCCTTCCGGTAGTTTCGCCCTTCGCAGTGGAGAGATGTAGTTGTCCGGATTCGCTAGAAAAACCGCCATCCGCAACCGTCGCCGTGCCGGTACTAGGCCGATCCTCGTCCGGTCCCACACCAGCAGCACTCATATTTTGTGCTGCCAAAAGCTGCGGAGCTTTGAATGATCCTCCAGATGTTGCCGAGGACAGTACCGCAAACGAAGCGCCACGGGGACGGCTCCCGAAAGACCCCGAGGACAAGGGCTGCACACTCCCCCGATGACCAGCTGCGCGGGTAGCATTGCTGCTGAGTAAAAAGCTACTGGAGAGCTGCTCTCGTCCACTTCCTGTCTGGTGTGTGTGCATCAGATCCCTGCTTTCAACGGTCGTGGATCCTGTAGTTGCAAGTCTCCCGACAAAATTCTGGTCTTGCTCTTCTCTTCGCAACAATGACAGGGGCGCCATAGATGTCCGAGATGGAGTTCCGGTGCTAGCGCTCGGTGTCCCTCCAAGAAGGAAACCGCGATCTTCGTGCTCTGCAACCTGGCTTGGAGGAGCACGAGCTCCTGTGCTACTTGTCGCAAAAACGTCGGCGCCGCAGGCCTGCTGGAACACATATGACTGCGGGGCTGCAATGCTATGTCCGCGAGGTCGTGCGAACTGTACGCTTCTCCTGCCGCCCAAAAAGTTCCAGGCTCCTGAGCCCCCTGCTGCAATCAACGCTCCTGAAGCAGAAGCTCCACCCGGTGTAGCAGCATGTTGGCCCGCAACATTTTTCGGAGCGAGCAAAGTGCTCAGTCTGCTGCGATGCGCCGCCGCTACGCCTGCTACAGACGTCAACGACATCGGCGGTAGAGAAAAGCTGGATGCGGGCGCTCCTTCATGCTCGGCCTCCTGCTCTTGTTCATGTGCGTCAAGAACAACTTCTTCCATCTTCGATGACGGTGTATCTCGTATCTTAATCTTGTACCAGAACCAGCTGTGGTCCCTTTTCTTTTATTGCATCAGATCATCCTTATGCCATGCGGAAGACGGACCCACTAAAACTTTGCCGTTTTTCCTCGCAAAACCAACCTCAGCAAAGCACGGTTTAAGTTGCAGCAAACAAATAGATCTGCGATTTGTCGCCCGTCCAACGATCATGAACGGTGTGTAGAAACGATCTGCAGAAAGAAACCGAGTTCTGTAGCTTTGCCTTCCAAACGTCTCGTTTCCAACATCAGAATATCAAGTTCGTTGACCATTAATTTCCAAAAAATGCACAACAATCATCACGGGAAGGAAAAAATCTTGCACCGAAAGCAGAAGACCCGAATAGAAGACCCAAAAAGAGGAAACACAAACAACAACAAGGTCAAAGAGGCGAGTATGTATTACTAGCTCAGATTCGACGGCAACATGATATTGATGCATCGGCCCCGTCTTGAAATATCTGAAACACACTGTGAGGAAACAAGTCGCAAACTGCCTTACCACTCGGCAGAAGATAACGCCTGCAACTTGTGCAAGTTTTTGATGTCGTAGATACCTTCATGCTCTTCGCCAGCAGATGAATCACAGTTACAAACTTGCAAGTTCATCTGTTGTTGACGTTGAGAGTAGATTTTTATATAAGCAAAAAGAAGTTCAAAAGAGAAAGTCACCCGCACTTCTCTTTGAGAAACAACTACGAAATAGTGCAAGTTGATCGCAATACGCCTTATTGCCCTTGCTGCATACGCGGAAAAAACTTGTATACGTTTGCGTATTGCTTCGCTAGCATTGGTTGCTGTTCATCGTCTACAGCTTCGGAAAAAACTAGTGGTATGGCGATAAAGTTTTTAGGTTACAGTCAAAAAATTTCAAGAACAGAAAAACAGTCACAATGTCAAAAGGAATCACATATTCATCATAAGTATCTGCAGCCATGACGCGTCAGGCTCATCCTACACAAGCTACACGAGCTAACCGTCAAAAGAGCTGTTGATGCTACCTGCAGTTCTACTAAATCACTCAAGAAACAAAGCATCCGCGAAGTAGTTCTGCTATCGAGAGAAGAGGAAACCTAATCGTGAAATCAATGCTCGGGGCTCGAAGAGCATACACCACTGATTTTACACCGAACAATGTTAGAAAAATGCAATAGACCAACAGTGTGTACAAAGTAAGGATAAAGAAACTGATAGCTGAAGCTGATGAGAAACCGGTATAAGGAAACAGGATCTTGTTGTGACAGCTACACTCAACGTTAAAAACGCTAGAAACTACAACATCAACGTACACAAAGCTTAAACTCGAAATGAGTCTTGAAAAAAAAACGTGGTGGAAGAAGCAGAAAATGCATAATAGAATTACGATGCTGGTATTGAGGACTAAAAACTTGGGTAGAAATTTGGATTTGAGTAATTTGAGGTACATCATTCCCATAGTACATAAGTTCACACATTTCTCTTTTATTTCTTCTTGAGTTCCTTGAGCTCGCCCCACCCCTCTTCGTCGCTACTTGCCTCGTCCTCGAGTCCCATAAACTTTTTCTCCACAGACACCGGGGTCTTGGCTTTCGCGCCGGGCTTGCCCAACACTCTACTTGGCTTGTTTGCTATCATCATGGCTTCCGGGTCCTCCTCAGCTTCGCCCTCGGGCAGCGCCTTTTTTGCCGCTTCGTCCTCTGACCCCGACCCGTTCTGGTCAAAGAAGTCCATGTTGCTGTCGAGCTTACTCGGCTGTCTTTGTTCTATCCGCCCCTGTTCGTCTATTCGGCTAAGCGTGTCCTGCGAGTAGCTGTGGTCCTTGGACAAAAACTTGCCCGGCGTCCCGGTCTTACTGTTCGAGTTGCGAATCTGCAGGTTAACCTGTTCCACGGACAGCTTCTCGCCCGTGGCGGGGTCTATCAACGTCGGGTCGATGTTCTTGTCCGGACTGCTCCCCCCCATAGAGGTTCTCGTTCTGTCCAGCACGTCCTGCATCAAGGCCGACCGCATGGTGCGCAACTTCCGGTCCTGATTCCCGCGATCCGAGGTGCTCGAAAGGGTCTCGAACTTCTCCCGCAACTTTCGCCTCTTGTCCGTGAAGTGGATCACCTCGTCCAACAAAGCCTGCTTGCACTCGGCGTTCAAGTCCTGCGGCCCCGTCGCGCCGTGCGCGTTCATCAGCTCGCGGCCGTGCACGCACAGCACCTTCATGGGCTCGCAGCGGTGGAACTTCTTCACCATGTCCGGGATCTTCACCCCGTAGCGTGCAAGAAAGTCCATGGCGTTCTCCTCCGTCAGCGGGCCGTTCGGGTACTGGTAGATGGAGGTGAGCTATCCAAGAAAAAAAACGCTGTAGGTGTAACTTTTTTGGAGGAACAGCATTACAAATTTGTCTGGCATGACAGCAAAAACCTGTCACGCGCAGGTAGTGCGTGAAAATGCCCTTTAATGGACCCTACGACGCATGCCAAGCATGACAGACGCAATCATCTTGCATGTTGCGCATCACAAATTTACACTAACAACGTTTTTTTCTCGGATATGAGCTCGATCACCTCGGCCATGTTGACCGGGTAGTGGAAGGGCGCGTCCGCCGATTTGCGCTCCTGCTCGTACAAAGCCGCCACCGGCGCGTCGCGCTCCTCCTCCTCCTCGAGCAGTTTTGCCAACGAGTGGATGTCCGCGTACCCGGGGCGGAACGCGCGGCAGTAGACGTCCTTGATCATGTCCCCGCAGTTATGAAATGCAAATATGTGTATGTCTGGGTCTGGAAACTTGTGATGCTGGTTGGCGAATCAAGAGAACGCCAGGAATGACGGCTTTTTGAGTCGCTAGGCTAGGTGTTGCCTATTTTGCATGACCATGAGAAACTGGATTTTTGCATGACACAAAAGTGGCGGTTTTGGGTACCTTACATGACAGACTTGACAGTCATGCTAGCAGAGCATGACAAACCTGGCATTTTTCCAGCCCCAGACATATTTGCAATGCATAGCAGTCGAAGGGGAAGGACCGCTCCGTGACCTGGTTCTCGATCTCCGCCTTCACCTCGATGTATCAAATGCAAAAATGTCTGGGTCTGGAAGAATGCGCGATTTGTCATGCAGTTTTTTCATGACCCATGAAGCCTGGAATGCAGGACATAGCATCACAGACTTTTAGAGGGCTTCCTGATGCGCCTTCCGCATGAGAAATGCCCTCTCCGCGTAGCACAAACTGGACCTTTCTTGCTGGTCATGCAACACTAATTTTTTTAGAATCCAAAAACAGCATGACAAGTTGCATTCCTCCAGACCCAAACATTTTTACATTTGATACGATGAAGGCGTCGACCACGATGGCGAGGAAGAAGTTCATCAGGGTGAAGAACACGATGATCGCGTACATGAAGAGGTAGAGCAAAAACATGTTCTGCTCCAGCGTGTTCATATATCCAGAACTGTCGAAGGGAAACTCCCCGATGATCATCTTGAACTGCGAACTCATCGCCTCCCCGAAGGTGCCGAACTCGTCGGGCGCCAGCGCCCCGAAAATCCAGTGCCCGAGGTAGGCGAGCACGACGTAGAGGATCAAAAAGACGAGAAAAAAGTGGCACATGTTGTCCACGGACTTCGACAGCGTGGACGTGAGCACGGCGACGCGGGGGTGCACGTTCATGTAGGAAACCAGCTGGAGGAACTGGATGAAGACCACGAAGAAGCCCATGATGCGGTACTGCTCGATCATGGAGACCTCGTTGTGGATCTTTTCCTTCACGATGAAAAAGCGCGCGATGGCGACGACGAGGCCCAAGTGGTCAAAGTCCTTGAGCCGCAAAAAGGTCCCGAGCAGGTTGTCGTACTTTTCCACGAAGTCCGCCAGACCGTTCCACCCGACAAACAGCCAGATGCTGAAGACGAGGAGGATTATGCGGCTGACGAACTCGAAGATCACCCCCATGGTGGGCCGGTTGCCGCAGGCGACCAGGTACAGACTGTGCGCGGTCCCGATCAGCACGGAGAGAATCGTGATGATCGCGAGCGCCATGAAGGTGCCGGCCCGGCCCGTGCCTTCCAAGTCGACGTAGGACTTGAAGCGGGACAACCCCTCGACTTTCCCCGAAGGGTCCACCTCGAACTGCGCGGACACCGAGGTGTAGATTTCCTCCTGCTGCGTGTACACCATGGTGGAGACCACCACCTTGGTGGTCTGCAGGTCCAGCCACCCGATCCGCCACCACTCGTCGATGTCGCCGGCCGTGTGGTCGCCCTCCATGCCGACGAACCGGGCGTACACGGTGTTGCCCAGGTAGGAAAAGCCCTCGGTGTCGATGGACGGGTCGTAGGCCAGATCCTGCATCTCATCGGTGACGCAGTTGAAAATGTCGGTCGCCTTCGGCGCGTTGATTCCGTAGATGCTCGCCCGCCGGTTCGCGTACTGGGTCACGTAGCGGTAGGAATAGGCCTCGTGGGGGCACTCCTCGAGGGTCGCGCGGGTCTGGTAGACCAGCGTGTCGAGGAGGGCGACTTGCCGGTAGGGAAACTTGTTTCGCTGGTAGTACTGCCCCATCAGCGGCATCTCAGGGTGGTGCCACGCCGCTTTGTTCTTGATGTACACCTTGTAGGCGTCCAGCGGTGCGTCCCACTGCCACGCCCCGCGTCCCGTCTCCGGCTTCACGGGCAAATACGTGGTGTTGAACGCGTACCGCCGGCTGCTCTTCGTGACCTTGATGTACTCCGGGGGGAGTTTCGCGGCCAGGGCGGGGATCGCGGCGATCTGCGCCTTGAACTCGTTCTCAAAGATGTTCGTAAAGTTGCTCTTCGTCAGGGCACCCACGACCTGCAGGTAGAAGCGCTTATTGACGAAGTAAGTGATGTCCCACTCCACCGTGCCGTCGGGAAGCGTGGCGCGGGCTAAGTAGGTAGCTGCCTTGGTGGTGTGCTGGGAGGCATCTCCACCATAGTCGTTCACCGTGGCTGGTGCGCCCCCCGTGGGTGCGACGGCGAGCTCACGCCCAGAGAACGACGGCCTGCTGCTTCTCGTGGAAGAAGTAGTTCTTCCATGAGTTATTGTTTTCCTCCTCCTGGGCCGCTGGTGCTGATCGCTGTTGCTGTTTCTCTCCCGCGTGGCCTTCAGGACCTGGCTTTGCACCTCGTCAGAGAACGGATCGACATCCGCACCCGGGTGCTGCAACAGGGTTCCGTACGGGTTATCTTCATCGTTCCAATCCATCTGGAATCGCATCTCATCCCAGGCAATCTGCAACCTCGTTTCCTCCTCCTCTTTACTTTCGGTCGCAGACCCCCCCGAGCCCGAGGCGGCGATTTGCCCCAGATACCGCGTCATCCAGCTCTCCTTCCGTTCGTCGCGCTTCTTCGCCTTCCGGACTCCACCTTGGACGACGGCATCAGTGCTTCTCGCGATATTGTCTTCATCGAAAAGCAGTTGGCGTGCACCAGATTTAGGCGGCGGCAAGTCGCTTTTCAGCTCCGACGGGTACCTGCTCTTGCGCGCAATGTCGACGATGGAAACGAGAATCTTGTCACTGATGTCTTCCAACTGGCCGTTTTTGTCTTCGGCCGCGATCGCGTTGCTCATCGCCTTCGTGAAGGCGGTCTTGAAGTTCGCGTCGGTAATCATCTGGTACGGCTTCACGGTCGCATGGTTGTAGCGGAAAGCCACGCGCACCTTCGCCTCCACATTCCGCAGCACGTCCGCCTTCTCGATCGACTTTAGCTCGTAGATCTTTCGGATCTCGTCGTTGTATTCGATGTCTGCGTACATCGTGCTGAACAAAGTGGCGTCGATATTGTGAGGAAAAATTCCCCCTCCCCATATCGAAAAGGTACGTGGCAGAAAACTTGCAATGCTGATTTGCGACCACAAATCATCTCTGTCTTGCAAGAAGGCAACTCCACAGGCTCCGCAGCTTTATGCAGGCGATTTGCGATGCTGTTGGGCCTACAGCGCAGACGTTTCTCATGCTAAGAGCCTGGCCCAAAAATTCTCTGCTCAGGCTTAGTATGGGCCTGCAGTCCTCTCCAGCAAGACAAATCTGATTTGTGTACGCAAATCCAGCATCACAAACTTCGTTTTGATATGGGGTGGGGGGATTTTTCATTTTGATAGTCGAACGTCGGAATTCCCATCGCCATGTCCGCAGCCCCGGAGCCGGCGACGAGTCTGAACACAATCGCCGCGTCTAGCTTGGTCATTCCGGAGGAGGAAGAAGAGCCACTAGCGGTTGCACCAGCAGCCGCCAACTTGCGGTCGTGCTGGTCTAGAGAAGCTGCGCTATCTTGTTCCTGTGAAGATGCTGCTGGTGCTGGCGGTAGCTCCACTTCTGCAGCGTCGACCATGACCAAGCGGCGGTTTCCATTCGCCACGGGAGCCTGCATGGATCGAACTTGGATGTCCCACTGGGTTAGTGGGTTGGCCGTGCCGTCTATTAAAATGAAAAACCCCCCCTCCCCATATCAAAACGGAAATTTGTGATGCTGATTTGTGGCCACAAATCAGCTCTGTATTGCAGGGAGGCATGGCGGCCAGATCCCCAGTCTAGGTGGGGGCGTATGGGTCTAGTTGTCCAGCATGGCAAACGGCTCCCCTTTAGGCCCAACAGCATGACAAATCGCTTCCATAATGGGGCGGAAGCTTCTGCCCTTGTCTTCTTGCAAGACAGATGTGATTTGTGACCTCAAATCCGCAACACAAATTTTTGGAAACATACCTTTTCAATATGGGGAGGGGGGATTTTTCCTCACAGTACCGTCGTCGAACACCGTGGCCAGGGTTTTCTGCAGGACCTTGCGGAACTCCCCGGAGTTGTTCAAGTCACTGAGTTGCAACCCGGTCGCCACCTCCATGTTCAATATCATGAGCAACTCCACGTCAAGCTTCGGCTGCAGGTAGTCCACCACCGTCATGGTGTACCCGGCAAGCGTGTTCACGTACTTCGCCTGGATGCACGCATTTGTCTCGGTCGCGACGTGGGCCATGCGGGCCAGCTGGTCGCGCTTCAGCGCCGTCGGGTCCGCGAGCCGGAAGAAGTCGTTGACCGCCCCGACGTAGGGGGCAATCACGCTGAACGTGGCCACCACGTGGATCACCTTGGGGCTGCGGGGCTCCCACTTGATGCGTGTGGCCTGGTACACCGCCTCGCCGCCCGCGGCCACGTTGGCCTCCTCTGCCGTTGTGCTCGCGGCCGCGGTGGCGGCCAGCTGCCGGGTGGATCCGCCGTTCCCGTTGGCGTCCGCCTGTTCGGAGAAATGGAGGGGGATCATCACTGCGTGCACCCCGGTCTCCTTCTCCACGGCGGCTTCCATACCGCACTCGTACATCTCGTAAAACGCCGCGTTGTAGTTCAGGCCTAAGCCGGTCACCGAGGGCGGGACCTGCATGTAGAACTTCATCTCGTAACTCGTGTCCACATAAAACTTGTTCACATACTTCACCTTGAACCTGTTTTTTTTTAAATGGAAATTTCAATTTCTATGACGAACCAATCAGCTGAAGACAACATCGCTTCTTCACGCGACCGAGTAACTCCGTTTCGCTCAGTTATATCCAGCACGTTCACGACCTCCTAAGTCCCTCCTTTACAAATGATCAGAGTCACGACGGAAATTGAAAAAATTCTTCAAAAAAAATTTTATACGCTCCCTGCGTCTTCTTGAGTTCTTTTTCGATCTCCTCCTGAATGTGTTCCTTGAGAAGCGGGTCGCAGGCCATGTCGTTTTCCACCACGCGTACGGAATTGCTGGCATCCCCCGCGATTCCGTTGCTTTTCACCTGGAAGGTAATCTGGTAGTAAATGTCCGCGGGTCCGCCGCGAAGCGTCGCCAGAGAGGCGAGCTCCCGACGCGAGGAGGAATTCGTACTGTTGGAAGAAGTGGATGTGCCAACGTAGGAGGACTCGTGAATGGTCCCCGCGTACTCGTACAGCGCGTACAATTTGTAATCGCTCGTTGGAATGTGCAGCGCCTTGCAGATCCCCGTCTTCAAGGCCTCCATGAAGCCCGGCTCCGCTTCCACGTGGGCGGGGGTGAGTCCCTGCGACTTCGGGACGGACAAGGAAAACACGGTGGCCACGTACATGTCGTCCGGGGCCGGCTGCAGTTCGATGAATTTCTCCTCGAGCATCAGGATGTTGTGAATACTGGAGCCCCAGTAGCTCAGCGTCGGCTCCTGGTCGATGTAGGACTGGAACGCGTACTCTACGTTGGTGAAGTCGTGATTGAGCGTGTTCAGCGCGGCAATCACGCGGTCGTACTCCACGTCCTTGATACTGAAGTCGAGCTCGATCTTGTTGTCGTCCAAATACACTGTGCTCCCCGCGAGGTTTCGGCGAATGATGTCGTTTTCGTTAGAATCTACAACTTCCGGCCGAATTTGTTCATCTTTCAGAGCACCATTTTCGTCAAGAAACTTTGGCCTGAGCTTCGCGAACGGCTTGACCTCGGGATTTTGCTTCCGCTGCTCGGCGAACTCGCGCTCGATGGGACCCAGGGCGGACGAGGCCCTTCGCGGGCTTGTTTCATCGTGCTCGTCTTCCGCGTAGTTCTCTACTACCAATAATAGCCGCGTCCGCGGGGGTAGTGAGGTCGTGGGTGTTTTTTTGATTGCCGACCGCAGCCTTGGCCGCGGCGTTGCTTTTTATGGGCTCGCCATACCACCGTGAGTAACGTTATGCCGCACGGTATGGCGGCCACTTGGGAAACGTCGCAAATTTTGGCACATTTCCAAAATTCCTTTCCGAAAGCCAGCCCCGATGCTATGGGGCCGATCCGGGTGCCAAGGGGGGCGCCAAAAAAGTGAAGAAAAACCGGGCCCATAGCATGCGGATTGGCTTTGCGCGTCTGGTGCGCTTTTTATTTTTCGCGTTTTTATTTTTCACGCCGGCGCTTTTTGCAAAGCTTCCCAGGCTCTAAAACCGGCGAAAAGGCGGCCGCTTTCGCGGCCGCCCAAAATGCTCCGAAATCGCGGCCGTGCCATGCTGTTTCGCTGTTCTGATTTTGGGCGCGTTTTTTGCGCGCCCCTTTTTGGGCGCCCCAAATCGCCAGAAACTAAGGCGGCGGGCGCCTCAGAAGGGCGCCCCTTTTGCCGGCTCCCCTGCGTCGTTTTATCAAGTGCGAATCGATAGTTTTCGACCGGGCTTGTTTGCCAGCAAAGCCCCGCCCGCTTGATAATTGGAAATTTTTTATGTTCAAAAACACTTCCGGCCGCTTGAAAACTGCCGGCCGTTTTTCACGGGAGCTGTCAAAAAAACTCCCCGGTTAGAACCGTTCGGTGACCTCACTACATACGAATGGGTTCCCGCCCTCCTGCAGCGCCCGGCGGGCTCGAGCCTTTGTCTTGCAGCCGGAGCTGGTGCCCGTGTAGGTGGTCACGTCGGAACTGTGGTAGAGCGACAACCTGCCCGGTGTGGTCATGTCCAGTCCGGAGGCGAGCGCGCGCTTGAAGGCGTCCAGTGAGGCGTAGTTCATGGTTTGCGTGAACTGGCTCTGGATTTCCAGCTCCTTCACGTCGTGGCCCGCGGGGAACACCATCCCCAGCTTCACCAGGAAGTCGTGGTCCACCTGCGCCGACAGCGCCATCCCCGTGGGCATCGTGCGGATGTAGTAGACGCTCCCGAGCGTGAGCGGGTGCGTTGCGAACTCGTTGTTCAGTTCCTTCTGGAAGTCGGTCGCGAATTTCGCCTTCACCGCCGCGTCGGTCGACAGCCGGATGATCTCGACCGGCAGGGAATCCGCCGGGAGCACTTCGATGGTGAGCCGCACGTTGTGGAGGTCCCGGGTGGTGCCCGCGGGGTACAGCTTCAGCTCCCCCTCCAGGTTGAAGTATTCGGATCCCGAGTCCACGTTCACCAAGCCACTCACCGTCTGCTTCTGCTTCGGGGTCGTGCCGGCGTAGGGCGACGGGACGGCGGGCGCGAGCGTCACCGAGGTCGTGGCGGTCGTCGACGCGGCCGTCGTGCTGCTGGGAGCGAGCCCCCGCCGGTGTCCTCCGCCGGTGCTCCCCGCCGCCGCGGGCGTGTAAGTGTCGATTTTCAAAAGGTGGATCGCCGATTTCGTTACGATGTTCGTGGCCTTGTAAAACGCGTTGGTGATAGCTTTCTTCATGCCGACGTTCTTCTTCAGATCCGGCGCGGTCAAAATCGACGAGGGGACCCGCAGAGTGTCAATGTCGACGAAGTAGGTCCGCAGCAGGTTCTCCGTGAACGACGCCACCTCCGAAATGTGGTAGCTGTGTCCCATATCAAATGCAAAAATGTCTGGGTCTGGAAAAATGCAGACTTGTCATGCATATTTTGTATGATGATTGAGACCTCTAATGCAGAATCTAGCAACACAGATTTTTAGAGGGCTTCCTAATGCCTATTCCGCATGAGAAATGCCCTCCCCGCGTAACACAAACTGGAGTCCTGTTGCTGGTCATGCAATACAGATTTTTTTGGAATCCAAAGACAGCATTTACAAGTTGCAATCTTCCAGACCCAGACATTTTTGCAATCCATATCCCAGGCCCTCGTTCAAGTCGTGCGTCAGCGTGTACCGCATCTTGGACCGCTCCAGGTAGTGGTTGATGTCGGTGGCAAAGTAGTAGGGGACCAACACGTCGAGCTGCATGTAGGTGGCAGTTGCGGTGGTGGCGTTCGAAGAGGAGGTTGTAGTTCCACTCGAAACAGCCAGTTCACGCATTTCTGCCGCCTCCTCCTCCAGAAGTTCCTCCAATCCGTAGACGGGTAGGCCGTTGTTCGACCGCTCCATGTCCCGCACCATTTCCTGCAACCGCCGGTGCCCCCCGGTGGCGTGCGCGACGGACGCCAAGGGCGCCCGGATGTCCCCGATGCCCAGATCGTCGGCCGGGATGTGCAGCGTCTTCTCGATACCGTTCAGCAGCGCCTGCCGCACGTTCCGGTTGGCCTCCATCGCGGCCAGGGTCGTGCCGGTGGGGAGCGAGTCGAACTTGGTCAGGAAAGAGTACGACCCGTAGCTCCGATACACGGTCTCGGTGCAGTTGTAGGTGTTGTTGTAGGGCGTGGTCTTCAGCTGCGTGTTCACTTCGTTGGTCAGCAGGTACATTTTGTCCTCGGACATAATGGCTTGAAACCGCTCCATCATCCCGAAAGTCTGGGAACTTTTCACAACGAAATCCACATCCAAGTCCAAGTATTCCGTGGTGAGAAAATCCAAGCTCGGATACTTCGTCCGCCAGGAGAGATTCTCGTAGCGTGGGTCGATCGGGCAGAAGTAGGTGTTGGCACTTCCGTACGCGCTCGCGTCGTTTTCGCACCAATTCTTGTCTTGCACGCACCACCGATAGGTGTGCTCGACGTAGGGCGTGTTGGGCGGCTCGGCGCAGCCCATGCCGGGCTCGCCGGCGGTACAGCCCTTCATGTTGGTGCAGTTGTAGCCCCAAGAGGGAACCACGTAATTCCAGTTTTCCTTGCAGCGGCACTTCATCTCCACCGACGCCGCGCGGTTCACGTGCGCGAGCTTCAGGTCCGTGGTGACCGCGAGGGACCCCGTGGCGCCCTGTTGCACACCGACCTTGTACACCGCTTTCTCGATCGCCTTCTGCACCTCCGCGGGGATCTGGGTGGCCTTGGTGCCGCGGGGCCCAATGAACTGGAAGCTCACCACCGGTTTAGCCGTCATCGCCGGCACACTTTCCACACTCATGAAGTTCCAGCTCTGTCCCGTGTTGTTGTAGGCCGTCGCGAGAGCGGAAACCATGCCGTTCTGGAAGTTGGTCATGAAGCTGGCGGGCAAGCCGATAGAATCGAGCGACTGCGCCACCTGAATGCCGAGCACCTGAAAGTCCACACCGAGGGTGAGGTTCACGCCCTGGGTGAGGTCCGCGGTTGTACTGGTCGTGGCAGAAGATGATGTTGACGCGGCGAGTCGACGTAGAGCCTCCTGCGTTCTTTCCTCGCGCCGCGCCACCTCGTCCTCATCGGGCAGCTCCATCCCGAGGGAGGACTCGTCCGCTCCGTTTTGTAGGAGGACCCGCCGGTACGCGTCGCCGTTCGTGGTGGTGGTCGCGACCGGCTTGTCGTAGACCGACTTGATGAAGATGTTGTCCTTGCTGGCGCCGCCCAACGCGGCGAACAAGGCCTTCGGCAACACCGTGTGGCGGAAGACGTGACTCGGGCCGTCCAGGACGGTCGCCGTGGTGTTGTCCGGCGCGTTCAGTTTGAAGTACAAGGTGAAATCCCGGTCAATCCGGGACCCCGCCATGGTCGCCAGGAAGTACGTGGTCGGCAGCTTCGTGTTCATCTTCGCCACCATGGTCGCGTCAAACACGTCGCTCTTCATGGTCTGCTTCACCACCTCGCTCAACGACGCCCCGACCACAAACGTAATGTCCATGGACACCATGTGCGAATTCGCGGGCACGGCGTACGTCACGCTGCTCGACGACGGCGCCAGCATGCGGCGGTGCGCGCCACTAGATCCTGAAACCGTGATGGCGCCGGGGCAAAACCCGTCCGGGTACGGCATTGCGTGACCAAAGTTCGCGGCCGACGTGTTCGTCGTGGAGCCGCTCGGGGCGAGTTTCCGTTGCTCCTCCTCGGCCTCGCGCAGCAGCCGGCGCTGCCGCAAGTGCGCGGAAGAAGCACTGCCGCCGCTCAGCGTGGCAGCCAGAGAGCTGTCCGTAATCGAGGTGATCAAAAAGTAGTCGCCCTTGTTCACGACGTCAATCCCGAACTCCGCGACCATGGCTGCGTCCAGCCACCCGAGAAAGGTGCTGTTGTGACTGAGCGTGTACGCGGTGTCCCCGCACGGCGCGTACAAATGCAGCCGCATGCTGAGCGCCTTGTCGTGGGTGAAGGCGTAGATGTTCTTCACGGACATGTGGCTCGCGTACTCGGTCGGGAAGGTGCTGTTGAACTGCGTGTTCAAATTCGTTTTCAAAACCGGCAGAATGTAGTCCGGCTTCCTGCGCAGCTTCTCACTGTACCGCGTGCTGGTCAGCCCGTCCACCTGGAAGTCGACCTCGAGCGTCAGCGTTGAGTACGTGGTGCCCGTGGAGGAAGAGGACGCCCCGAGCTGTCGCCGCACGGCGTCCACATCCACGGGGTCCGTATTTTGATCCGTGCCGGAGACCAGGAGCCGGTTGTTGAGCATGCTGCCCTCCACCAGCGACCCGGTCTCGTCGAACTGCGTCAGCTCGTCGTCACTCAGGCGCCGCATGGTGTCCTGCTCCGCCTCGTGGCGGCGGAGCACCTCCAGCTCGGGCGCGGCCTCGACGCGCTGGGACAAGTAGGCGTGGGGATCGAAGTCCGGGTAGAAGTGCGGCACCTTACCGTAACTCGGTGTTCTACTCCCGTCCTCCGGGAGATCCAGATCGTCGAGCTCCTTCGCTTCCTCGCGTGATGATGCTGTTGTATCGACGTCTTGCTGCTCCCCCAGCCTTCGCCTCAGTCGGTGCGCCGCAGAGGTCCGGACCGGCGCCTTGCGGATATTGTTCACGTACACGTCGCTGCCGGTGAGTCCCAAAGCGTTCGTCAGCGCTGTCTTCTATGCATTGCAAATATGTCTGGGTCTGGAAACTTGTAATGCCAAAAGTGAATGATAGACGCACTGCAATACGCAGCTACGCAGGCCAAATTTTTTGGCTGCCATGTATTACGTATTCCGCATGGCAAACTGCGTTTTTGCATGACAGGCAAGAGGGCCTTTTCGTGCCTATGCAACACAGCTTCTCGAGTCATGCCAGACAAGCATGACAGACTTGCATTCTTCCAGACCCAGACACTTTTGCATTTGATATCTTCATCGAGGACACAAAAGTTGCGTTGGCGGCGAGGAACTCCGCAGTGAAGGAGTCGTAGGCCTCCGTCCCCGCGAACGACATCAGCACCATGTAGTTTTTATGCATTGCAAAAGTATCGTACTAGTATAAATTGCATTACAAATTGACTTAGCATTACAAATGAAATTTGTAATGCTGATTTACCTTGAAAAAGAAATTTGTAATGCATAAATGCAATTGCTACGAGTGCGATACTTTTGCACAGGATAGTTTTCCAGCGCCTCCCCGGCCACGCGCGTCACCGCAGTCACGGTGGAGCTCGCCGTGTTCCAGTCGGTGCATCAAAAGGAAAAATCCCTCCTCCCCATATCGAGGCGAAGTTTCTGATGCTGGATTTCCGCACACAAATCAGATATGTCTTGCAGTAGAGGACTGCAGGCATATGCCAAGCCTCAGTCGGGAGGTTTCGACGTAGGCGCCTAGCATGACAAACGTGTATGCTCTAAGCCCAACAGCATCACAAACCGCCTGCAAAATGCGGAGCGCTTTCTGAACTTGCCTTCTTGCAAGACAGACAGGATCTGAGGCAACAAATGCGCATCAGAAATTTTCAGACGGATACGTTTTCGATATGGGGAGGGGGGATTTTTCCTTTCGATACGGTGGTCGCCTTGGTCGCGACGGCCGCACCGAACCCGGACGTGACGATGGCCGTGTTCACTTTGCGCACCTTCAGCCCCGTGACGCTGAAAACGTACTCGAGGGACAGCGTGTGTGTGCTCGCGGTCGCGAGGTCACGCCTCGAGTTGCTGCTGGAGGAGCCGTCAGTGTTTATTTTACTGGGCGGCACAGTCATCGGGGGCGGCAAGCCGAGATTTCCGGGAGCAATTGCAATGGCCGGCTTGTCCGCGTCGTATTCTTCCAGTGCACGAGGACCTCGTTTACCTCCCGGGGGGACGGTCATGGGCGGGGGAAGCCCCAGGTTGCCGCCCGGAATGTTGTAGCCGTTGGTTTCTGCCGCATCCAGGTCCTCGACTTCGACGCCGTCCTCGGCGAGCCGGCGGTAACTCGTGGTGGGGACGGACACAGCTCCGAAACTGCTGAAATCCGCATCGACCATGCCCAGCACGTGTTTCAGCGCTGACTTGCAGGCATTGGCGAGCGCAGCGTTGCCTGCCAGCGACGTGACGGTTGTCGGTACAGTTACCGTGAAGTACATGTGGTAGGTGCGGGCCGCGTACGTGCAGCCGCCGGAACAGGCCGCGGGCGCGGCGAAGGTCGGGATCGTGAAGGTCGCCGCCAAAGAACGCGGTGAGGCACCGGCTTGCTCGAGTTCGCTGCTACTTGCGGCAGTGTTGCTGCTGTCAGCAAACAACATATTCGGCGAGGACGGAGCCTCTCCAAAAGCATTGCCATCATCGTCCACGAATTCGTCCATCTCGTCAGCGTCTTGCTCCACTTTTGCGTCCAGAAACGGGTCGTACAGTGTGTCTGCACGCTCCTCGGCAAACAGCCGATAGTTTTCGCTGATCGCCGCCAGAGTCCGCGTGTCTTCCTGCTTCCTTTCCACGATTTCAAATTTGGGCGTCGCTTTGATGGAGACTTTCGGATTTGCATCTTCTTCGGCGGCGTGAGAATTCGACGGCGATGATGTGGCCCTCCCTTCATTTTTGCTGGACGTCGTCGAATCCTGGTTGTTCTCCTCGCCCATTTTCCGTCCCTGCTCTCTGGTACTGCGAACGGTGCCATCTGGCTTCACGTCCATTTCTTGATTTTCGAGCATGATCCCCTGCTCTGCGTCGCGCTTGTGGATCCGTTCATCCGCCTGGCGGATGGTTCTTTCGATCGCGTCTTCGGTGTCGGGCTGCAACGCCGCGATGTCGTAGGGCTTGTCGGCGCTGACGGGGTTCTTGCCCGGGTAGAGCTCGCGAATCGGCTGCGCAATGTCGTCCTCGAACACCTTGCCAGTGCTGAACGCTAGACCCCAGAGACGCTCGGCGGCGCTGTACACTGTGCCGGTGAAGTAGGTCTGCAATTTGGTGTGCGTTTGCTCCCTGTGCGTGCTCAGCGCATCCGCCAAACGCCTTCGGTCGTGCCGCGACAGCGACCGCAAACTGGAAACCTTCCGCTCGAGTTGCTCAACAGGCATGGTCTCGAGCTCTTCCAGGGAAGTTCCGATCTTTGCGGCCACCTCACGCTTGAAGCCGTTGCGGGCCAGGAAGCGGCGCAGGGAATACAGCTCGTTGTGGTGCATCACGTCTTGTGCGTACGTGCGGTAGAGCCGGCGCGGCTCCTGCATCGGGAAGCGCTCCCGGGTCATGCGCTTCTTCTCCGCAAGCTTTCGTCGCGCGTGGTGCGTTTGGCCTTTACTGCCTGGGGTGTGCAATAGTGGCTCCGCGTCCTCCTCGTCCAATTCTGACAAATCCTGCTGGAAGGAATTGCTTTCATCAAAATCATGGTCGTGGTGATCGTAGTTCTCATTGCCAGCCACATGATCATCAGCTCCATCAACATGATCACGCATCTTCAACGCTCGCTTTCTCCGGTCCTCGTCCATGGTGGGCACGTCTTTGTAGTACGTGGGCGTCCACTCCACTTCGTAATTGTCCGTGTCCGCCGGATCGGACCCGTGCTTGCGCATTGTGTCCACCAGTCCGCCGGGGTAGGAGAAACTCTGGAACCACGTGATGGGGCTCTCCTGCTTGTTTTGGCAATCGTACAGGTTGAAGACGTGGTTGTGCAGGTCATAACCCATGGGGGACGGGTTCTGGTAGCGCAAACGCAGCGCGGTCATTTTTTCCAGCACACTCGCCAAATCGTCGCCGGTAATGTCTCCGCCCTCGAGCTTGCGGCGGAGGTCGCGCAGCTGCTCTTCCTCCTCGGGGGATACGGAGCTCTTTTTCCGGTCCTCGTAAAACGGATTATTTGAGGACCCGTCATCTTCTGCCGATGATGAGAAGTTGTCTTCACCTCCTTCGCCCGCGAAAAGGCTGTTCTGGCCTTCCGGGCCGTCCTCTCCCGCGACGTCTGCCCCAACATCCAGGTTTCTCTTCCTCCTTGCCCGAGGATTGTCACTGCCTTTCTTGGAGGCGAAGAAGATCTCGCCCGCGGCCGTTTTGCCGAGGTCGTCGAGGTAGCGGGGATCGCACCAGTAGACCGGGCCCGTGGCCTGCAGCAGCTTGTTCTGCTGTTCGAAGTTCAGGATGAAACTGTAGAGGTCCGGGATGGTGGCGACCTCCCCGAGCGAATCCGGGTCCAGCTCGAAGTGGTCCAGGAGGTAGCTGTGCACCTTCCCGACCGAGTCCGTGGGATAGAACTGGTACAGCGCGAGCAGGAAGCAGATAAAGTACACGAAGAAGTTGAGAATCTTGACCATCACCTTGTACAGCTCGATCTCTAGCTGCAACCGCTCCAACAGCAGGCCGCGACTCAGGCAGAGCTTGTTGTCCTTCAGCGCCTCCATGAGTTCGGTGCGGGAAAGCTCCCCGTCGCCGTCGCGATCGTACTCGGCCCAATCCGCCTCCACGGACTCTTCCACCAGCCCCATCGCGTTCGCGTGCCCGAGGCCCGGGATCCCATTCGCGGCCTTCCTCGCCGCCTTTGAACGCTCGTCATGCTTGTCCCCAAGGGAGCCCTGTTTATTTTTTGCAGGTGGAGTCGTTGTATGTCCATGTCGATGATCCAGCTTTTTTGCAATATCATGCGTGACTAGCGAACAATGCATCTTCTTTCTTTTCATACATTCTACTTCTACTCCTTGCATCTCCTTTGGAAAAAGTTGATTCTCTTTATGTGCATTTTCTTCTGCATCAAACTCAAACTCAAACCGCAAGACAAACCAAATTCAAACACACACAAACGGAGCCAAACGAGGTAGGTTTTCTTACCTCTTCAGAATTATTCTCTCGTGACCCGGTTCGTGCCCGGATTGTCCATTTCTTCGGGAACCAGGAACCGATGCCGCCAACTGGTCCACCTTTCCCTGGGTGGGAGGAGGCGGTCCCATGGCCGGACGAGGAGCTTGCCGCCCCAGCCCCGGATGAGGCGGTGACCCCCGCCGCCGCAGCCGGACGAGGCATGATCTCAGCAAGGTAGTAGCCTGCTCAGAATGAGACCGAGATCCTGCCACAAACGCATCATTTTGTGGTCCAATTGTCCTTAACGACGTTCCTCGGCGGGGGCGGCCTATGTACAATGTGAATTCAGATTGATTATCGCGTTGGGGTACAATTTCAAATCGCTTTTTCATATTGATTACGATTAGTTTCAGCTCTGCTCGTTGGTGGGTTAGATTCATGCAGGCGGACAGAATCTGAATTGTTCTTGACTCTACGGGCAGAACCACCAGAAGTGACCACGTGCAGACTCAAACTACAAGAGGCTTGGCGTTTAGATTCACTCTCCTACTCCTCTGAAAAATTTCAATGAAAATCAAACCACCACTCATACCATGAAAAAGCTGGGGAAGATTGATAGGGACAAGGATGAGGGAAAGGGAAACTGTCATTACCATTAGTAGAGGATGAATAAAAGTGAGTCCACGAAGACGGAGACAGAAGCCATTGCGTTGGACCGCAGAAGACGAAGTTCATAGGCAATACATTATTCTTCAGGAAGCGCACTGCTCACAGGAACCGACTTCTCAAACCTTCGCAAATGGTAGTACACCGATAAAAGTTTGCGTCGCGTTTTATCTTTCCGTTCGCTGGACGTTCAGCCGAACTTTGCCGGTGACAAACCGAATTTCAAGCAATTGCAATCGAAATCGTCTTTACCGAGTCATTTGTTCGTGCTGTGCAGGAGCCTTTTTTAGCAAACTCCTAAGAATGCCAATGAAACTGAAAGACATTGGGACATGTTAGGGTAAAATAAAGGCTAGCACCGACATCATAGAACATCACGCGCCCCATGCAGAAGAGGGGATAAAACATCTACCCGACTCCTCGTCAAGGAAATCGTAATTCGCGATTTTTTTGCTACTTCAATCGCAATTTAAATTTTTCTTTTTGCTAGGCTATAGCTGACAGCAAAAAAAAGCTGCGAAGCTCAAAGGTTAACCGTGTATGGTCTATGTCTATCATTTGTTGGCATGTACATAGTCGAGCAGATAAAACTACGCACCGCAGAGGACACTAGCATTCATTGAGCTAGTAGTACTACGAAGTGTTCTAGGTGCTTCATCCACTGTTTATCGCTATCGCGTAGTACTGCGACACAGAAATAGACATTCTCTACTTCTGCTGCTTCTGACTAGAACATACACAACGTTCTTTGGGGTGGAACTACGAAAATGGGAAAATTGGGGCACAAAAATCTTGTACATGAAAAGTGGCATGCGGACTACGTCATAGAGGGGTAGAAATGATCGAAATGGTGCGATATCAAACCTGCTGGGTCATATACGCACCGATTGAGTATGAAAAAGATGAAAAGACAATCGAAGGTAAATGTTGGAAATCAAATTGAAATTCAAATTGCTAAACTAAATATGAAAAAAATACGCCACAAAATCGAAAAACAATGTTAAAACTCAACTGTGCAAATGTAATTGTAAACTAAAAAAATGTTGTTCTTACGCAAAACTCATGAAAAATAAATTGATTTTCGGTGACTAGGATCACAATAATGCCTCGGATGAGTACAATCGAAAAAAACCAGAGAATGAATGTACGACTTTGTCATGATACTTTAATCTTGGATGCAATTGCAATGCATGGAAATGGAATAGAAGAAGAAGAGACGTTCTATCTAAGCACAAAATAGTAGTCTTAGTCACGTCTGTGCGCATGATTATGAGTGCCTTACTCCCCCTTAGCGCCTTGCCTCCTCGCGCTTACTGCGCTTCTTTTTTGGGGGAGTGGTTGCGGGAGTCCTCGGGCTGTCTTTTCGAAAAGACAGTTGCGCCGCGATCGCAAAGTGGTCCGAGGGGTAGGCTTTGCTTGGCAGCGACGTGCCCGCATCCCCAGCCTCATCCTCGAAGGGCATCCACAGGCGGGAGATACAGTTGAAGCCGGAGGTGAAAATGTAATCGGTCATGTCCTTCTTCCCGCTTGCCTTCACGGTTGTCGCCGGGCATTTTCCCGGCACCTTCAAGCCCCGACTGGGGCCCCCGAACGTGACCAAATCCTTCGCCCGGCCCGGCAAATCGTAGGCGGACTGGAAATTTTCAGCTGACCGGAGCACCGTCTCCACCGCACCGGAGGGGTCGAACGGGTTGCAGTTCAAATCCCCCAGCAGCACCGTGCCGTCCAGTTTGCGGCCGTACTCGGACTCAAATGCCATCCGCATAACGTCCATCTGGTCCAAGGTTGCCTCCACTTGCACCCGCCGGAGCTCCTCGTTGATGCCCGCACGGAGCTGGGTGGTGCAGACCATGATGTATTCCTTTTTGTGCTTCTTAAAGGCCTGGCTCCGCCTTTCCTGCCGCTCCTTCTCCTTCGCTGACAGCGAGCCAATACTCTTCACGTGTTCGTCGTGCTTCGAAGGCGTCTTGCTTCCAAGTAGTGCCGGCGCCTGCGCAGGCGCACCCAGATTGACGCTTGGCAACGCCGGCTGGTCCAGGAAGTGTGGTGCGGCACCTGCTGCCCCCGCAATGTGCGGAATGTGCTTGACGCTGCCCTGAAAGATGGTCCCGAAGTCTGGCAGCGAAATTTCCTCGCACGGGCGCGCCAAAATTGGCTCCCGCGGCTTCTCGCGCACCGAATCCAGGATGGATTTCGCGGTTTCCACCGTGTTCCCTCCGGGCAGGACCGCGTGCACCGGCTGGACGCCGTAGCGCAAGTGGCCGGTCTCCTCCGCGGTGCGGGAAAACAGCGTGGACGCGGGCGGAAGCTGGGAATCCACGCGACTCAACCTAGGTGGGCGCGCGTTCGCGAACATCATTCCGGCAATGTCCGATACCATCCGCGGCGTTTGCGGCGTCGAGTGGCCGGCGCCCTCCTCTTGCTTTCTCTTCGCAATTTGGTGCGACTTTCGTGGCGGAATGTAGCCCGGCTCGTACTCAATCACCCTTCTCTTCCCGTCCCGTCGCGCCCGCACCACCTTGCTCGCCTCGTCCTCATCCGTATCCGGCAGCAGTTCCACCGCGGTCGTTGAGCCGTTGCGGTTGAAAGGACTCTGCACATCCGGCCCGAAGGAGTTGGACCAGGAAACTTTAATGCGCGGGGTGGTTACCCGGGGTGTGTCCCCGTCCTCCGCGTTGGCCAGGATGATGGTGTTCCGCGACGCGAGCTGCGCCCGCTTGGCCACCTGGCTGGTGCCACCGTGCTCGATGTTCGCGCTGTGGTCCTGCGGGACCATGTAGCCGCCGATCGTGGGACTGGCGTTGCCGCCGTGGTGCGCGGCTTCCGACGCGACGTGCATCGACTTGTCGATGTGGTCCCCGTCGTAAAACTCTAACACAGCCAGCACGCAGGGGCTCCCGGCGGACGTGAGCCCACGGTACCTCTCCTTCAGCACAAACGCGTCGTACTTCCAGAACAGTGCGACCCCGTCCGCGTAGTACCCGTGCTCCAGGCACGCGGAGTTGGACTTCGGACAGAACATGCCCTGGTACCCGAGTTCGGCCAGGAACGGCTTCAAAAAGTCGTGGTATTGGTCGCACTCCTGCACCGCAAACACCGTGGGGTCGTTTCTTAACACCTCCTCGACAATTTTCAACTTGCGCAGCTCCCACGCGAAAATGGCAGCCTCGGGGCCGAGCAGTTCGCCCCGGGTTAGATTCTTCCCGTACGTGTTGCGCCCGGTCAGCACGTTGCTGTGCTGGAACGGGGTCGCGACCTCGTTGGTGTGGTTGAAGGGCCCGTGCGTGATCGCGCTACTCGCCAGGATCTCGGTGCGCTTGACGTGGAACTCGTCGGGCTGGAACGGCCGCTCCGGTACCTCGGGGGATTTCGGCGGGCGCACCAGCACGGAGTGGGTGTTGCGCAGCTTGTGAATGGTGTGTGGGAGCTTGTGGTGCGTATGCGTCTTCACCCACGGGTTTTCCCGGGCCAAGGCCAAGTGCGCGCGCGCGGAAAACTTCACGCCCGCGGTCCGCGCGGTGTGCGGCTGGTCGTCCTCCGAGTCGACGTAGAGTTGCTCGGCAGATCCGAGCCGCTCGAGATCCTCGATCTGCGTGGCGTGGTGCCCCTCCGCAAGCGAGACAAATTCTGTAGTATTTCTGTTTGTCGCGGTGGGGCTGCCAGCCGGGGTTTGCCGACTGCGGCTGGAGTCGCTCAACTGCAGCATGGGAACTATAGGCGCTACCCGCTTTTCATCACTACTGCTACAAGCGCTCGAAGATGATGTCGGTAGAACCTCTGCGACGAAATTTTGCGCCTCTACGGCTGGTTCATCCTCCTGCTGGTTGACAGCTGGCTGTTGCGGCTGCTCTTTCTGACTTGATGCCGCGGAAAGAGAAGTAATCGACATGTCCTCAGCCTCTCTCTGGTGTTCCCCGTCGTTGTGCCTCGGGGACACACGTGCACTATCTGGCGCATCTGCTGCTTCGATCTCAACAATCTCTTCGTGCGCAGGTCCGGGAGCGAAGGTAATGGATGGAGACTGTGCGTGAAGCAGCTCATCCTCATCCTGGAGTGGGACTGACTCTTCTACCGCCGCAGCTGCAGCGGCCGCGCTGCTGGAAGCGGAGGCGGAAGCCGTTTGTTGGACACCAGCTACGGCAGTTGTTCCGACATCCGACCTTTCTTTGGTCACCTGAATTTCGAGAATCTCTTCGTCTTGCCATTGCTCCTCGGACTGCAGTGCATCGCTGCTATCCCCTTGTTCGGCGGGCTTCGGGTCTTTGCTGGTACTGTCGCTGACAAGCAGATCATGGTCCTCGGAAAGTGATCCAGATGCGTGTTCCTCGTGGTCCTCGGTGTTCCACCTCTCCTCCTCTGGAGGATTGGAGGACAACTGTGATGCCTTGCTCATCCTGTGGTACCCTTCCGCGAAGGTCCGGACAGTTGCCGGCCCTTGCACCATTTGCACCTCGCGGGGAGAAAGCCCTCGCGGTGTGACCTGCGGAATATTCTTCGTCCATTGCGGCGCTCCCGGACGCGTACCGTTCATCTTGTTTGTTCCGCCACCTAGCTGCATGATAAGCGGAGGCACTATGGAGTTCATTCCGTCGCGCGGAGTGACAGCATCCATCATCTTGGCCCTCAGGTCCAACAGACTCGGCACTTCCTTAAGCTCAACCTGCGGCTTTGCCAGTCGGGTGCGGTCGAGTTGCAACCTGGCGCTGCCGGAGAACTTCTGCAAGGCCGGATGCAATGGTCGCGGCGTCGCGGTCGGTGGTAGCATATTGCTCGCCTCGAGCGAGATGCGCTGCTGCCGGGGACCGCCGCCAAACTTCAGGTGGTGTGGCACCGGAACCGAGCTTGCGCCCGCCGCTAGTATGGGAGGCTCGGCAAGGTGCGCGGGCAAGTCTAAATGCGGTACGTGCTGGCCGCTGTGCACATTCTCGTGAAGATGATCCGTCTTGACTTGGGGTGCAACCAGATTTGGGTCGCCGATCGTGGGTACCATAATGCCGCCCAGATGGATATGGTGGTCTCCTCCGGTAGTTGCAGCTGCGCCACCTGCTCCTGCTCCTCTGCGCAGCAACAACCCCCCTCTGGCGAGATCCTCCCGCGGACTCAAGGGCTCCACCGGTATGCCCATCATGCGCGGACTATGGTCCCCCACCCAGGTGGCCTTGTGCGGTCGATTCACGCCCTCGTACAGTGTGTCATACCGCAAAGAACTGCTCTGCACAAACTCCTGCGGTCGTTCCACGTGCACGGTCCGGCCGTATCGCGTGGTGGTGCGCACGGGTGCCTCGAAGCTGTGCACGATCTTCGGCTTCGGCGGGATGTACCGGAGTTCCGGGTCGCCCGCCGGCCCGCTGGACAAACCCCGGGCCAGCATGTTCATGGTCATCACGATCATGGAGCCGCGGGCCAGCTTTGGCGGCTTCTCCGCAAACCGGTTTTCCGGGACGACATCCCACAATCGCGGGAAAAGTTCGCAGTAGGTGTAGACCTCGCGCTCCTCGTGCGTCGTACCCAAAATCTCGTGCGCCTTCTTGAAAATCAGCTGCTTCAGGATGCGAAGCTTCAACAGCGCAATCTCGTCCTCCAGGTCAGAGGTGGGCTTCAACGCCCGCAACTGGTGCTCCACGATGTCACGCTTCATGTAAAACATCCGCTCCGGCTCGAGTTTCGGCGAGTCAAGAATAGGTTCGTTATCACCCGCGAGTGGCGTGTGACCTGGTCGTGTGGTTTCAATGAGCGAAATTTTTATAACAGTGCATGATCTACATCATCGTCCTTTGGCCTTGCTAGTACTGCGTAGCAATTGGAATTGTATGTCGCTAAGACGTGTTAGTACAACATAGAACAAGTCTCTATTCTAGATCGATTTCAACAAAGATGAAAACGTGACGAAAGCAACAAGGAACTAAGGGTGAACAAGAAGATTATACTGATGTGCAAGATCGGCCCTGGATTTCTGAAGTCCAGACTTTTCACTTCGGCCAGATCGATTTTGTTGACCGACACCTTGTCGATGTGGCGCGAAGCGCCCCGCACGCTGAGCGTTCTTATGGAAGACGAGGAGCCCGACGAGGGCAGCCGCGGCGTCATAATCTGCAAGGATCCATGGTTTCCGTAGTTGACGCCAGTGTTTCCGGTCCGCGGCGTCGGCACGATCTCACCAGTACGCTGCTGCTCCGCATATATCTCCGCCAACTGACTCTGACGCTTCACGTGCATCGCGGCCAACCTGATTGAGTTTTTGAAGATGTGGTCACACTCGGGCGATAAAATGAATGCATCATGCAGCGATGCGAATGTTCACGTGGAGTCGTCGTGGTCGCAGAGCGTATCATTGCGAAGTAAGATGAGCCAAACAACCAACTCGAGAAAAATCACGACAGACAGATGCGGAAAAGGAACATCACACAGCATTGACTCTGGTAAAAAGTACTTATGCGTAAAATAAATTGATATTGATTCGTACCTTTTCTGTTCCTCTTCGTACATAGTGGCCTTTCTTTCCTCTTCTTCCAGCATTTGCCGGTCTCTTAGTCTTTGCTTCTTCTCTTCCTCCGCTTTCCTTTTCTTGTGCTCCGCCACCAAAGCCGTGTGCGCGCTGCGGAGTCGCGGAATCTGGCGGTCTAACTCACCGCGGTACCAGGCGACGTCCGGGTGGTCCCCGTTTGTCGGCACGCGGCAATCCATGTGCACGAAAGCCTCGAGGTGAATGGGGTGCAGTTTCTGCACCATTTCCCACTCGTCGTCATCGACGCTGGCAGTGGTCTTTCGCTTACTTCGAGAAGAACTTCTGGCTGTACTGTTGCGCGCCTTACTGAGCTCGGCGTCGTGGTCACTGGTGTAGTAAAGGATGAGCGGGACCGGGAAATACCCACGGTGTTTCAGAGACAGTAGATCCCCCGCAGAGAGGTTATCGAAGCCGGTCAGGTCAATGAAGAGCGCGTTGTTCTTCCCGCGGCGGACTTCGGCGGAAACCCCTTGCGCACCAACCTCCAGACGCTCGAAGGTAGCTGAGGCGATTTTTTTAGTGAGAGTGAAGTATGTTCTAGTCGTATCGAATCGGTAACGGTACTTAATGTTCCGATCGATATTGGCCACTTCTAAGGGTGGTGGACAAGCGTTGTTAAAAATCTTCATTCTTGCATTCCGCGGCCACAACAGAACAAGAAAAAATGCAAAACGTGTCAACTTAGACAAGTGGTAAAAAAACAAGCACGAAGAAATTATCCAACTCAGTACCGATTCCCTCGAGTTCTATGCCCGAGCTGCTTGGTTGCCCGGAAGTGAGTTGCCAGATGGTTATGTTTGGGACCTGCAGCACCAGGCTATGGCGCGTAACTCGGTCCCCGTAGAGACGCTCGACATCGGTATGGGCTCCGGGTACTGCTATGGCACCGTCCTGGATCAAAATCTCGAACCGCCGGCCACGCTCCGCCACCGCGGGGAACCCGAGCTCCATGTCGAACGTCATGGTGGTTTTCTCTCTCCGACCCTGCTGTCTGCTAGCCCTAAGAGAGAAAAACAACTACCACTGGAAGACGAGCAATTACCATAAATGAAAAGGAGTATCAGATGGATCGACAACAATTGCAATCGGTGAAGTTGTCAAGTTCAACGACAAGTAACTACAGTTGTAGGAGATTAACTAGTGTAGTACACAATAGTCGCGTCCGCATGAACGAAGCTTTTGCTTCCACGATGCGGGTTATGACTATAATGGTCACTGTTGCGCAAGTTAGGTTTAGACACAGCTAGACTTTCACTTTACCTTTTTATTTTACGAGATGTAAACACGATGCCATACGACAATGCACGAATACTACCGAGGGACGATTGGGTTCTGAACTTGGACGAAGGGCCACTTTTTTTGTGACCGTGACGAGGACAGTATGGTCTTATCATTCCAGACGGTTTTGAACGAAAAGACGTACGAAAGGCGGGAGAGAAGATGGTGATCGTCACACGAATAGGTTAGCTCTGAGCTGTACGAAATCAACGTTTGAGCTGTACGAAAACAGTGATGTTTTTTTTTCTTGGAGGTAGCCCTAGCTGCCTTGTTGTAGAGAAAAAATTACAGTTTGACCAGACACATTTTGACACGACCAAAAATTAGTGCTTGCCGGAACTGAGAAAAGATCGTACGACAAAGGAGCTTCCCTTAGCTTTAGTGCCCTAGCAGGTATGCTAAGCTTTTCCCGCATTTTGCGACGCACAGGAACAATTTTTGCACAAATCACTTTGCAGGAGAGATGTTGCGCCCACAGCACACATGCACTGCAAAAGTTTTACTCTCTACCCTGATCATCGGTAATCTTCAACACCCAGTCAGGATGTCCCGCGTGCGCTTTGTACTCGTCGAACAACTTTTGCAATGCGCGTACATACTGTGTGTGCTTTTCGTCAATTTGTGCCTGCGTCGGGCTCTCAATGGGAGCCTCCGGGGCCAATGGTGCACCAATGTACAGAGGCTGCGGATGCCTCCGGGGATGGAACGGGAGTAGGTTTCCGTAAAACAGCGGTAGGCCAAACTTGAAGGTTTTCTGCATCGTCTTCTGCATCTTTCCCACAAAGGAGTTCGGGTTCGGTCGGAACACGTGAAACGCCTGGTTTTCTTCGAAGGCGATACAGGGGACCAAACTCGCGCCATTTTCCAGCGCGACTTTGACGAAGCCTTTTCGGTTTTTCAAAATCACTTTGAGTTCGTTATTCTCCTGATAGACCAGACTTTCCGCTGCGCCCCCCAGATTCAGAACCGGGAACTCGCCACGGGCGAAAATGCGGCGGAAGCTCGCGCGACTCGGTGAGTAGATCCCACCAAGCAGGAAATATTCGCGCACAAAGGGTAAGTACAACAGTGTCTCGAGCGCCATCAGCCGCATTCTTTCCGGCAAGTCCGGTCTTTTCGGAAACAGTCGGTCTACCCCGGAGCCAAAGGTGCCCAAGTTCCCCTGCGTGGCGATCCCAAACACTCCGTGAGGGTGCGTGACAAACATCAAACGCGGGTGCTTCTCCGCGTCTTCCACCTCCTCGCTGGTTTTGTAAATGCGCATCGGGTAGTAGGCCATGCAGATTTTCCAAATCGCGAATCTCTTGTTAGCGAGGGTCACAAAATTTGTCAGCCTTTGGTCGTACCCAGTGCCCTGGATGCGCTGCGGCCCGTCGAAATAGATAAACGCGATGTAAAAAATCATGCCGAGTTTGGTCGTCCAGTAAGTGCTGAAAAACAAGCAGTAGACGGTCAGCGAAATGCTGGCCAGGATCCAATAAATCGGAAAACCGAGGATCATCCCGCAAAACGTAGCTATTCGGTGCAGCCTGACCTTTAGCGCAGCTGATGTCGTGGCGGAGGTGGAAAATTTCTCGCCGTCTTTACCCAGTCCGGCAATATCGAGCTGCGTCGTTCCTTTCGGAAACCAATCCAGAAGGAGAGGGCTCTCCACTGACGCGAGCGGCTCGGACATGGTTGCGGCAGCGAAGCGAAATGGAAATGTTTGAAGTGAGTAAGTACTTATTTACGACGTAGTTTGTTTGTAAAAACAGGAGCAAGATATGCATATCAAGCGTTTAATGAATCGGCGACTGTGTCCATGCCGTGCTCTCTGAAGGTCAGCCACATTTGAAAAAAAAAACATGCGACACATATGGAATGCGTGCGAGAGATCGATTTATTTTGTTTTTCACGTTAGCATCCGACCACTAATGTGATCCGCCGAAAACACAGGCAAGGAGCGGAATTCCACCAACAAAATGAACCACAAAAACAAAGGAGTAGCAGCATCTCAGCAAAAAAATAGAACAAGAATGTATTGGGGCCAGGCTCGGGTTGCGTCTTACCGAAATAAGCAGATGCAAGGGCAGAACAATCATAGTCTCTTTCCGGCCTTCGCTTCGCGTAGTCCTTTCCGGTTTCGCGAAAGGGGATCCAAGCTGGTGTGCTGATGGAACTCCCTCGGAACCTGCTAGTTTGTTTCATTCTGTATTGCGTAGTGTAAAAGTACTTCAAAAGAAAGCTGAGTAGGATTCAGTAGATTCTGGAAAAGTGCAGTTCACTCCGATAGCAACATGCTTCATGCCCGGCATGAAAAGCATGTTGCGTATCGGACCGGCGTGGCGATGTAGCAAAGAACGTACGACGCGACTGGAGTTCATCCTGGGTCTATGTGTTGGTTTAGCGGATTCTTTCTTTTCCTCCGCCTTGACCTGCTCGGATAGAATTGGAACTGCGCCGCTGTGCAGCTCGTTATAAGAACTTGTTGCCAAAAGTGTACAGGTTTCAAGAAACAAGGTTTTGGAAAAATAGTTCTGCTGCTTTGCTGATGTGCATCGTCTCCCGCTGCCTCATCGCCTGCAGCCTGCTCCTCCTGTGGACAGCCGTCGTCCGTATCACTGTGGGTGGAGGCAGCTGATCTATTTGTTGGTCCTTGTGCACTATTTTCATCGCCATGCTGCGGATCGTCTCCAGATCGGGGAGCAAGCAGGAAATTTCTCCTGGAAGAAGACGATGAAGAAGAAGAACTCTGCCCTGTTAAAGAAAAAAGCCTCGTTTTCATTTTCATGGCTCCTATCGTGGCTTCGATTTTTGCCTCGCTTTCGATTTCTCTTTCGACATGATACTCACAAGATGGAGTCGTCTTGTGGTCCGCCAGCGCTTCGTGGTCCTCTAAGTCGTTCACGTCACCGACTTCTTCTGCTCCTTCCACCAATTGGTCACAATCTGCTTCGCCGCCATCACCCTCGAACTCTGTGGCGGGGGGTTGCTCATCATCGTCGGAGCCCTGCGGGAGTCTTTTGCAGCCTTTCACGTCATCTCTATGCGTCGCACCAAGGAGCACTAGAAGAAACGAGGCGAATTCAGCGAGGGAAATTTTTCCCCAAGCGCTCAAACCTTCTGCCTTTGTTAACGCTCCCAAAGTGCGGTCTCCGTTTGCTCTAACTCTTGTTCTAGCAGCGGCAGAAGTCCTGCTTGTGCTGACGACATCTCCGGATGAAGTAGAGGAGCAACCGAGCAGCAAATGCGCCAAGGCAGCAAGTACGGCGAACCACAACACCTCAAATGACTTGGACCAGCGGCCATGCGCGGAGCTAAACGACGGGCGCGGATCGTTCAGGTCGTTGTACTCCGGGTCTAGTTCGAAAGGCATCAACCGCTCTCCGCCGCCGTAGAAAAACGTGGCAAACTCGCTGTTGTTGAAGTGCATCCGCAGGTAAATGGCGCGATCCACCCGCGGATTGCCCCGCGCACGCTCGAAGTAGTTGCCCTGCAGGGTGACCCGGATCCCGTACCTCCCCTCCTCGATGGGCTGGTTGATGTGCAGCGTGACGCGCTTCAGCTCTTTAGTGTTCATCGTGGTCACTAGCTCCACTGGCATCATCTGCTTCTCGTAGAACACGAGGGGATTTGCTGCATCGTAATTGAAGGGATTGAACGTTGTGGTGCTGATTTCGGTAGTCGTGGCTCCATTGCCGTTGGTACCAGCTCCTGCTGCACCGTCGGCACTACTTGTGTCGGTTCCGGCGGAGATCTGGCCGTTCGTCGAGGTCGTGCCTCCTGTCGCCGCTCCAGTGGCTGACGCAGTAGTACTACCAGCGCTACTGCTAGTGCCATCTGCTGATGCTGAAGTCGTGGCGTTCGTGGCGTTGGGCGCGGTCATCGCCATAGCCGGGGGCAAAGTCGTCACCTCCACGGAGTCCGCCGTTGGCGGCGCCGTGGCTTCCTCTTCTTCCGGCGCATCGATGGAGGGCGGGAACAAGAACCCGGGGAAGTCGATGTCCATGTGGGTCACCTTGTACCCCAACGTCCTCGTAAAGTGCAGGTAGAGCATCACGTCGTTTCCGACCGCGTGTAACCCCGGGGGGAACGGGCGTTCGACGAACAGAGACTCCACCACCTGCAAGCCATCCGACTCGTAGAAGTCGTGTTTCACGTCCACGTTGGCGCGGGTGTACGCGTTCTCCAAGTACACGTCAAACGTGCGGTCCAGCGGGAAGAAGTGCACCGGGGTCAGCCCCATGATGACGGAGGCAATGTTGATGGTGTCCCCCGCCGGAACGGTTTCGTTCAGAATGATGTAAAAATCGCGCCACGCGTTCGCACTTTGGCAGGTCCGGATGGACCGCCAGAAGGCGTCCAGGTTGTAGCAACTGAGGTAGATTCCGGTGGGCGCTTTCAGGCGCAGTTTGGTCAGCTTCGGGACAACCGTTCGAGTTTTCACGGTCACACCCACCACGGTCTGGTACATGCTTGCCATCTTCGGAAAAGTCACCGCAGCCTCGAGGGAGGATAGGGAAAAACCTGGAGGTGGAGTCATCGGTAAAATTGTAATTGAGGGTCGTAGTACAAAATCCTTGGCGACTCAGAACGAATTTCCAAAAGCATGAGCATCACTAAATACTGGCTCTGCGCACAGGCACAACCAGCACAACCACAACCCAGACTCTCAGAAAGAAGCATATAGTGTATACAAAACTCACAAACCTTCGATTTCTCCAAACGCCAACAGGTTCCCGTTCCCGTCGTAACTTTCGAAGAAGAAAGTCGTGATCGCCGTCAAATTTCTGGGTGAGTGCACCTGCATCTCCAAACTTAGTGGGTCGGTCTCTATGCAGTCATCCGTGTCCCGAAAGATCCCGGGCTCGGGGTTCAAACGCACCCCCGGGCAGGTAAATTCCAGGCTGTCCCTCGGCCGGAATCGCATGTCCCGGCCCTGGAGCACCGTGTCCACCTGGTAATTGTTGTAGTATTCCGTGGGGTCGGAGGCTTTGATCACCGCATTTTCTTTTACGTACAAATGGCTCATCCGCGCCATCCCCAAATTCTTGGTCGGCAGCGGGTGCCGCTGGGGCATCTGGAGCACCTGCAAATTCGACGCGAACGTGAAGTTTTCGGCGGCGTACAGGATGTACTTCTTGCCCAACCGCGACGGGCGCACGGTAAGTTGAATGGTAAGCAAGGCCGACGGCGGGGAGTGCCCCGTGGTGACTTTCTCGGTGAAGTTGTCTGCGTCCAAGTCGCCAATTCCGCCCGGCCCGGTATCGAGGAAATCGTTCGTGTTGATCGGCAGCGCCCCGGTCGCCATGTTCTGCGGGTCGGTGGGACTGAAGCTCGGGTCGATCCACGTGTCCAGCGCCCATTTCGTTTGCGAGAACGGTTCGGTCGGCGTGCCCGTTTGGGGGCTGCGGATGAAGAAATCCGCAACGTACCGCGTGTTCGGCTGCAAGGTGTGTTTTGTCGACCCTGCGATCTTCGGCGACGCGTAGCTCATGTTCACGAATTTCCGATCTAGAATCCCGTGGGGCGTCGGAATGCTAAGCGCCCGCCCGTACGTCTGCAAGTCGCTGTAGAAAATGTAGTTTCCAAACCCAAACGTCTCGACGCGCGACGGGCACACGAGATCCTGGCGGTACACCAAGTAGCTACTGGTGTCCTTCCCCCACCATGGCTGCGTGAAATTTGCGTTTTCTTGAAACGCGGCCGTCGCGTTCGTCGGCAGTATTGGTACATCGCCAATGCAATCCATCGTGCTGTTGGTGTCGTTCGGATCCGCGTACACACACGTGGTCGACGTGGTGGTGCTGGTCGTCGTCGTGGTACTAGTCGTGCTGGTCACGGCCGCAACTTCCGCGGGCACGATGGTGCCGTCGTCCTTCACGGTGACCAGACTGCTGACCCGCTGCGAAAAGGGGTAGAAGTCGGGGTCGTGCACGAAGTCCGATCGCGGGTTCTGCAGCCGCGTCTGCAAGCGCGCGTACAGCTCCGGTGCGGACACCTCCATGCCGCTGACGTTTTTCGTGATCTCGAAGAACACGGTCAGGCCGCGCTGCGCGTAGCTATTGATGTCGTTCCCGATCTGGAGCGTCGGCGCCCAGGGCGCATCCGTGAAGCGGAAGTGGCAGTTTTTGTCCGGCTTGAAGAACTGGAACATGGTGCAGTTCCGGTGCGCGGAGCAGAGCGTCTTGCACTCCTCCGGCCCGTCCAGTCCGGGGCTGTAGGGGTTTGGCGTGCTGCCGGACAGCGCACCGGGCTGCCAGCCGCCCCCCACGACGGTGTTCGGGTACAGGTCGTACTCCACGGGCTGCGGGTGCCCAAAGTCGTCGTACCGCCCCGGGCGCATTTCCAGCACCCGGATCCGCGGCGACTGCCACACGTACTGTGCCTTGTTCGCGCAGTTCGGCGCCATGTCCGCGTTGGACCAGTACTTGTCGTAGGACCCAAACAGGTGGTAGTTTCCGTTGTCGCAGAACAGGCTGCGCGCGATCGCACTAGTCAACACGGTTTGGAACGGCGTGAAGGAGAAGCTGATCTGCGGTGCGTTGTTCAGGAGGTAGGTCGTGGTGGAGGTGGTCGTGGTGGTGGTTGTCGACGTGACGAACCCCGGCGGCACGGCCTTCGGCACCGGGGTCACGGCAACGAGGCTGTCCGGCATTTTCCAGTTCGGAAAGCAGTCGGTGTACGTTTGGAAAATGACGTCGAACTCCATCTTCGCGACCACCCGCAGCATTCCGGACGGGGTCGCTGCTGTTGTACTGGCGGCTGTTGATGATGCTGTGGTTAGCGACCTGCGCGCGGCGCCCGTGTTCGCGTCGAGGGCGGCGACGAACCCGACAAAGTCCGGGTTCACCTGCGGGGCGGGCAGCTGCAGCATGCCCGGCATGGCCTGCGCGATCGGGATGCGGAGCTGGTCGAAGTTGATGGTGGGCTGCCCGCGCAGAATGGGAAACGTCGCGGGGTTGTGCGCGAGGGAAATCGACTCATTGAAGAAGAGGAGCTTCGGCGTCTGGGGGACGATAGTGGACGACGTCGTGCTCGTGGTTATCATTTGTTGTTCTCCGGTAGATGTCGTGACGAGTGAAGCTGCCCCGGGTGTTGTGGCTGTACCCGCTGCTGCAGCCGCGGCGGCCTTGTTGGTTTGCAGATTCGTGGTCACCGTCGCTCCATCGTGCAGGTGGCCCTGCAGGTCCAAGTACACCAGGGTGCCTGGTGTCCCGAACTCCGCGCCGTGGTTCGTGGATGTGTCGCCGCGCTCGCCGAGCTCCAGGTGCAGGATGTCGTCCATTTTTCCGGGCGTGTCCAAGTTCGCGGCCTGGTAGACATGAACGGACTTCAACGGCACCAGCAATCCAGTGCCCTTCTCGTAGAGGCAGACATCGACGGGTGCGAACTGTATCTCGCTGCCGGAACGAATTTCCAGGAAGTTCGTGTTCGGGTTCGCAACGGAAAACTCGACTTTTGCCCGCCCCGGCCGCGCGTTCACGCGCGGAAGCATGTACTGCGAGCGCAAGCTCGAGGGCGGCTTCTGCCACCACGCCCCGCGCATCCAAACATCGTACACGTTGATCCCCCCTGGAAGCGTGAACCCCTCAAAGAACATCTCGTCGCGCAGCGTGCGGGCCGTGAAACTCCGGATGGTGTAGCGGACGCTCTGCGTGCCGACGGGAAAAACCAGGTCTACTAACCGGAAGAACGTGCGACTGTAGTTCCCTGGGATCGTGATCGCGTTCACCGCCATAATACCCACCACGAGCGGGTTGTACGGGTAGGCGAGCTCCGCATCATACCCGAAGGGAGTACGGACCTCGTACTTTCTTTCCCCCGTCAGCGGGTGGTAGGTTTCGACTTCCGCGAAGGAGATGGCCGCCAAATCCAGTTGCGGTTCGCTGAACAGGTAGAGCGTGTTGGCCGGGGAGAGCGCGTAGAACTCAAATTCTAGTTTTGTCTTGACCCCCGCGCCGCGCTTCAAACCAGTCAAACGCACCACCGGTTGCTGGAATTGGGGGATGATGTCGTAGCTGAGAAACGACTTGGCTTCCAGAATCACGTTGCGCCCCGTCCCACAGGCGCCCGGAAACGTCACGCTGTGCCCGGCAGCCGCTGCGGCGCAGTGATTGTCGTATGTTTCGTAGTTGGCCCCGCAGACGGTACTGGTCGTACTGTTGCATCCGGGTGTGTACACGCAGTTGCAGGGGGTGCTGGTGGTCGTAGTTGTGGTGCTGTTCGGCGAAGAGTACTGCACGGTGCACGCGATAGTTTGTATCTGGTTCGGCGTGAAGGCGCAAGCTTTCCCTCCGTCCGATGGCCGCGTTTTCACAGCGAAGTACCTGAGTGATTTTTTCAGTTTGAAATTGAACCGCTCGGAGAAGGCTAGCTGTATGACGAACAGAGGAAATAGCCATTCCCACAGCACAGAACTCAATCAATAACGAGCGAGTTGTGCTGTTTCTTTATCCTTTTGCAGATGCAAATCAAGTAGATTTCCACTTCTCTACCTATATTGCTCTGCTTGGAGAACGACGTTGACGAGTTGCCCCGTCTGTCCCGCATCGACGAAGGTTTTGGCCTGGGCCGCGCTGGTGGGGCAAGCGTTCAGATTGTACCCGATGGCGCCGGTCATGTTCACTTCGTAGTCCATCAGGCTGGCATACGGCTTGCGGAGAAACGTGGCCGGGTAGCTGCGGTTGCTGTACAGCAACTCGTGGTAGAGAAAGGAGTCCACGGCGGAGTAGTGTATGGGCGTGGTCCCCGTGTGCGGGTCGATCAGGTAGCCGAAGAAGCACAGGGCGTCCGGCTTCCGCGTGCATTCGCTGTACTGTGTCCAGCCCCCGACGCAGTTCTGGCCGCAGGAGTGGGTCACCGTATGCCCACTGATGTGCGGACAGCCGGAATTGGCCTCCGCAATGACGCCGTACACGGCACGCTTCAAGCCGTTCGCGCAGATGTCAAAGGGACCGAATTTCCCCGTGCAATTGGCGTCGTTCCGCTCGGCGCAGGGAAGCGAATCCACGGCGCCGTTGCTGTGCGCGCAGTCTTTGCCCCCGGCAGTTGCTGGCGTCGTCACCGTGAACTCGCGCGTCTGCAGCTGGTCCGTGCAATTGCCTTCGGACCAAGTGCCCTCGAAGGGCGCGCCGTAGCCTGACCACGAGCCCCGGCAATCCTGCGGCGTTGTCGTGGTCGTGGTTGTCGTCGACGAGCCTGTTGGATTTTTTGATGAGTCTCTAATACAAATACTGCTGCACCTGAAGTAAACTCGCTTGCGCATAAGAAATTTAGTAGATTTACGACCAAACTTTATCCTATACCTAAAACTCTGAGTTCCCAGAAGTTGTCGAGCTTGTTCCAGGCTTCCACTACCATTGGATTAGCTGCTACCACCTTCAGGTTCAGTGGCGTCTGCCCGAGAAACTCGACATACCCCGTCCGTGTGAGCACCATCTCGGTTCTGCTGGCGGCGCAGTCCCAACCGTCCGGTGCCCCCTGGTCGGTCCAGAGATTGTCGACCATCATCACGGTCACCAGCGAAGTGCAGAACGCGGAGAAATCGTAGCCAAGTGGCCCGCTAAGGTGGACCCGGGTGCCCGGGAAGATTTCCAAGCGAAACCGAATCAAGAAGTAGATCACCAAAGGTTCTCCGCCGAGCGTGAACCGCCCCGGCCCGGCGGTGGACTGCGCGGCGACCTCGAAGAAGTCCGAGGCGTCGTGCAGGGACAGGCTGCCGACGCGAACCCCCTGCGTGGGGTAGGGGTTTTGGGGCAGCGGGGTCAGCGAAAACAGAGAATTCGAGAGCGTGCGAATGCCCGTGCCCCCGGAGAACGCGAACAGTGGGTCGTTTGTTTCCGGCGGCACGGTGCTCGCCAGCACGGCCTCGCGGCTGCTCGACTCGCCGGGCCCGGTGCGCAGTACCTGCACCCCGTACGCGATGGAATCTGCGTAGGGCGCGAACCCAGCGCTGGGGTTGTACCCGAAAATCCAGAAGTAGTACTGCGCCGGGTTGCTGACCTTGTGCGTGTTGCCGTCGGGCAGCAGGATCGTGAACTCGAAGCGGTAGGTGAAGCTCTCCGGTTCCAAGTACATCTGCGTTTTGTCGGTGAAGTCCATCGTGATGGACTTCAGGTCGGGCAGCACCGTGCACAGCAGATCCTTCGGCAACCAGGGAATCCAGGTGTCCGCGTTCTTCGGCAATTTCCAGGCCTCGCAAGTGGTGTAGGGGGAGACGGAGTGGTACAGCGGAAGCTGCACCTCCAACCGCCCGCCCACCGGGATGGCCGCGAAGGCCCCGAACTCCAGCGCCACCTGGGCCGCCTCGACGCACCCGCTGCGGAGACAGCTGACCCCGGTGTCGTAGTTGTCGATGTTTAACACGGGGCACGTGACCGTCGGGTTCAAGCACGTGGGGGACCGGTTCCGTTGTGATAGCCGTACCTTTGGATTCGTGAACCGGCGGAGCGGAAACGCTGTGATCGACGCGTTGAAATTTGATGTTCCCCCGAGAAACAGGCTCCATTCGTTGTAGCTCGCGGTGGTGCTATCGGTCGGCGTGTAGTCCTGGAGCGGGTTGGTTACCCGGACGGCGAAAGGGTAAATTTTGTTGATCGCCAGCTGCGTGTCCAGCAGCTGCAGCTCCATCTTTCCACGCCCCGTCCCGGCCTCCACACTGCCCACGCACCCCGACGCATCGGAGGCGTTGACGGACAGGGACGCGTAGTCGGTGACGGGGGCGGGGGGCGCCGTCGCGTCGAAAATCAGGTGGTGCTGGTACTGGACGTCTCGGGTGCAGCCGACGTCAAACGTGTACCCCGGGGGGGAGAGCAACGTCAAGCTTGGAACCGTTTGGGGACTGGGGATTGCGGGCGTGGTCGGTGTCGTCGGATTGTCGATGCGGAAGGAGAACAGAATGCGGTTCCCGTATCCCGGTACGTCCAGTCGCTGTGCGCCATTCGGTTCTCGAATTTGCCACTGGTCCAGGGTGATAGCCACAGAGACCCTGATGCACAAAGAGCACAGCAGGAATAGCGCGGCGGCATGCAGGAGCAAAGCCGTCAGCCCTGCAGGTGCCCGTATGACACAGTGACCCCCCATTTTCACGCCGACGCGGCTAAAAATTTGGGGTCTAGTCGGAGCACAGAAGCTGTGCCAAACATTTTCCCGCTGACAAAGCATCAACACGCATCTTTGCCGACACGGAAGCAACTTTCCCGTTGTAATAGCAAACCATCCTCTTGCTACACCACTAGCAGAGTGGCACACGTGCAGCTGGCCACATATTTTATGTCGTGCCTAATTAAAAATGCAGAAGTACGCTTGAATTCTTTCGTTTAGGAAACACAAAAAAGGGCAAGGGATATTGAGGTAGCGAAAATGTGTTCAAGAATGAGGTCCTGCAATGCAAACAAATCGACAGCAACCACGCTGGCCGCACAACTGAGTTCATCAAAATCACGTGCTCCTCTCTCCTCGAGAAACAAGCCGCTCCACTTTTCTCTCTGCAACTTATCTATTGCAACGCCCTTACTTGCTGTCGAAACGGTCGGCAGAACTTTCACTCCGCTCCCTAAACGAGCAAATCAAAAATATGCATCTCAATCTCTTACTTTCGTAAAGCGAAGTAAGTACACGTCTGCCCGCTCGTCTTGAGCTCGAAAATCTTCAAAATGTCCTTTACTAAAAGTGCTGTACTGCAGCTCGTCGGTAATGGTATGACTATGTATTGCTTTTCTTTTTCCCGTATGCATTCAAACAGTGGTGTACATGTTCAACGAACGACTAAAGCTAGTATGCGTCCATCGCCATCCAAATCATATTCTACAAGTGGTTGTTGTATATCATAATCATCGCGTTCATCAACTGCAATTTTTATATAACAGAGCAGCGCTTTTTTGTACTATGTATCTGAATTTTCTAGGAACTGTACTTTTACTTCGAGAAACTTGAATCGTATTTGAATGTAGTATAATGTCCAAACGTCAAACAAATGTCAAATCTTCGTGCCACATCGGCTGAGATAGAAACGATACGCAAAACAAAGCCAACACACAGCAGAAGGTCGAGCGCTGCTCGCCACTAACCAACGAAAAAGCGTCCCTGCTGCACGTGCCGCTTGATGTCGTCAAACGACTCGAGCCCGTCGCTCTTGTCGCGTTTCATGGCGACGATGTCCATGTCCCGGATTTCCATGCGCCACCGCTGGCGCAGAGACAGCTTCCGCGCGTCGTTTCCGGCCGCGTCTTCGTCCAGATTTGTCCGGATTTGCAGCCCCAAGCGGAACTTCGCGTTTTTCTGCGACTCCTTTACCAGATCCAGCTCGTCCTCGTCCACCTCATCCTCCTCCACATCGTCCCAGGACGACATAGTGCTCTGCTTGTGTGCCCACTTTTTCACCTTGGACAAGATCCCGATAGACACCTTGGTTTCCTCCCCGGTGGAAGGTGGGCGCTTCGGCTCTTCTGCTTTTTTCTCCTCCTTCCGCCCTGCTGGTACCTGATTGAGTCATTTCATTTTGATACAAATTTGCCGTGCTGATCTCTGCTCACACGTGATCCGTTCGTCGGAACACAAATCTTCCACAAATTGCCCGCTGCTGGGGTGGTCGGGGCGCCGGAGTTCCTGCGTTTATTTCTGTACTGTCTGGTGAGTCACACCCTTCACAATGGCGAGAAAAGGTCCGGGTCTGTAGCGTTCGCAAGTTCCAGTATTCAAACCGTGCTCTACAGCAGCGAGGCGCACAGCGAGGACCACACCGTGACGCCCGTGCCACAGAGGTGGCAGCGAGGCGTCCCCCTGCCCGGCCACAGAGGTGGCCCGGGCCGTGTTCCAGTGTTCCACGGAGGTGGCAACACCGGGTGCAGCGGAGGCTGCATCAAATCCAAGTTCACCACAACAGAGGTTGCGACGGGCGGTGACGGGTTGCCGGTACCGGTGGTAGGCCGGGTTTGGTGGCTCGCCGGCCACTGCGTCGTCGAGGAGGAACTCCACGCACCTGCTGGAAACTAAGCTTATCACTATCGTGCTGCTACATACAGAAAAAGAGAGTTCGCGTCAGAGACGTCAGGACATGACTCAGGCTCAAGTTGTGCTGTGAGCACGCGCCTGTCGCGTGCTTCAGTTCTTCTTGCACTTCCGTGCCTTCGTTGGGCGTTCCTCCGGGAGTGCGTAAGGTTGCGGGAGTTGCGGTGGGGCAAACTCGCGCTGCCAGTCGATCTCCGGAATGTGGCACATGGTGGGCCGCAATGTGCGGATTGCTTCTGGCATGAGGGCGGCCCGGGTGAACGGGTCGCTGATATTCAGCTCGCTTTTCACGTATTCCCACCAAACTGCCATGCGCATCGAGTGCGCGGCCACGGCGACGTTGGCGGCCAGGTTGGCGGTGAGCTGGCTTTTGGCGCTGCATTTGACCAGCGCGAAGAGCTCCCCGCTATTGTCGATCTTGCCGAAGACCGCCGCGCCGGTGAGGTGGCGGCGCCAGGTGAGTTGCGCGATTCTGGCCGTCATGGTTTCGTAGTGCTCGATGGTTAGCTTGTGCGGCCACCACCGGGCGATCCGGTCTACCGGGAATTCGTACGAGAACGCAAACACGCCCTCCGTCGTGACGAGGACCCCGCCCCCCATCGGCCCGCCGCTTGGCGATCCATCGGACGAGGCATCCAGCCACATAAAGGCGATGCGGGACTGCCGTGGCTGTTTTGAGATGTCGATGGGGACCACCACCTGCAGAAGGGACTTCACTGCGAGCAGGACGGACTGCAGCTGGCGGCGCTGTTTGCGGTCGCCCCGCATCCGCTCAAAGCGGTCCGCCACCGCCCAGTCGTACAGGTGCCGGAAAAGCTCCGAGCCCGCCCGGAAGTACGTATTGCAGACGATGTAGTTACCAAGGCCCAGGACCCGCTGGACCGACTTTAGCACCATCTTGCCGCTGTGGGTCTCTTGCAAGAGGGCGTCAATGGCGGCGGTGCCCTTGGTGATCGCTTCCGCTGGTACCGTGATGCGGATGGTCGTGTTGGTCGCGGACCTGTGCCACTGGTAGTGGATGCCCAGGGCTCGGAGGAAGTTGCCCTCTGTTGAGAGCTGTTGCGCGCCCGGCTTGGTGCTGAGGACGATGCCCAAAGTCGCCGCAATCTGCCGGAAGAGGGCCCGGGACAGCTCGGCGCCTTCACGATCTAATGCGAAGAAATAAGCATCGTCTACGTATATTATTGTTATTAAACCATAGTGCATGCCGATTGCCATACAAAGCTCCGCCGCACGGACCCAGTTGGGTACGGAGTGCAGGCAGCCAAAACTCAACACCACCGACAAAAAATAAACATAAGCCGCCTTCAAGTTCGACCAAACCCCGATGGGGCAGTGGTCCGGCCTGCTTACCCCCAGTTGATGGTAGGCCTTGGAGACGTCCTCCGAGCCGGCCTCCGCCACGCCGTTGTGGTTGGTGGCTTCCTCCTGCAGGAGGTCGTTGGCCTCGCGGACGCCGGCGAGTAACTGGGCCCGCGTGGCTGGCTTGCGCTGCTCCCCGTCGGCCTGCCACTGTTTGTAGGCGGCCAGATTTTCTTGCATGCTGGCATTGGCCCCGCGCGACGTTGTGGTGACCGGCATGCGTGCCGCCGCGCCCTCTTGTCCGATGGGCGCCATCAGCCCCGCGAGCACTTCTTGCAGCACTCTCGTGCCATAGAGAGAAATTTTCTCCCGCAGGACGGAGTGCTCGTTCTTCGCCCGGCTGTCCACGATGCAGCGCACCTTCTGCCGCACTTCCGTGGACTCATCTTTTGGAAATACATATGCCGGCTGGCATATGAGTTTTTCCGGGTCCACCGGGATGCTCCACCCGCGTTTTACGAATGCGAGTTGTTCGTCTAGTACGGCATCGAGTAAGTGGTCGGGGAAGCCGGACGGCTTGTGCGTCCGGAGGGTTACCCCGGCCTGGAAGAAGAGCGCGGCGTCGTCAGGTCCTTGCAGCGTGGCCTTCGGGTCGTCTGGGAAGAGGCCCGTTGCGTCGGTGTTGCCTATCGACTCAAAGCCCTTGAGCACCCTGTTCGGGAAGTCGACGTCCGGGTGCCCTATGAGGGCGATCAGCTCCCGCATTGCGAGAACATTGCGGGTGATGCCGTCCATGGTCAGAACCGGACGAAGGTGCTGCGGAGCGTCTTGCTCCACCAACTGCTTATTTGGTCCCTCCGTGCGGGCCTGCACCTCCTTGAGCTCAATGATGGCGGTGCGGAGGCGTTCCTTCCAGTGGAACGGTGACGTTTTTGCGTCCCGCATGTTCTGCTTGAGCCGGTCCCGCAGTCTTGTGGCCGCTTTATCGATGACAATCGCCGCTTGCACAAATCGCACCGCCTCGTAGATCGCATGCGCCAGCTGCGTGCACGGCCGTGCGAATGTCTCCGGGCCTTCTGGCGGAGAGGCCGGGCAGGTCGGGTGGACCATGTTTTGGTATTATACCTGTCGTTTAGTAGAAACACAACCGCCACACTGCGGATCAAGGGGATACAGATGCTGGCCGAAGTTAACTGTCTACGAGTGACATGCGCGAGGGTCTAAGAGCTCCTACCGAACTTTCATGCAAGTCATGGGCAACAACAACACGGAGGTCCAGGGAATTGTAGCACGCAATAAAGGCCGTGAAAGTACGCTAACGCGAGGATCTCAAATAGCACGCAAACATACTGCTTTGCGCGCTGGTCGGTCCGCGCGCGCCGTTGGTCGCTGCAAACAGGGCGGCAGTGCAGGGAGGGCAGCTTGGGAGGCTTCCGCCCGTTGGTCTTCACCCTACCAGCGGGATTCGTAGCGGAGGCTCCGGGGCTGCTCTTTTTAAACTCGCGCCCCGCCTTCGGGGCGTGCATCGGGTTAGGAAACTGCCCGGCAAAACACAAACTAAGTATAGGCGCTTACCTGGGCCTAACTATCTAAGGCGAGGGCTGGCCACGGGGTGACAAAGATGGGGCCACAGATGGTGGTCCCCCCATCCCGGTCCTCACGAGGTTGCGCGCCCGCATGCTGACTGCGTAACCTAGAATGTGATGCCCTAAATGTATTAACTAAGGTACCTGGCTGGCGGCAGGAGCGCCCAGCGCACGTTTCCGCCCTGCTGGTACCTGATTGAGTCATTTCATTTTGATACAAATTTGCCGTGCTGATCTCTGCTCACACGTGATCCGTTCGTCGGAACACAAATCTTCCACAAATTGCCCGCTGCTGGGGTGGTCGGGGCGCCGGAGTTCCTGCGTTTATTTCTGTACTGTCTGGTGAGTCACACCCTTCACAATGGCGAGAAAAGGTCCGGGTCTGTAGCGTTCGCAAGTTCCAGTATTCAAACCGTGCTCTACAGCAGCGAGGCGCACAGCGAGGACCACACCGTGACGCCCGTGCCACAGAGGTGGCAGCGAGGCGTCCCCCTGCCCGGCCACAGAGGTGGCCCGGGCCGTGTTCCAGTGTTCCACGGAGGTGGCAACACCGGGCGCAGCGGAGGCTGCATCAAATCCAAGTTCGCGTGGCTGGTGCCTCCATCCGGATCCCGCCGCCCTGTGGCTTTACTCCGCCATGCGAATCTTGCCGGCTTTGTCGCGTAAACAGGGTGGCTCTCGTAGGTGTTTGCGGTTCGTGACGTTATGTGGAGGGCAGGCAGGGCAGACTTCCATCCGCTTCACGTAATGTCTGCCCTGGTGCATGAAGAGGTTGCCGCTGGCGACCTTCTCGGCCGGTAGTGCGGGTCTGGTTCCAGCGGTGGAGCGGTTACTGTGCGTCGCGGCCTTGGTCTTCATGGGCCGGGCCGTGGAGGGTGCTGGCGCGCTTGCCAGCTGGAGGGCTGGCGCAACTCCTGGCGGCAGTCCATGCGGCACCTTCAGGTAGTGCGGCTTCGGCACCGCCGATTTGCCCCGTTTGCTGAAGAACGGTTCGTCTTCCACTGGATCCAGCGCTTCCTCGCACAGCACACTGCTGCGCTTCCGTCCCTCTTGTGCCTGCCCCGCCGGCTTCCCCGGCTCACCGTCTGACCCACTGTACTCCTGGTCGCTCCCGCCGGCTGCATCCTTGAAGACGACGTCGCCGGAAAACCGTAGGTGAGCGGCCAGCTGCTTCACCGATGCCACGGCATGCGGCCGGATGGCGCCCAGCACCGGCATGCACTTCGCGCGCTCCGCGAAGTAGTGCTTCCAGGTACTAAAATCCCCCGAGTACCGCAGGAAGGTGCTGAGTTTTCCCCAGCCCCGGCCCCGCATCCAGCCGGTCAGGTCGAAGGTAAGCATGCGCCTTTCGATGTAGTACCGGGCTGCTAGCGCTTGGTAGCGGCGGAAGCTCTGCTGTGTCCAGCCCATGAGCTGGAGGAACTTCTTCTGCTTTGCGTTGCCATGCCCGTCGCCCCACTCGCTCAGCAGAATGGGCAGGGGCACCGGTCGCAGCGCGTCGTTGTGGAGGAGGCACCACTGCCGGTCGACGTTGCTACCCTCCTGCGCACAGTTGCAACCGATGGCCACAGTGCGCTTCTCCATGCTACGCACCTTGTCCGTGCGAATATAGACCAGCAGGCGGTCGGGCTCGTAGCGGAGGTCCTCCGGCAGAATGGCGCAGTTTGTGTCCATGCGCGTGCCCAGCTGCATCATGAGCGCGAGCTGCTTCACCGCCCGCCACGGCAGTGTTGTGAAATCTGCAGTGAGGAATGCCGGGATGGCTCGCGTCGGGTCGTTCTTTTGTGTGGCGGCTTTCACGTCCCTGCGGCAGCGGGCGAATTCCATCACCCGCATCCCCGCCGTGTCCGGTGCTAGGGCGTTGGGTGTGTCCATCGCCTTGATGATGAGTTGCCCCATGGTGTCATTCGGACTGGGCGCCCCGTCGGCGGCCAGCTGCAGCCCGAAGTACCGGAAGTGACTCACTTCAATGTTGCCCGGAAGCACTGGCGGTGCCCTCGCGGCACAGTAGCGGAGAAATTGCTTCCAGACCCGTTCCCGCTTCTCCAGTGTGGCCGCGGAGTTGACTGTCGCGTCCAGGCCCGCATCGAGTAGCTTCTGGTACTCCTCGGTGCCCGGCGTCGCAGCTTCAGGGCCCGCGGCGGCCTGCGTGGCGAAGGGGTTGGCGTCCGGCCGGGTGGCAACCGCCGCAAACGCGGAGTGCGGCCGCATCTACTGTGCTCCTGCTTTGTTCTGTTTAATTGCAAAGAAGGGCCAAACGAGTTACAACAAACGTGGCCCGCTTACGCTTGGAGACTAAAAGGCTAACACTACAAAGGGTCGCTATTTGTCTCCTTCCGTGTTCTAAGAACCAACGAAATCGTACGAAAATGCGGCACGGGGGTGTCGGGCCGTTTACGCTTAGAAACTCGGTTTTTGTCACTGCAAAGCGTGGGAATTTCTCTACTTTCATGTTACGAGAACCAGCAAAAAACCGCACAAAAGGGCCACGGCCGTTTACGCTTAGAAACTCAACTCATGTTACTGCAAAGGGTGGGAATTTGTCCATTTTCATGTTTCGGGAACCAACAAAAACGTACGAGGATGCCACACAAGGGTGGCGGGCCGTTTACGCTTAGAAACTGCAGAGGTGCCCTGCTACCAACGTCGTACGCGGTTGCGCGGGTGCTGCGCGCCTGCCTGCTACGTGTTCTGCCCCCACACGAAGCTAGTGCCGAGCGCGTTGAATTTTTTTAATTTTTTCAAAAACAACCTGTGGGCAGCATGTGTTCAATTTGTGGCTCAAGGTGCGTGCGAGTACTTACATGAAACACGTTTGCGCTCCAGGCGTACTGCGCGTCTGGGTACCCCGTTGGTGGTTGTATTACGGCCCGCCCCACAGAGGTGGAAAGCGTGGCGGCACTCGCTACAGAGGTAGTCGAGGTGGCGGCCCGTCCCACAGAGGTGAGGCGGTAAGGCCATGCCTAGAGCTAGCCCCATTGACTAGTTCCCCCGCTGCGACAGCACGACTTCCTTCCACGCTTTCTTCTCGATTTTCACCTTCAGCCAGTGGTGGCGTTCGCACTTTCCGCTGCGGTTGCACTTGTGGTTGGACCACGCTCGGCAGAAGGAGTCCGGCGAGCCGCACTCCGCCTTCTCGCTCTCCGCCACGCAGGAGGGCTCGATCGTGCCACCTCCCCGCACGAACCAATACACTCCATCGATGCAGCAGCAGTCTACGACCTTGTCCCAAGAGCGGCGGTACACCGGGTCGCCCCGGTCCTTGCGGATCTTGTCCGCGACGTCCCTCTTGCGCATCGGTGCGCTGGCCCCCGAGTCCGGGCCATTGCCGACCCGGTTGATGGCAGTATTGTGGTCGGTGGGATGGTTGTCCACGATGCGGGCCCACATCTCGTCCTTCTTGAGGTCATCCACCGGCGGCTTTGTACGCTGCGTCGCCCCGTTGCCCCTGCGGGTCGTGCGTTCCCGCTTCATCGCCTTCTTCTTCTCCGCCGCGGTGGGCTTGCCACCACGGGGCTTTCTGCCAGCGCTCTTCTCCTGTTCGTCCCCCGACTCCACAGTGTCATCGTCCGAGCTACTGGGCCCCTGGTCCTTGTCCTGGTTGGCGACGGTTCCAAACCTCGCCTTGCGGGCCGGCACAAGGGCGGTGATCTGGGTCCAGGCGTGCTTGACGATGAACATGGCGCTGCGGATCGGCGCCGCCAGGGTCGGGACGCCTAGCGGCGCGTACATGCGGATTATTTCCTCCTGTTGCTGGGTCAGGAAGATCACAACGGGCAAGGCATGCCAAAGGGCGTCCGTTTTGCTCATGGCATTGATTTGCACCTTGAAGTTGGTCAGGGCATCCGTGACCGCCGTGGCCTCCAGCCCGTCGTGGACCGCAATGAACTGCTTCATCACGGTGTAAGCGTCCTCCACCTGCTTCCAGCGGTTTTGGGTGTAGACTGACTTCACCAGCCGGGCGTCCTCGATCTTCAGCTGCGGGCTGCGGTTGACCAGCTGAAGCAGTTCGTGGGCCGGCGCGAAGTCGCAACCTGCCAGGAAGTCCTTGTCCAGCTTCGTATTGCCCCGCGTGTTGCGCAAGGCCGCGACATCCACCAGCACGTCCTCCACCGTTTTGACGTCCATGGCATTCAGGCTGCCCACGCCTTGCCACTTTTCGATCGCGGACGGTGTGGCGTCCAGCCCGACGCCACTGGCTGCGCGCTTCAACCGAGAACCCGCAAGCACATTCTCTCCGTAGACCCCGTTAAGGACGGCGAGAAGGATGGCCAGCTTGTACTTGGCGACGAAGTGTGGGCGGCTTTCCTCCGCCAACTTGTGCGCAAAGGTTCCCCCTTCGAGCTGCACGTAGTCCGCCACCAGCAGGACATTATGGTGGTCCACCTGGCAGTGCTGCATGCGGTTAAAGTCGCAGCAGAGTCCGACCGCAAGCTCGTAATTTCTCTTCGCCGTCTGGGGGTCCGGGTTGAGCTTCCAATGGATCTGGTTGACTGGGTCTGTCAACTTGACCACGCCCATCGTGCGGGTGTGCACCTCGCCATGTCCCGGCTTGCCGTGGTCCGGGTGCAGGTTGCTGGCGTCATAGTTAACCTTGTTCTTCGTCGGGGCGGCCACCGACTGCCCCGACATGTTGCGGAGGACATCCACCATTGACTGCGTGATGGTCATGTACGCCGGCTGGTTGCCGGCGTTTGGCCCTCCCGCGAGATTCTGCTGTCCCCCGCCCGGCGGCGGTGCCGGCGGGTTGTTGTGGTTCGGGACCGGCGGGCTCGGCCCCGGAGCCGGCGGGTTCGGTCCCGGAGCTGGCGGGTTCGGGTTCGGCCCCGGCACGGGCGGGTTCGGATTCAACACCGGCGGCAGCACCGGCGGTAGCGGCGGGTTGGGGTTCGGGTTCGGCACCGGCGGGTTGGGGATTCCCAGCATGCCATTGATCGCTTCCTGATGTGTGGGAGGCTGGTTGCTGGTGTGGATGAGGATGGTCGTTGCCGGGTCGATGTCAACGCCGAGCCACGCGTTGGCCTGCCCTGCGACCGTGTTGAGCAGTTCCGTCCAAGCCCCCGGCTTGTTGATCGCCGCAATTTGATGATTGTGCACCGCCAGGGCGTAGTCCTTCATCTTCTGCATCGTGACCATGTCGTATCCTTTCGACAGGCCGCCGTCGTTGGCGTGCCGCTCACTGAAGAACTGCAGCATGCAGATCTTCGCCGCTACTTCCGCCTGCGCCGGTGTAAACGTCATTGTGGCCGTGTCCAGCTGGAACACGTTGCCCGGGTCCAGTCCGGTCAGCTCCTGCACACCCCCCGAAGTTACGACGCGCTCACAGAGCTGCCCCAGGTCGTCTTTTGCCTGCTGGCCGGCACAGTCGTAGCCATGGTAGAAGTTCCGGAACTTCTGCGCAAGATCCGAGCCCAGCGGCTGAAGCGACAGCCGTCCGTCGAACTTGAAGTAATCCTTTGCCGTTGCTGGTTGCGCCATTTCGTATGGTGTTGATCAGCAAGCTCGTTTGCCAAACAGGAAGGGAAGAAGTTTTTGCTGCTCTATCAGCGTCGGATGTTTGTTTTGAGTTTTATGAGTGTGTTGTAGGGCACTATTAACTTAAAAGCACATCAGATGGTCGCTGTTATCATTCCAGAGCCACAAACAAATTCCAAATGAAAAGGCAGCATCGTCATCGTTGGCGGAAGCAGAAACATCAAGTGGCGAAACAGCCAAAGAGGCATCAAGTGGTAAATGTTTGGATAAAAACCAAAGTAGTGCAGAGCCATTTCATTTCCAAGTCAAGCCAAAACGTTAACCATCAGCATTCGTAGTAGAAGTAGAAGCAGAGGCATCAACAGATCACGTGCATGGGCAAACTCAAAATCAATGAGGTAGCACTCCATGGGCATTCAAACGCACGTCGCTGCATGATTTCAGATCTCTATTGCCCTACGCGCAAATTGTGCGAACAGGTGGCTACGCAGTCCCTATCTAGCCGTGCCACAGAGGTGCCACACGGTCGGCTGGTGTGTGTCGTTCGTATGTGATGCTTGCGCTTTGTGTGTCAATCTTGCATGTGTCGTGGAGTAGTGTCTGTCAGATTCATGCACGCGACGCACTTCACAGCCTTCCATCCTAAGTCCCTACTAGCCCCCCGCCGAAGCCGGGGGTTTCGGGCTGGGACCGTCGCACAGAGGTGCGGGGCGGTATACGGCGGGCGCACAGAGGTGTCCCTCGTTAGACTTTCGTCTTGGTTTTGGGTCGGCTTGACCCGCGCTCCGGTCGTCCAGGGCTAACCTGTACGTAACGATCGGCGCCGACGGTTTCACCTTACGGTACGTGGCTTTGGCGGGCGCGCGCGTGGCGGCCGCGGGAGGGTGGCCGCCTCCCCGCTCGCTCTCGCTGACCACCGCTTGGGCTTGGTCACGGACAGGCTCCGATTGTTGTCGGAGCCTTTTGTACAAAGATGGGGCCACAGATGGTGGTCCCCCCATCCCGGTCCTCACGAGGTTGCGCGCCCGCATGCTGACTGCGTAACCTAGAATGTGATGCCCTAAATGTATTAACTAAGGTACCTGGCTGGCGGCAGGAGCGCCCAGCGCACGTTTCTTTTTCTTCTTCTCGTCTTTGTCCTTCTTCAAGATGCCCTTCTTTTCGGATCCGGGCTTTGTTCCACCCGGAGCGCTGCCTTGCTTCATCCCGGGCTTGTTACTGTTCGTCGGTGTGCCGGTTCGCGCGGGCGGCTTCGTCTTGCCAAAAGCAACCACGCCCGGGATCGCGTCAGGTTTGGTCACCACCGCTTGCGCGCCACCCTTCGCACCGGCGGCCTGCACGCGCCGCTTCTGCTTGACCTCCAGGTCGCGCATAATCGTGTCAATGAGCAGCTCGGTCTTCATGCTTTATCCTGAGTAAAAACGTACCCACACCAGAGTCAAGATGGGGAATCGGCTAGACAAATCATCATCGTCATGTAGTGGACACCCGCACCCAGCGCCACAGGTCAAGGATCCCCTCCCCGGGGGGTGGGCGAGGAAGCACTTTCGGCAACCTCAACATACAAAAGCCGAGCGCTACCACGGCAAGTCGCCCCATTAAAAGTGCCAACCAGTCGGGAGCTACCCACCACACCTGATCAGTACAGCCCGGCCAGCAAGCCGAGCGCGACAGCCCAGCATACAGAACGACCCAGGACCCGACCCATTTTACGCCATAAGTTTTTGTTCTCACGGAAGAGACGACGCACCCCTTTGGGCTAAGGGGCGAGACTCTCCCTTAAGCCGCAACCCCACCCGGACAGGGGAGGCTGGACCATTTGTGCCTTACCTGCGGCACGGGCGAAAAAGGCAAGTGCCGCGGACCGGAGATGTCAAACCATTGGCCAGTTGTTTGTCACTGCTGACTGGCGACAACTTAAAGGTTTAGTTTGTGCGTGGCGGTCAGAGTGCAACTCCTTGACTTATTCTGCAACAGAAGCAAAGGGTGGGAGGGGGGGCGGGGGTCTTACGCCAGAGTCGCGACGGAACTTACCTGAACGTAGGGTGCCTGGCAATCCCCTACTAACCGCATACCCCTTGTCGCGCGCCCATAACTTCGCCAGCACCGCGACCACGAACACTTTCCAAGCGTGCCAAACTTGATATTGTTTCAAATCCACAAGTTTTGGCTGTTTTGCATGACAAATTTGGATTCGTAGTGTAGTGCTGTTTGAGCTAGCTCAGCAGCATCACAGATCTAGCCTACCATGCTGATTGGAGCATGACAAATTGCAAAACATGACTAGAGAATGCTTCTCATGGAGCTCCGCATGAGAAACATTTTCAGCATGCAGATTTGCATTACAACTCTGGTGTGGGTACGTTTTTACTCAGGATATGCTTTCCACCGTGTTCATCATGTTCGGCAGCGAATCGAACACGTCCCGGTAGACGAATATCCTGTGCAAAAGTATCGCACTCGTAGTAATCGCAGTCATGCATTACAAATCTTCATCCCAAGGTAAAACAGCATGACAAATTCCATTTGTCACGCTAAGCTAATTTGTCATGCGATTTATACTAGTACGATACTTCTGCAGTTCATAACGGAGTACCGGTCGCCAACTTTTGCGCCCGCCACCTCGATAATGCCGTGCCTGTCATAGATCGATGTGTTGTGGGAAAGGTCGAGCTCGAGTTATTCTCATTGTTAGTTATTCTTGAGAAGAAGAAAAAGAGTGACAGCATTGCTTATGCTTGTTGATTGATGTTGAAGTTGATGAAACAGGATCGATGGAAAATAAAAACGCAAACGCATAACCAAGAGACTTCTTCGGAAGAAGTCTCTTGGTTTCTTGGAACATCATCTTAACGACTAGACTACAAGGTCGTCGATGTAGAAGTACCGTCTCATGTATTGGTCCTTCAGCAGCGCTCGCAGATCGTTGCCGAAGTCTAGGTTGTGCTTGCTCTTCCACGACAACACGTTCAAAAAGTCCTCAAACTGCAGTGCTTTCCGCGCCTGCAGCACGGTCGAGACCCGTTCCGTGAACTGCGCGTAGCTCCGGTCTTCCTTCGCCAGCCCGCTGGCTCGCGGGTAAACCTCGAGAAATTTGTTGTGGTTCTCTAGGTACTCGGTAACGCAGCGCCGAGCCTCGAACCGCTCGGTTACCAGTCCGAATTTGTAGCACAGGTTGACCAAAACTTCGATCGGCAGCTGCGGCTCATTGAAATCCGGCCGGGGTTGACACCTCGGCAACCTTCTCACCGCGTTTTTCGCGGACGACCGCGTGATCAGATCGAACATCTGCGCTTCGTAGTGCAGGCGCTCCGCCTCCTCTTCGGTCAGCTGCTCGTTTTCCAGGGCTACCAGCAGTGCCGCCGGGTCTGCGGCGGTGTATGCCACGTCGTTCATGTCCAGAAAGTGCGTGTTTTGTAAGGTGGACACACACTTCCCCGCCTGCTGACTCAGCCGGAAGCACTGCACTGCGCACTTTGCGTACAGCGACAGCGCGGTGGCGTCGATGCGGCCCTTCTTCTCCTCCGCGCGGACGTTTCTGCGGGTGCGCGGGGTCAGCACCTGGTACAGCTTTCTCCTCGTCTTCTCCACCGGCTCGGTGACGCTGAACTGCACCCCAAAATTAGCGGCGGAGGACTGGCCGGGAAGAAAGTTGAAGACCTCCGGGTTGTTGGGATCGAAGTGCACCTGGTCAGTGTGGCCGCTGGGACTTTTCATGCCCTCGGGCATCTCCAATCTTCCCGTTTCCTTGTTCAGTTGCAGTGGCGAGCCACGCGCCACGCGCGGGACGTCCGGCGGCGCGAAGTCTTCCGGGTCCATGGTCAACAGTTCGTCCGACGCCAGACTGTCCACGTCGCCCTCTTCCGGTGAGGACGGCCGGGGGCTCGGGCTAGCGGAACTCGAGTCGGAGTCGCTGCCTGGGGATTTCAGCAACTTCCCGGTCTTCCGCCTCCCTTGCAGTAGCTGCGCCACGATGCGGGCATCCTGGTAGTGCAAGTAATTCATTGCATTGACGGTCAGCTTGTGCGACGTTGGAACAAAACACCGCGACATGCAAGCGTTCTACCAGTTCTAGATCGAAGCGAACGTGCGGCCGAGAGGTTCGAATCAGAAAGGCAAACGAGAAAAAGTTCACGTAGTAACAGTGAGTACTAACTTACCTTGTGTGCCTGGCAAAGCTGCAAGTAGAGCCTGCGCAGAAGGGTTCGTTCCTCGACGGAAAAGTTCAAATACTCCGCCAGGTTCTTGTCCTCGAACCAGCGCCCGTGCTTGATTTTCTGCAAGTGCCGGGTCGCCAGCTGGTACACCGTGAGCAGCTTCCAGGGCTCCGCGTAGGGTTCGTTCGTTTGCCCCAAATCCGCCATGATGTCAAAGTTCCCCTTGTCCAAAAAGTCCATCAGCTTTTTCAGCAGCCGCTTGTCGTTCAGGAAGTGGCCCTTATTTTGGTTCTTCGCGGACTCGAGGGTGAGAAACTTCTCAAACTCCTTCATGTAGTCCAAAAGTGACCGCTTCTTCTGCTTGTCCTTTTGCCTCCGCTCCATCATCTCGCCAATGCTCTCGGGCTGCTGGGTCTGGGACGTCGGCCCGTTCGACTCTTTCGACTGCGTCTTGTTTCCCGAGGCTGGGGGCGTTGCGGACGGCGTGTTGCTCGTACTCGAAAAGTGGTAGTCGTTGCCCCCGAGAGGACCCGGCTGACCGCCGTTCAAGTTCAACCCGGGGGGCTTAGGGCCGGTCTGGCTGTTCTGACTCGCACCCGGAGCGCCGCCAGCAGCAGCTACATCGCGGGACTTCGTGGTGCTGTCCCCTCCGGAAAGAAACCCGTCGCCTTTCTCTTCTTCTGCGCCATCCAAAAAATCGTGCTCGCCTCTCGTTGTCCGCAGGAGCCCGTCAGCAACATCGGCTGGCGGGTGGTAGAAGTCGGTTCGTGTCGGCGGCGCACTGGCGCGCTGCAACTCGTCTTTTGCTCTCTGCAGCTCGCGGAGGGTGAGAGTCCGCTTCTTCAGAGGGTTCCAGATGGATCTTGACTGCGTCAACACCGCATCGAGATCTTCCTCCAACGTCTCCATTTTGTTTCTGTGTGTTACGGAATTGAATCAGACCTCGTGTGGCAGAAGTCAATTAATGAGGTAAAGTAGCCGCACAGTGCTAGCACCTTCGTCTGACAAGGCACAATCTTTTTCACGCACACAACAGAGAAAAAACACCCTGCAGATGAAGCGAACAAAGTGCACATGCGTCAGGAAATAAGCTCTAATCGCTATCGCTATCGCAAGAACTCTATTGCATGATCACAAATAGCCAACAACCAAACCACAATGACAGAACATCAATAAGGCGATTGAACATGAGCACGACCACGGACCTCCTGCGAAAACGGCATAGATATGGAGAGTGAGAGACGATCATGATCATGAAGATAGACATACCTCACGATATTAAAAATTCAGTGCAGCTGCACCGACTGATCAAGCTTTGTCACGAAATACAACGACAACGACACGCATAAAGCGATTCCAACGTGCATTTCCTGTTTCTCTTTATGGATTTATATTTTTTGCATGTAAAGTTTCAACGAACAGCAACACGAATCATAAATTTACTTCAACATTGCATGCCTCGATCATCTGCAAACGCGACCGCGAGCGACTATTCATAGAGACATAGACGAATATCCCGACGAAGATCCATGGTTCACGGGAAGCCGCTTTCCCACGAAAAAGGGACGCTTGCAATTCACAAACGGAACATGATGCCACCAGTCGGCTTTCAAAATAATGCAGCTTGGCAACCAGAAAGACGACTGCGAACGTGCCTCGAAGAGTTTTTTTTCAAACAATCACGACCCGCGTACAGGATAATCACAATCAGTTTCTTCAGCTTCAGATGAGACGAAAGCGTTTTAATCAACAACATTTTCAAAACACTCAGTATGTTTTTGTTGGCACGCGTTTTCGTCCTACTATGCACGGTTTGACACATGATACTTCATGCGCGCTAGGGGCCTTGGGGAAGGCGAAGTCGAGCTTTCGCAAAAAACATAAACGATGAAACATACTTACAAGGAAAAAACAATTGCAATTCAAAGAAGAACTATAGGCACATGCGTCAGCGGCAGCCGCATTTCGTAGCTCAGTACTCAAAAAAGGCACGGCATGTGTCTCGTGGCGTTGTAGACACGGCGCGGCTGCGACGGTCGCATTTTCCTTAGGCAGTACACCGTAAGCAATTACACCCAGAGGGCTGGCGTGGAAGGGGTTACCGCACTTGATCGCCCTCTGCATCTACGTCCATTGGCGCGCCTGCACCCTCTGCCCCACTACTGCTGCTGCTCATGCTCCGCTTTCTCTTGCCGATGCCACACTGCCGGGACGTTTTTCCAGCTGTACTTTTGTCGTTATCTTCCTGGCCGGATGGAGGAACTGTCTCACCAGCCATCAGCAGTTGTTCGCCTGCCGGGCATTGTTTCTCGTTTTTTGTTTGCGACTTAGCCCCGCCAGTAGCTGCCGGACCAGAAACTTCCTCCGAGTAGAGCAGGTTCCTCAACGTCTTAAAAAACTCATGGCAAAGCAAGGCGTCGGGCGTAATTCGCGTCTCTTTGTCCAGATCGAAGATCTTTAGCAGCATGTCGCAATACTCTACTTGAAGCTTCGCCCGAAGCTGTTCCCGCAGAGTTTGAGTTTTCTTCTGCTCTGATGCTTTCTCGAAACTTTGACTTTCTTCTACTTGCTGCTGCAGCAAAATAAGGTCGTCCGCTACGGGCGCTGCGAAAGGCCCGCCAGTTCCGCTTCCGCTGAGCACCGCGGGTGTTGCTGACACAGCGGCGTCGCTGGAAGCAGGTGCAAAGCTTCTGGGCTCTCGCTCAGCCGGGGTGGGGGTGGGGCCTGCTACTGTTGTCGAAAACGTGTCGACGGACCGCGCCACGGTATTGCTGGCTAGTACGTCGGCCCCAAGGACCGAGACGCTCCCGGAGACATCACAAATCTTCTCACTAATACGAGAACGAGTCGTGCCTGTTTGCTTGCATTCGGAGCGCGCTCGGCTCCATGCATCGTAGAACCTCGCAGGTAGGGAGTCCAAGTAATTATCCAACGGGGCAAGGGTCGGGTAAACATAGACCCCGACCGAAGCAGGGGAAAAACTGAAGAACCTACAAAGCTCCTTGTGTTCATCCGTCACGAATGTGCGCTCAAAAACCCGCCGGCGTGTTTCCGAGTCCAACAATGGGCGCACGATCGAAGATGTAACGGCAAGCTGCCGGCGCAGCGCCGGCAGCTGCTCTCGGGCCCTTTTGAGGTGGAAGAAGTTTTTCTGTGGCTTGGGGAAAATATCCACTTGTTTGACAGGCTGCGTACCCAGGGAAAGGTCACGCTTTTCGACAACCTTATTGAACGCGTGGAGATCTTGCTGCCCTTTCTCTGGCGGCGCATCCAACAACTGGAAATACTTCTCAGCAAACCGCTTCATCTGCCCCCTATCCACCAGTCTGCGCGGGCACGGCCCGGTGACCGCAAGTCGGGTCTCCAGATCCAGTCGCCTTTTGTGGTCCTTGTATTGATCCGTGTTGGGGATAGCGAGTGTTCTTTTGGGCGGTTCGAAAATGCTTTCGCCAACACACAGCCCGTGCATCGTGACCCCAAAAGACCACATGTCGATGGCGGGCGTCAGTGGCCAATCACCCAGGAAAACCTCCGGCGCCCGATATGAGGTGGGCTGATACTGATCACCCTTGGGACAGTTGTCAAGCGGCGCTGTCTCCAGTTCGCCAAAATCACCGATCTTCACCGAGCACGCTAGCAAATACGGCTCGAGATCGTAGTGGTCCACGGTGTCGAAGCCATAGAAGAATGGGTCTCTCTTCCGCGCGTTTGCTTCTTCTTCGCGCAACTCTGCATCGTTCGCACTCTCTTGCCGCCCTGTGCCAGCATGCAACTCTGGGTGGTCGGATGACGGGTACTTGTGCCAGTTTTCGTGGTGGTCCAATCTGATCTTCTGCCCCTTCACAAACACCAGCGGCCGCGGAAAATCGTTTGGGTCGAAATAGTTACAGCTTGGACGCCCATTAGATATAGGGGCGGTGAATTTCTAGTGATTTTAGAAGGGGAGTAGAATCGTGGGGCTGGCGTTTCGGGGGGTTATGGTTCGCGAGGCAAGGGCTAGCACAAATAGAGGTAGCGGCGGCATTGTGCTCGTCGCCAAGGCTCCCCCACATTGAAGGCAATCCCCCTCGCAACCTTGCCCAACCTAGCACACTGCTCCGCGTCTTTTTTCGCGAAGTAGACCTTTTGGCTTCTTCGTGATCTTCTCCATTCCTTGTTAACCCTTCAACTTCCGTGTTCAAATTTTGGGCAACGAAAATCGCAAAGAAAAGGCACTGCCATCGGGAAAAGCTTCCATTTAAACATCATTCCCCATGGTATGATGAGGATGGTTTTTTTCCTAAAAATCATCGATGCGGAGTGCCGTGCTGTTTGGCGCCAAAAAGCGGCTTAAAAGTACCCCGTTTACCGATGGCATGCTGCGATCGGTGAATTTAGTGGTGAATTTAGAAACGGCAGGCCGGTGAATTTAGTAAATTTCGGCAATTTCCTAAATTCACCCCGAGCTGATTCTGGATTCCAGACCATCATCAAACCGGTACCCATTTTGCCTTCGTTTCTAAATTCACCGGAGCCGAAAAACCAAATCCAAAACGATCGTCCCACATTTGCTTCAAAAAATGCGAAGCCTTTGGCGCATGCACGCACAAATACGAAAGCAACAAAATGCAAGCACGCCACAAGGTCGCGCAAGACATTAAATTGTTTTGATTTACCGAAGCAGAGAGCATCTGGCAGACCCAGACGCCCGAGCCCGGCAAACCATCCGCAGCACCCACAAAACGAAAAGCAACGACGCGAAGCTACTTCATGACTCATCAGCCTAGGGCGTTGACAATGCAGCTGGACATTGCGTCGCCCCATCCCGCTTCTTTTTTGCTTGACAAATTCTGCCACAACCGGAAGCCTGTTGGAACTTATGTCGCTCCGGCTTTTCCGTCGGGTGGATGTCGATATTTCCGGGAAGAAATATCCGCAGAACCACTTGACTTGCCAAATTCTTGCAGACCGCTAAAATCACTTGAAATTCACCGCGCAGAAATCTAACGGCCGTCCAAGCTGTAACGAAATAGACAAATGTGTTCGCCTCCTTGAGGTCCGTGTGAATGAAGTTATTGTGCTTCAGCCAGCGCATCCCCTGTAACATCTGCAAACAAAATCGGTAGGCGATGTGAATGGGGAGGCCGATTTTTCTGTCGCCGTTTGCGTTTATGTCCAGTATATTGGGGCTCATATCACGATCAAAGGGGCCGAGGGAAGAGAAGTAGTCTTCTTTTTCGTGCTTACGATTGATTTTCACCCCGGAGTCAAGGCCGCCCCTGCTCTCAAGTGCCTGCAGCTGCACCGTCCGCGAATACCTGGCCTGCAAATGTTCCAGATCGCCGTGCGCAAGTTCAAACACCTGCACATGGTGTGTGCTGTAAGCGAACGCCTCGAACCCGTGGCCCATCAACATCGGCATGGCCAGTCTGTTGGAGTCCGGTCCCATGTTCCGTAGCCGTGATAGCACCAGCGCCAGACTTCGATGGGGCGTGGACCCGGTCTCCTCGCGTTCCATGCGCTTTTGGATTGCCTTCACCTCACTGCTTTTCCAAGCTGGCAAGCCTTCTTGCTCCTCATGAGCACGTCGGGCGATCCCTTCGAGGTGCTGGCGCTCTTTCTCTTCGTGCTGCATTATTATGCTGTTCGCCTGTCTGCAGGATTCCCTTCCAGCTCCCAAGCTGAACTTCATTGCCACCAGGCCCCACCCTCCTGGTGGGGGCTTCTGCAAATTGTCTCCCATCGCTGTCGGCAGCTCCCGGCGCCAGGCTTTGTACACAGTCCCATACTGTCCGCGCCCGAGGTAGCCGCAACCGTGAACACTGACGCCGGGGCCCTTTTTGTCCGCGCTGGTGAAGCCCGGGTGTGAAGCGATGCAATACTCTATTGTCCTTCCTTCCGTTGCGGGCGTCACTCCATGCGCCGGCCCAAGCGAGACATGATCCACGCTCTGCGTGCGCAGTGGGGGCCCATCCTGTTCCCCCAGGGAACAGGCGAATTGCGTGCGGAACGATTTGCCAGCGGCACCTTGAAAATGGGCGCCAAAATTCCCCAAGCGCTGCGCCATCTGCCTGCTGACCTCTTTTTCTTCGCGCCACATGAGGGGGGCGAGCCGCTCTTTTGCCTTTCTCATGTTCTCTGGCTGCTCCACCTCCGCCCACTTTTTCCTGTGATAGTTCGAATAGTTTTCAACTTTCCCATCAAAGTGAAGCAGTCAAGAGCGCCCCGGCACAAAATCCAGCAAAGAAATAAGACCAGGGCGGCTCCATTCATCAGCAAAAAAAACCAAAGAAACTGGCCCGGGGCAGATCTATCAAAGCAATGACACAGCGAAAAGCGAGCAAAGGCCTCAACGTCATAATTACTGCTTAACTGCAGGTAGCGCCTTTATTTTTATACCTCAGACACAGAAGTACGGCGCGCTGCACTGCTGCTGGGTCGGCCGGCTTCAAGGGTGCCGGGGCGCGCGGCCCAGCGCTGGGGCCCGCTGAGGTATAGGGGTGCGGGCGGGCACTTAATACTCTTGCAGGCCCAGCGGAGCCCGCTTGGCTAGCCCCGGCGGGCGCCGATAGGGCCTCCGCCGGCGGCCTGGAAGCCCGCGTCGCCGGGCCCAGCGCGGGGCGGTAGCCGTCTCTGCCGAAGCCCGCTGCCGCGCCCCCCTTGTGGCCAGCACCGTCGTCCCCCCCCTGGTCCCACCGTTCGACCGGGTCATCAAGGTCGCTATCAATTCCGCGCCCGCGCTTTTGCTTCTTCGGGGCCGGCTGGGCGGCTCCAGTCTCGCCGGTTTTTCGCTTCACCTTCGCGTCGTCTGGCCGCTGCAAATCCTCCGGAATCTTGGCGCGTGGCTCTTTCAACACTAGGACTTGGTACACCAGCTGCCGCACGTTGTCGATGTCCTTCTCGCCCTGCTTCCACTCCCACCGCCCCTTGCCAAAGCCAAATCCGTCAGCGTCAGCCCGTTGCGGAATAATGTTCTGCCACTCATCTTCCCGGCAATACTCCCGCAACTTGGAACAGAGCTGCTGGCATTCTTTCGAGGTCTGAGGCGGGTTGTCGCCAAAGGCTTGCGGCTTCCCGACGACGTACTCGAAAATAATGTCCGCCAAGCTAATTCGGCTGCGCTTCTCATTTCTGGCCTTCGTTTTTGCATCCGCGCAAGACACCGCCTCCCTAACCTGGGCCTCGGTCGGCATTGTGGACGTTCCGGCCGCCGGTTGAATCGGTCTCCGCATCCGCGCGGGTGCGCCCGGCCCTGCATCTTTGGACGGCGACGCCGCTGCACCAGAAGACATTTCGCCGGTCTTGCATGCCGCCGGGCTTCTCGGCGTACAAACAATCGCGCCGGGCCCCCGCCTCCCCGCCCCTGCCAATACAGCCGGCCGCGCTGCCTCGCCGCGCCGCTAACGGTGGCGCCGCTCGTGGTCGAGCGCCACTGGAGGAAGCACCTTGCGCCTTGCGGGGACTGACACGCGCGACGCCGGCCAATGATGCGCGCCGCCGAGCGACCGGCCAAACTCGGTCGTGAAGCAAGTTAAAGGCGACAAGAAAAGCGCCACTCCGGCCGACAACAGAAGCGGAAAACAGCGACGGCGGCAACCTGGCTGCGGAGTCCTAAACGCCCTCGTCCCTGGGCGAAGTTGGCTCGACTGTCATGGGGTGGCTCTGCGCACGGGCCTTGACGCGCGCGCTCATGTTTCTGCGTGTTAATATTTACTGTGCGGCCGGCCACAGTCAAAGAAAAAAGCCACAAGCGCCACGGGCTCAGTTCGTCCGTGCGCCTCCTTGCTTGGTGTGGCCTTTGAAAAACAATGCGAGCGCAAGCGTCAGTCTTTCTCTTTAATAGTGTTGAGGGAAATAAAACAAAGCAACCAATATCAGGCGGGCCAGGAGCTGTCTCCGTGCTGCGTGCTTTCTCTGGGCCTAAAAAAAAAAGTAAAAGAGCGTGGCCGTTCACAATTTGTTTCTTACAGTTAGAGCCTGACGAGGTTCAGGGGCCGCGCGGGCTCTAAATATGTCCTGGGTTGCTAAATGTCGGGAACTGTGGGGGGTTTGGTACAGGTTTCAGGGCAATTGCGGGCATCGGCCTCGCCACATTCGCGCTTGCCCGATCTAAAAAAAACAAAAAAACGGCTGGCGCGGTCTAAAATCAGAGCACAGAAGGGGCGCTCGAAATTGCTCAAGGGGAAGCGGGTCGGCTTTTATATGTTCAGCACGATCAGGAGTGGCGGGAATTTCTGGGGCGTCATTTTGTTCATGCAAATCATCTCGGTGGTGCCGTGGTTCGTTTAGATTCAGAATCCTACTTCTCTCGCTTTTCGATCTACGATTTTTGTACGCTTTGAAACCCCGAACGATTTGAGAGCCTGACTCGAGTCGAGACCGAGGAGCCTGATACGGTGACCGATGTCAACAGAACGCAAGGCGTTCCAGCCGGGGCATTTCCAGCTGGAAATACTAAAACTCCGGAGGTCCTCCAGATGCGTCTCTCCTGGGTGCACTTTGGGCATTTCCTACGGCGCTCTACTCGATTTTCTGGTCGCTGTTCATGATGCGGGCAGCTAGCAGCTCGACCGATGATTTTTGTACGCTTTGAAAGCCCGAACGGTTTGGGGGCCTGACTGTAGACCGAGGGGCCTGGTATGGTGGCCGATGTCTGGCTGTCAACATGGCGCAAGGCTTTCCCGCTGGGAACGTTTCCAGCTGGAAATGCAAAAGCCGCGAAGGCTTTCGGGATACGTCTCCCCTGGGTGCAGTTTGGGCCTCTCCCACGGCACTCGCCCCGATTTTCTGGTCGCTGCCCGCCATGTTGGCGGGCAGCTTTTCTCCCGATCTGCGATTTTTGTACGCTTCGAAAGCCTGCCCGACCGATTTGACGGCCGGGCCTTAGACCGAGGAAACTGGTATGGTGGCCGATGTGCGTTAACATGCCGCAAGGTTTCCCAGCGAGCTGCAAATCTTTCCGGCCGGAAATGCAAAACCTCCGGAGGTTCTCCAGAAACGTGTCCCCTGGGTGCAGCTTGGGCATTTGCCCCGGCGCTCTGTTCGCTTTTCTGGTCGCTGTTCGCCGATGCTGGCGGGCGACTTCCATTTTTCCTGGGTATACTGAAGACAGAAGCCCAGACCGACAAAACGCGTGGTAGCGCGGGCGACGCTGCAGGGGGTGCGTGCGTATTTTACGCAGCACCGACCACCACGCACCAGAGTGGGGATTCTGGCGAAGGCAGCGAAGGGGCGCGCAAGTCGAAAGCTCGGGCCTAGCGGCTCTACCCTAGCAGTTCTCTTGAAATACTTATGCCATTTTATTAATTTGGCTCGCATGTTGCAAGCATGCGCCTGTTGTAGACGAGTTGGGCGAAGATGCCGGAGCGCCAGGTGCTGCACATCAAAAGAGATTGACAGATGCAACAGCACCGACACGACAGGGTCGAGGACAATGCTGACCGACAAAGACACACACAACACATCACATAAACGACATTGACAACTGCCAAAGACATACCATGACGGCGTGAGAAACGGCGACTTCGTACAAACTGCACTTTTTTTGACCACCTGCGACCGAGTCAGATTCGCGTTACGACGGAGGCATTCGCCACAGGAACATTCCACCTTTGCTCGAGACTAATACACACGTATCAAAGCCGTTGTTTCTTTTACAGAAGCCAGAAGCTGCCGCCTCTCCTAGGGAAATACGAATCAACGTCATCCTGTATCAACACGCATTGGAAAAGAAAATTATCTTGGTTTTCGGACATTTTATATTTGCATATTCAATAGCGTTTCTTTTACACTGGCGCGCGAGGGCTACACTTACTTTGACTGTCATCGAAGTCGTGCAGCTCGTCCTCCTTATCCCCCGCGATGGACACTTGCCGCCAGTGAAAATCGTATTTGTCCGGCAGCCCTAAATGCGGCCACCCCGGGAAGGCACTTCCCTGGCTCCAGGCAAACACCGGCTGCTTGACGTGGCTCGGGCCGGAGATCACCTGCATCTGCATTTTTTGTACCAAGCAGTAGTTGACGGCCTTGGCGTCAATCGCACCATTTGGGTTGAGCAAACCCGGATCCAGGTCCAGCCGCGCGGCGATCGCGTGCCCGGGGTGCAGCGACCAGGTGGCCGCCCCCTGCCCCAAAAACTTCTCGTTCGGGTAGTTGTTTTCGCGCAGCAGCATGCGCATGTCGCGGAGCGTCTCCACCTGCGTGACCCAGTTGGCGAAAATCTGCGCCCGCGGGTTGCGGTCCGCGGAGTACAGAATCCCGTAGGAATTTTCCGCGTCCTGGTGGCCCAGGCGCTGGCGGATCTCCGGGAAAATCGGGCGGTTGAACGACGCAAAGTACTGGCCCTGCGACGCGGAACTGCTGCTGGCGGTCCCGTCCGCCACCTCCCCGGCGTCCATCAGGCGGGAGGACAGATCCTTCTTCTCGCTGAGCCCCGGCATGGTTTCCACCACCCACAGCAGGTTCGTGGGCACGTCCGCCTTGGGCACGAAGCGGTTGTAGTCCACGGCGAACCACTGCGCGTTCTTCAGCCCGTTGTTGTTTTCCGTGAGCAGCGCCGCCCAGTGCCCCGCGGTCCGCGCCATGCGGTTGGCGGCCATGACGTGGAAAAAGCTGGGCAGCTTGGGCCCCTCGGGGATGCGGTCGTACACCTCGGCGTTCAGCACCTCCAGGCTGGTGTCCCCGAGCACGATCCCGGCCGACAGCAGGTAAAATTCGTCGGTGGAGGAGACGCACCCCGGGTAGGAGCTCATGCCCACGACGGACGAGGCCGTCCACCGGTCCAAGGGGAAGTCGTAGTACTTGAACACGCGGGTCATCTTCGCGTAGTCGTCCCACGTGGTGTTATCAAATGCAAAAGTGTCTGGGTCTGGAACAAAGCAACTTGCCATGCTAAATCTGATTCATGTATACGATCTGTGTTGCATGATTGCCAAAAGCGGTCCACTTTTGACCTAATCGCGAGGCAGTTTCTCACGCAGGATAGGCATGATAGAACTCTCATAGAATCTGTCATGGTATGTCCTACATGCTAGACCTCATGGGTCATGGAAAACCTGCATGACAAGGCTGGCACTCTTCCAGACCCAGACATATTTGCAGCTGATAGGTGTGTCCGACCAACAGATCCTTGTTGTCCGGGGTAATGCGCACCAGCGCGCTGCAGTGCCCGGTGCGGGCCAGTTTGCGCTCCCAGAACTTGTCGGCAAGGGCGGCGGTCGAGGCGGCGTCTTTAGTTGACGATGTAGTAGTTGTTGACCTGGTAGAGGGAGCAGAAGATGATGAGAGGAACGAACTTTCCTCAACATCGTGCACTAGCGGCGAAAAACCGGCGGAACTCTTCGCAGCCCGCTCCCGTTCATGTTCCGCAATAGCTGCGAGAAAAGGAAACTCCTTGGCGTCGTATTGCTGCACGCTTCTTGTACTACTGCTCCTTGAGGCGCTAGATTCATCAGATTGTTGCCGCTCCTTCGAGGATGTCGCGAGAAATGCCCGTTTTTGATTCGCGTCGCGCATCTCCACCGCATCCCCCGTCGCCTTCTCCTGCAAGAAGACCGCAGTCGCGGCTTGAAAGCGCCTCCGGGCGATGGCACGATTCGGACTGTAGGCCTCTAGCAGCTCGCCCAGCTCGCCGTGGCTATTGAGCAGCAACAGTTCCGCCATGGACAGTTCCTTGACGCCGTGGGCCGCCGCCGCCAGGTTGTACCCGTCCCGCAAGCCCCGAACCTGCGCGTAGACGTAGCGGACCTGCTTCCAGTAGGGGTCCGGACTGGGCGGCGCGTCCTTCCCCGGCAGGAAGTTCGTCTTCTTCTGCACGAACAGGTTCGCGTCCTGCAGCATGTTCATCACGTTCTTCAGCGCCTTCCCGCCGTCCTCCGTGCGGATGATGGTCCGCAGCGCGTTGCTGAAGAACTGCGAGATCCGCACGGCGGACAGCAGTCCCTCCAGCACCCCGGCCGCGTACATCTTCAGGTCTGCGGGGATTCCGCCGTCCGTGGAGGTCTTTACCCGTAGTTCGGTCCACCCGGTTTTCTCCAGGGAATCCTTGAAGCTTGCGTGCGCCCAGGGGGCGACGTCGTGCGCCTCGCCGGCCTGCACCTGCAGCTGCTGTGTCGTCGGGTTGAAAAACGCCGAGGCCTCCTCGGGCGGCTTCTTCGGGTCGACATCCCCGAGATCGATCGCGAATCGGGACTGCGCGCGGACAAAGTGGGGAAGTTGAAGAACCGGAAAGATGAATGGTGAGCCGAGGGCCAGGGTGGCGAAGAGCGTCGAGCGCGATCGCTGCATTGCTCCTGGCCGTGGCCGGAATCTTTGCTGGTGTGCCATCTTTGTGGTTCTAGGTGCAGCCTTCATTTTGCGAAGCAGCGTGCTTGATGCACAGGAGCGCGGGGACTCCCTCCGCAGGGGAGGAATATCCTCATGCGTCCTCTTCGAGCGCTTCAATTGAAGTCGCTCCTCGCATGCAGATAGCTCGGGCTTTGTTGTCTTTGGTTCATGTACTTAGTTTAAGTTTTCATGAAAAGCGTCGATTCTTTCAGGTGGCTGAGTCTACTCGTAAGATTTGCTCTTAGAGTGGCCTGGAGTTGTAGTCTTGTTCACTCTGCATATCCGCTGGAATTCCTCAAGAGGCAGGCGCTCTTCTCTCCTTACTGTCGTGTGTGGCCACGGTGGAACAGCCCAAGGATTCGCGGAAAATTCCATCGCACGAGGGAACCCATGGAAGACGGACATCTTCGTCACTTGTTTGCTTTCACTTCAATCTCGTACTATGTCGTTGTGCAAGAACTCTAGAGCGAGATATTCTTTCTGTTCTTTATGATAGCATTCGTGAGAGCAGGAGCCACGTGCTAGCTCTACTTTACCTTCGTCCACATAACAGTCTTTCTTCACAAGTCTCCTGCGTTCCCGCCAGCCTGCGGGTCTTTGGTCCCACTGAGAAAGCCCTTTTCCTCTGTTTGGTACACCTTCGTGCGTTTGAGCCAGCAGGTTTTCTGGGAGTGCGACCAGACCCAGTAGCGGCAGTCGGGATTCTGCCGGCAAGCGTCGCAGCAGGTCTGCGGCGCGTCGGTCTGTTCCAGCACGGCATCGTCCTCGCCGGCGAACATTACATGCTCCTCCGCATAACAAGTCGGCTCCAGCCCTGCCAGCAGGTTCTCCGGATACCGGCGAAGAACAGTTAGGGTGTTTTTCAGCCAACCTGATTAGCAGGGTGTTGTGTGACTTTTCTCACTCTTGCAACAAACAAAAGACTATCATGATAGCGGTGGCAACAAACTCATACCCTAACCCCTGCTACAAAGTCGTAGAAGATCTTCAGGCTATGTCTTTATCGCATTTTTACCAACTTGACTGTGCGCCCGTAAGAGCTGCGTAGCCTCCTGATCCACGGAGAAGAGTGGCAAGAACTTTTGCAGGACCTGCCGCACGTCCTGCTCCGGGAGCGGGTTGGTGTGTCCGATGTTGGGCACCTGTGGGGGCGCCCAACTGAGCACAATTCCGTCGCCAGCAAAACCGCCGACATTCTGGAAGAAGATAGGGTGCAACTCCGCCGGGATGTGCTCGCAGATTTCCAGAAGGAGAACCCAGTTGTGCTTCAGCGGACGGCGGATGGAGGTAACCTGGCAAATAAAACAGTTGCATTCAGTTTCGACGCAGTGTGTGCGTCATTACGATTTTTAACACGTATAACTGCATAAAATGTGGCCTCCCTTCTCTCGTGTACAACGCGAAGAAATAATCTTGAGAGCAACGCAAAGCTGCGGCAATTCGTACCAAGTTCAAGTGCTTGACTTTCTTTTTCGTGAGCAACTCGATGTCTGCGCTGCCGTCGAAGGAAAACGCGTCCACCAACCCGGTATCGTTCAGCCAGCGTGCGTACTCTCCCGTCCCGGCGCCGAGGTCCGCCACCGTGGAACCAACGGGAAAGACGCCGCTCCGCAGAGCCGCCCGGAGCATGCCTGTATCCACAAACCATTCGTTGAAGGTCGCACGACGGAGCATCTCAAGGGTGGTGAACCTGGAGCAGTAGCATGTATAAAAAATTCCGCAGCCAAGGACACGATAATCATTTTCAATCAACAACCATTCATGATCATGGCTATTGCCGACCTAGAGCATTGTAAAGCAACGATCAGAAGGCCACATGACAGTGTGCAATTTCCCTTATCTCACCGTCCATCAGTCTCGTGCGAGTAGAAGTGCGCTTCTTCGGGGAGAGGTGGCCGCCAGGTTTCCAACACTGACTTGAAGGTTTTCAAGTCGCTATCCAAAAGCTTCGTGACCCTCGTCGTCCAGTTCTCAACAACCTCCGGGAAGGTCGCGGCGCGCTTGGTGCACTTTTCTGTCATGCAGTAACCTTCCTTGTCCACACCTTGGTAGGCCAGCCACACGATGCGAAACTGCTCCGACACTAGGGTTTTGAACCTGACAAGAAATTGAAGCAGAATCTTTTTCCAAACGCAAACGAGGTGTGTTTCGCTGCTGTGTTTATGCATGTCAAATTCGTCCATCCTCGTCACATAATTGACGTCCAAAAAATGCCAGCCTCCCAATACCAGGCCAGTTCTTACCTGCGCAAGTTGACGACGAAGAGCAAGCGCACTTGCTCGGAGAAGCATTCGTCTCGCTGCGAAATGATCGCGCCCACAATGTGTGCGTGGGCGGTGACAAACATGCCCACTCGATTGACGTACATCACTACTGGGTAGCCCGATTCGGGATCGGAGGCATCCTGAAAAAGGTCGTTGGCGGCGTTTCGATCAACATGCGGTTGTCTTTCATCTCAACATTGTAGTTCTTGCTGCAATTCTTGCGATCTCATATTTTTAGTTTGTCCTCAGCGTAAGCTCTTCAAACGAATGCTTCAAAAAATTACCCGCTTCAGCAGCTCCTTTTCGTGAAGGATTTGTTTCTTCGTGCTGCCGCGCGTGAGGTAAAGAAATTCCATGAGACGGGTGCAGTCGATACTGTTTGTGTCGATCATGGCATTGGCGCTTGCGGACGGATCTGGCTTCGAACAGTAGTCCGAATCGAAGATGGAGAAGTCGATCAAGCCATAGGTGCTCGCCTGCGCCAGCAACTTGCAGTAGTTATCTCGCGATGCAGCGGATTCGGCGGGTCGGTTCTGGTGCTGATATGGGCCATCATCAAAGTGCAGCCCCGTGAAAGACAGTGGGTTCCTCGGTCCTACGCTCCTACTCGTCTCTGTTTTACCTATTGCTTCTGATGGTTCAAACTCTGTTGCAGAAGAGTCGTCGTCGCCCGCGTCCACACTCGCAAGTGGCGTCAGGGATATTTGTCGTCCCTTCGCCGCAGCAGCGACTTCACCGTCGTTCCCCAATACCGGTAGCGGCTTCGTTCGGATTACGCTTCTCGCGGAACCCGCTTCCTCGGCTGCCTGGCCGAGCTGCGGATGATCCCCATCACGCGATTCCAGAGGTGGCACATGGTCCGGAGGTGGTTGGGATTCTGGTCTTCGCAGGGAAAAATGGGCCCAGGAAAAGTCGACCAGGCCTTCCTCAAGGGAGAGTTTCGACAAATTCCAACTCTGCAACCGCTCGGCGTCAAACAGTAGATACGTCAGCGGAAGCAAAACGAACGCGTAGACAAACCAGTGACGCGACGCAGTAGAGCTCATCTTTGTCGTCGGCTATAGTGCTTATTGATACGCTGATGCACAAGGTCCACTCGCAGCGTCGAGCACTGGGACGATTGCGTCAGCCTGGGCCGGCGTTGCAGGTTCTGCAACACAGTTGAAAACGAAACCTTTCACCCAAAGGAAGCAGGGACAAAACGCAAAACAGAAGGCCGATAGAAGTTCACTTTTCCTGCCGCTTGCTTCGTCGTTCTACCAACGGAAAAGGTCTTTAGTCACCAAAAAACTGACAGCAGGATCTTTCTTTTCCGTCGGCGAGCTACATCGAAAAACAAAAGAGATCACCTTGATTTTTGAAACACCGTGCGCGGTACGCCTGATCTCTTTTATTGCCGATGAAAATGACGATGAACATGAAGATGATCTGAAAGTGAAGTGAAATTAACTCAGACGCAGACAAACGACCCACAGGAAACGTGAAGCACCAAAGAAAAACGATGCACAATGAATTCTGCAAGAGATGAACGAGTGAGAGCTTAAACAACATTTGTGGTTGTAGGAGGACGGCTGAAAGGAGTCGCGTGCAAAACATGGAGATGACGGTGGTTTGAGTCTGCACAACTTACTTCACAGCGAGTCACTACTCGTTGGTCAGTTTTCGTATACAATGAATGAGAATCACACCCAGAAAAAGCGTATTTCATTGTAGCAGCACAGGTCAAAGCAACATCTGCGTCAGTATTTTTCACATCGGCTTTCCCGCGTGTGCGCCATCCCTTTCTGATCTACTTACGTGCTTTTCTTGATTTTTCGCACCACGGCACCAGAGAGGAAGCAAAACACACAACCGCCAAGCAGCATATAGGCGTAGCCCGTGTAGGGGTAGACCCGCACATCCCCAATAGTTTCGCCACCGGAGAGTTCCAGCGCGGACCTGGAGGTAGATTGGAATTTTTTTGCATGCAGTAACTGAAACATCACAACTGCCGTTTTCGTTTTCGTTCGACGTTGTCTTTTGCTCAATACCCTGTCTCTTCTGCAAAACACAAAGAAAGCCCATTTGAGGATCCATTTTTCAAAAGTGACTGCCTTAGGTCGGTCACGGTGAAAATTTCCGGCACTTTTTTTTGAAAAAAAACGCCTTCCCGGGTACGGCTTTTGGCAAGCAACAGCCCGAGGAGGCGCAAAGCGCCTGTGATTTAACCAGCGCGCTGCCATTCCAAAAAAGTGCCCGCGCTAGCCCGGTCACGGAGAAAATTCCCGGCTGCTTTTTTTGAAAAAAAACGCCTTCGCGGGTACGGCTTTTGGCAAGAAACAGCTCGGGGAAGCGCAAAGCGCCTGTGATTTCACCAGCGCGCTGCCATTCCAAAAAAGTGCCCGCGTTAGCCCGGTCACGGAGAAAATTTCCGGCTGCTTTTTTTGAAAAAAAACGCCTTCCCGGGTATGGCTTTTGGCAAGAAACAGCTCGGGGAAGCGCAAAGCGCCTGTGATTTTACCAGCGCGCCGCCATTCCAAAAAAGTGCCCGCGTTAGCCCGGTCACGGAGAAAATTCCCGGCTGCTTTTTTTGAAAAAAAACGCCTTCCCGGGTAGGGCTTCTGGCAAGAAACAGCTCGGGGAAGCGCAAAGCGCCTGTGATTTCACCAGCGCGCCGCCATTCCAAAAAAGTGCCCGCGTCAGCCCGGTCACGGAGAAAATTTCCGGCTGCTTTTTTTGAAAAAAAACGCCTTCCCGGGTAGGGCTTTTGGCACGAAACAGCTCGGGGAAGCGCAAAGCGCCTGTGATTTCACCAGCGCGCTGCCATTCCAAAAAAGTGCCCGCGTTAGCCCGGTCACGGAGAAAGTCTCCGGCTGCTTTTTTTGCAAAGATGTGTCATTTTCGGTAAGGCCTTCGGCGAGCATTAGCTCGGGGAAACGCAGGGCGCTTGTGATTTCACCACCGCGCCGCGATTCCCAAAAAGTGCCCGCGCTAGCCCGGTCACGGTGAAAATTTCCGGCGATCGATAGATCACTTTGCGCAGCACAACATCAGCGACTTACCCCCACAATAGCGGCCCGATCGCGAGACCCAGAAAGGCGGACACGCCCCAGATGCCGAGCGATTGCGCCGAGGTCTCCGGATCGGGCAGGCAGTCCAAAGCAAGCGCGAGGTCGACGGCTAGGTAGGCCCCGTTGCCCACACCGTAAACCGCCATGCAGCCGTAGAGTATCATATTTAAAAACGTCCCCACACCAGAGTCAAGATGGGGATTTTGCAACACAAACCTTGAAGTTTTGGGGGTCACGCATGACAAGTTGCATGCTGTACTGTAGTGCAGCTTAGCAAGGGAAGCCGCATAACAAATCCATCTCCTCATCCTGTTTGCAACATTACAAGTTCCAAAACACGATGGGAAATGCCTCTCATGGGGATGTGCTCCTGTGCTTGCAAATCTGCATTACAACTCTGGTGTGGGGACGTTTTCACTCAGGATATAGAGAAACATCAGCTCCATCCCCTGGGTCGTGCGACTGTTCCCGGGGAGGTTAAACACGCCCCACTCCGGGCTGTCCTCCACGTCATCCTGCACGGTCGTGCTGACCGTAGTTGTTTCCGGGTCCGTTGGTGCGGTGTTGGTATTGCTGCTGTCCACGCTTGCCTCGGCCTGATGCAGTTTTTTTATGATTTCGAGTGATTTAACAAGTCCTCAGCCTCATCCTCGAGTTTGCAATAAACAGTGCTCGTCTGATGCGAGAAAAGCGTACGAGCGAAGTACGTATCTCACGTAGGTACTTTTATTTTATCCAGAAGATTGAGATTTCTGGAAATTCGATGATCTCCAAATTCGCAGCATTTTGTTATTCACCAAACCTGAAAGACTCCACTATACCAATGCAGCGGCGGCGGCGCCGCTAGCGGCAGGCAAGGTGTTGCGGTAGGACGTTGGTGCCATATTCAGCGCTGAAAACTCGGACTCTTCCTGCGCTTCCTCTGGACTGCTTTCCTTATCACGGGTTTCTTTTTCAGTTGTCTTCTCGACGTCGAGCTTTCTTCTTTTTCTTCTACTGCTGTTCTTTCTTGCATTACCTGTGGAGAAGGAGGCTGCCACATCACTCCAAAAGCTTGCTATTGGTCCTTGCTTCTCGACAACCGATGAAGCGTCCTTATCGTATGGCCGCAGCAGCTTTTCCCCCTGCCCGAGCCACTCGTTGCGCGGTCGGGATTCATTATTTTTCGCGGACGTTTTAGCGGCCAAGTCTCTCCTCCTTTCTCTGCTTGACGAGGAGGCTGCTTTTCCGTCTTCTCCTCCATTTTCCGTCCTTCCCAGGCCAATCACATCATCCTCCCCACCTCCATCTACTGCAGCGGCATTGTAATTCTTGTAGGACATGCTGGCGTGCGCCATACTGCCCTCCAGTGGCCCGCTCGCGTCTTCCGCGCTACCGCTGCTCCCGTACACGTAGTCCTGTGTCAAGTACTGTCTTGCCCGTTTGGGCAAAAATTTCTTAAAGTACTGGTCGAAATCCAGGTGATTCAGGTAAAACCGGATCTCGTTCCGGAAGATCCACGGGGTGGCCATCCACAGCACGTACACGCAGGCCATGATGGTGCAGGCGGCGTACACCAAGCGTTTGCGGCCGAAATACTTGCTATTACAGTGAAAAGTGCCCCCCACCCCTGAAATTGCAAAAATTTGTGATGCAAAAATTTGTGATGCGAAGTTTCTAAATGAAAACTTTTTGTCATGCATGAAAGGAGTATGAATCTTTCTGATGCAGAGTCTAGGCGTGTTCGTGTATCGCATCGCTTGCATGACAAGCGCCGCTCTTGCTGGGGTCTTTTGCAATACAAATTTTTGCTATTCACGATTGGAAACCTGTGATGCTGATAGATGCAACAGAGCGAATGTTTCATTTGGAAAGGTTTGCAATACAAATGCTCCCAAGTTCGGGTGTGGGGACATTTTTCATTGTAATACTTGTTGTCCGATAGCTTCCCCGCGTGCACGGCGACCACACCGCCGACCAGCTGCGCCAGCAGCGCCATCGCGCCCACGTGGTACTTTTGCGCACTCACCTCCTCCACGTTGATCACGTCGCGGACGAAGAACAGCACGAAGCTCTGGCAGGAAATGCCCACGTAGTAAAACGTCCGCCCGACGAAGACCCAGAGAAAGTCGTAACTCTCGGAGCAGTCGATGGTATAGGAGCTTAGCACCTGCCGCCAACTGAAGGGCGGGCGAATCAAGTTGCTGGTGTCCTCTTCCTGTGCGACGACGGCGATCAGGAGGAGCGACATGACCAGGTAGATGGCGTAGAGGAGGTAATTTATGTGGTAGTCGTAGCTGTAGGTGACGATCAGGAAGATGAACCCGGTCAGGCTGCCGAACAGCTGGAGCCCGCCCACGATGCCGCTGGCCATGCCCTGGTCCTTGGTGGGGATCAGGTCCGGTACCAGTCCGTAGGAAGCGGTGTACGCCACGTTCAGTCCCGTCATGGACGCAACGAGGCAGATAATGAATTCGTACTTCATCTTTTCCAGCGAGCAAAACCACATCCCGGCCAGACTCACAACCGTCACGATGCCGCCACCTGAAAGCGCCGGAGGATTTGGAGCTAGTGGTCGTCTGGTGAAGGCAGATATTTCAACGGTGGGCCCAAACCAATCAAATCGCGAAACACAAACAATTTTTGTCATAGCAGACAAAGTACGCGAATGAACACTGAGAATGACATGATCTGCGCGACTTAAACGCCGGGTGAACCCGAACTTCCACCCATTGGTAACACTATTAATATACCGAAAACAAAGGGGCGCCTCTTCCCCATTTTGCTGCGATGCATGTCGCTCAGGATGCCAGCTAGTGGGCATACGAGCTGCGTAACGCCGACTATGCCCATCATGAAGCCAAGCATAATGCTGGACGATTCCGGTATCACAAGAAAAAGTGTTGACGTTGTTAAATTTTCACAGATTGCAGTCATGCATCACAAATGTAGCCCAATATGCATGCTATGCATTACAAATTCAGGCATGTTTTGTGGTGCATTACTGCATGACAAGTTTCGTTAACGTTAACACTTTTCACTGTGATATCCGGCGCCAGTCGTTCGGCCTCCAGGGGCAAGATCGCGACGCCCATGGGTCCGCAGAGCGCGCCGAAGGGAAAATTGAAACTTGCAATCGAAGCGATTTCCCAAAATCCAACTTTTCTGTCCTTCTCGGATTTTTCATCCTCCTCCGGATAGAACAGCAGCTCGGTGGTAGTCGCTGTGCCGGGCATGGTCGGTGCGATCCTGGCCACTAAGTCGGTAGTGCTGGAAAAACGTAGGCACTACACCTACAGGGCGACGAAGCTCGAGGAAAAAAGTGAATGAAGAAGCGGACCAAGTCTACTGCTGCCAAGGCCAACACGTCTACATCATCTCTAGTAGTACTTCTTCGCGACGCCGGTCACGACCGCACGAAAAGAAAATGCAAAATTTCGAAAGCAAAATGAAACTTAGAAATCGAAACGGAAGCAGCACATAAGATGAGAAACAAAGTAAAATCACCGAACTACACAACGTCCATCATGAAATGGAAAATTCGTGAAAGAAACCACTTCTCAGGTGGTCTTCGTCTTGTTTCTATGTATATTATTGCAATAGCAAAACAAGAAGGGAGACACTTCTACGATTGGCTATGACAAATTCATCTCATGACGGCAGCCAAAATCTCTCTTTGATCTCGTACCTCAATGACGCGCACGCGCCGTATTTCGTAAACTAAACGGCTACAAGATAAACAAGAACTTCTCTCGTCGTGCACCCAACAAGGATGAACGAAGCATGCGGATTGAACAAAAAAAATCCCTCCGCGGACACGATCACATCTGCGCAGCACTCGAGATTTCATTCAAGAATGGATCCACGTCCACAACATGGCGTGGCTGCTCGGATCTTGCGCTAGTACAGGACCAGTTTTTTCTTTCTTCGCCGTGTTCCCACTGCTTTTACCTGTTCCTCCATTTGCAGAGCCTATAATTTCTTTCTCGATGATTTTTCGAGAGCGAAGATCAGCTACACGTGTTGGAATTGGGATGCGAAAGTGTCCCTGAAACAGCGATACAACCGCAAGACTGGTCCGCAGGCTTATTCGATGCCCAACTGACACGAAGATGGGCTTCTTGCTCCCATGCGCAGCGACAGCCAGTCCTCTCGGCAGGAAGGTGGCTGGTTGCGCAGATAAAGGGCAAGTAGTAGCTGCTTCTAGGGGAACAACCCACGCAGGATAGCCGTCGGCCAAACAAGCGGCCTCTTTTTCGTTTATTTTCGCCATCTTCCGGTTCTCCAGAATTTGACGCAGTTCTTTGGCGTCCAAGACGTGCGCCGACGGCATTGTCGCGTTGCTTTCTATATGAGGAATTGCGACACCTTGGATTCGCAGCCCGGGAAAGGAATGCAAATTTTTCGCGACGCCAATCGTGGTGAGAAGACCGTCAAAAGTGCCAGCGCCTAAGTGCGACGCCGCTCCGCATGCGTTCGGATGCAGACGACCGTTCCCGTCCACAAAAACAATCAAGTTTTGCGGCGAAATACCTTTTCCTGTTGCAACCTTCGACACGAAGAAAGCGGCGAGAACCTTCTCGTAGTGCGGAACCTCTCGGAAGGCCAGGTATCCGGCAACGTAGGGAATTTCCTTGTCAAGCTCCACCTGTTCGTAGTGTTCATAGAGCAGCCGCAGCTCGTAATGGCATTTCTTGCCCTTGCCGATAGAAATTCCATATGACGCAGGTACTCCCGGAGTTTCGACATAGGAGTCTTTGGCTTTCACTTTCTTTTGCAAACCGCCTGCGCCTTCTGGTGGTAGCACCCCGAGATCAACAGTTTGAGTTTCCGAGCTGTGGTTTGAGTGGCTTGCCTTTTCTACCGACTCCAGCAGCTCAAACAGAGAACAGGGTTCTGCGGGAAGCTCGGAACATGGTGCGCTCTTTGCCGGTGTTTCCGCTACTTGTGCAAGGGCAGAAGGTAAGCGCACAACCTCGAAGACCACAAAGCCAACGACTGCGCGTTCAACTTTCGAGGCCTCGCTTAATAATTTCATTCCGTCACCGCCACTATTAGTATTAGGTTCCACCTCTTCGCTCAAAGCAGAGCCCGACGAAGCTGGAGTACTACTACAGTGCTCCTGTTTACGAGGGACGAAACTCAGATCCAGCCCCGCCACGTAGCGGCAAGACTGCAAAAAAACGCCATCATCTTCTTCTACCACCGCTTGCCGCAGCTGGTCCTGTTGCGCCCGCCACATTGCGAGGTGCTGCTGCTGCGATGTGCTCGCCTTACAATCCATAATAGGCTCTTTCTGCTCGAGTTCCGTGACTTGGGATTGAAGATGTTGCTGTACCGCCGAAGATAGAGATACATTATCTTTGCAGAGCGCCGACATAATCAATGACGAGATTGCAGGTGCTGCCGAAAGCAAAACAATCAAGAGACCGCGTGCATCATTCCTCGCTGTCGCAGCAACCCGTGAAAAAATATTTCAGTGGTCGTGAGTTAGGGCGAGGCAGCGGCTAGTACAAGAAAAAACAATAAGAATTTACAGAGAGAGAGAGAGAGAGAGAGAGAGAGAGAGAGAGAGAGAGAGAGAGAGAGAG